TTCCTGTGCAAGCCGTGCAAGACGTCTTGCAGGGCGCGCAAGCCCGCAAGCCCGTCTAGCAAGCTAGCACATCACGTGACCCATGTCCACCGTGATCAACATAACTATTATTATGACAACGAGCGTGGAGTATGGTACTACTCGCTAATTCGTACCATTCTCTTGTTGGTGCCATTCTCTCAATGGTACCATCAACCCTTTGGTACCAAACACCGACTGGTGCCATCCACTTGGTAGTACCATCAGTATTATGGTGCCAACCCGTGACTTGTACCAAGACTGAGCCTGGTTCGTGACACCTAACTACTACTTTACTATATAAAACAGCTACTAGACTCACTCTAATCGAAGCGTATAAAAGACGGCCTATAAACCTCTCTAAAATAAGAGTATTTAACTCTATAGCGTACCCTTTATATCCACTAGGGCTATATCAAGGCAAAATAAAGCAAAGGATAATTCCGGGGTGTTTTATATTAGTAGGTATAGCTAATACCTTAACTTATAAGCTCCTAAACGTAGAAACCTTCAAGGAACTAGAAACAGCCGACTACGGCTTTAACAAGTATATAATATACTCTATATATACTAGTAGTAAGGAAACTATATTAAAAGGTAGTAATAAGGTAATAGAAAAACCTCTACTACCGGCTACCGATCTAGCACTTACTAAGAGGCTAGCTAGGGGTGCTAAAGGCTTAGAAAGACCTCTAAGAGAGAGGCTAGCTATAGAAGCTGAAAGACCTCTAGGAGAGAGGCTAGCTATAGAAGCTAAAAATCCTTTAAGGGGAAGGTTAGCTATAGAAAACATAGTAGGAGATACTAAAGAAGTGTCTAATTAACGCCTCCCTAAATAGACTTAACTAGTAAACGTGTCTAATAATACTCTACTATTAAGATATAGTAGGAAATAGCGTAGAAAATAACACTTCGAGCAAGCTGCTTAAGTGATAACTATAAAGCTATACTCTTAGTAAATCCTTAATAAGGCACTAACCTATTAAATAGCGCTAATTACGCTGGAGGGTGAACTTATACAACCTCTTGAGGTTATAACTATCGCAGAGGCTCTAAGGGAGAATCTAGTAGAATAAAAGGCTGCTATTCTCAAGGAATTACAAGCTATATAAAGCGCTGGAACTTATAGAGTATACTTTAGTAAGCCTCCCTCCGGCTTAAAACTGATATCTTTAAGACTAGTTCTACGTAATAAAATCAACTCCGATAGCTCTATAGCACGGCGAAAGGCTAAGCTCGTAGTAAGAAGCTTTAAGTAAAAACACGGCCTTAACTACTTTAATACTTTTATAAGCGTTATACGCTATTCTACCTTACGAGTACTACTTACTATTATAGCTAAAAGAGACCTAGAGATCGAGTATATTAATATCAACACTACTTTCCTAAACACGTACTTAAAAGAAGATATATATATAACGATTCCGAATAATAAGACGCCGGAGATATAGAATAAGCTTCACTTAGAGCTGAATAGAAGGAAAGATATATATCTGAAGCTCTTATACTCTCTCTACAGCCTAAAATAAGCACCTAGGGAATAGTAGCTCCTTATTAAAGATAAGATAGAAAAGCTAGGTCTAGAAGCGTTAGAAGCTAACCCTAATCTCTTTATCTTTAAGAATAGAGCGTACGTATTAGTCTTCGTTAATAATATACTAATTATAAGTAACTCTACTAACTGCGAATATCTTAAGAAATAGCTCTTAAAGACCTAGAAAAGTAAAGACCTTAAAGCTATTAATACGTTTATAAGCTTATAAGTTAAGAGGGATAGGAAGAATAAGACTCTTCAGATTTATTAAATAGCCTACATATAAAAGCTACTAGAAAGGTTTAGAATAGCCGTAGCTAGAGGTAATACCTTACTTATAGCTGCTAGAATAATACTAAGGGAGTTAGCTAAAGATGAAGGTGTTATACTAGCCTCCCCTAAAGAGATCTTACTGTTTTAGCAGATTATTAGCTCTCTAATATACCTCTCGAACCTCACACGACCTGATATTACTTATATAATAAGCTAGCTAGCGCGGCATATATTAAATCCCCTTAAATCTTACCTCTAAGATATAAAACCTCTCCTCTAATATCTACGATATATAGAAAGTAACAGAATAACATTTGGAATTAGAATAGAATATAGGGGAAAGCTAGATAATAATATATTTAATATTTAAACTAACGCTATATAAGGGACAGAATATAATAGGAAATTATTCTAAGGATAGATAGTAAGGTTCTATAAGGGTCTAATCTCTTAGGCTACTAATAGGTAAAGGTCTATAGCTCTCTCTAGCTTAGATTCTAAGATAATAGCTACTAGTAATAGCTCTAGAGAAGTAGCCTAGTTACTTAAGCTATAGAAAGACCTTAATATAAAGCTATCCCGAATTCCTACGCTATATCTTAATAACGCTAGAGCTGAATCTCTCTTAAAAGAACAGAAATTCTATCTAAAGGTAAAGTATATTAATATCCGCTAGTTCTATATTCGAGATAATATAGTTTTATATAATAAGTTAGTAGTAAAACACGTTCCAGGTAATAATAATATAGCAGATACTCTTACGAAAGCTTTACCTTCAGAATCGTTTAAATAATATAAGATATATATAAGGTTACCTAGTAATAACTGATTCTCTGATAATAACTCTAAGATTAATAACAGTTGACTAATTAATAGTAGATCTATATAAATTAAGGCTGTTTCTAGTAGTAGAACCTATAAAAAATAGAATATTCTTCACGGAAAATCAGTTCTTTAATAAATATCTTCTTTAACGATAATATATAACTACAAATCAAGTAAAACACGATATATAACTACTATACCTAATAGTTAAGACGAATCTTATTCCGCGGTTAAAGGAAGAAGGAAAGAAAACAGAACTAGAAGAGAACGACCTTTATATACCCTAGAGGCTAGAGAGAAAGCTAGTAAGGAATATCTTAGTAGCTATAAAAAGAAAGTGCGAGGTAGCTACAAAGAAGGGTAAATAAGAGTAGTAGGAGCAGGAGATTATTAATAAGGGAGCGATTTAGGTACACTCTTATACTGTTTTATATACCTTAATACTACAAAGTTGCTGAACTCCTAGGAAAATAGGAGACGTAAGCACTATATATATACTAGTATATTACAGGAGTTAATAAGGCATAATCGAGGCTCCTTATATAATATAAGTTATCAGTAATACTTCGGCGATACTCTGGCGTCGCTTCGGGAATATTCAGCGCTATACTGCTTTAGAAGGCTCTATTTACTACAGATATAGAGAATAGGGGAGCTATTAGAAATATGGGGATTATAGGCGTAGACTCAGTACTGTAGGCCGTACTACTGAGTACGCTACCCCTTTATATAGGAGATTCTCTCTCTCTGTAGTAGCTCCTTATGCAACTGCAATTATGACACAGTGAGAGTATCGTTCCTTCCTCAAGACAAGTGGGAAAAACGATCTGTGGAAGAAGAAGTGAATTCAATGAGATTCACAAGAAAAGAAAAAAAAAAAATACACAGGCCTTAGGGAAATTGCTAAATGCCATCAATATTCGTGAGGAAGAAGGAACAAAGAACATTACTTGCAACCTTCTTGGAAAGTTTCTGTTCGGGGTTCTGTCATGTCTGCGAGGACTTGAGCGAACAGACAGGCCAACTTTGAAAATCGCAAAATCAGTAGTCCGCATCTACAATGAACTGATCGAGACGTTTTTGATAAATAACCCATAGCTCTGCTGCTTAGCCACTTGCGTTGAGAGCCCATTCTGGGAAGAAGATTTTGATCTCCGGACACTACTGCGGGTCACGAAGAGGTACTCATTTGCAATTCAAGTATACAGGCGGCTCACCTTAGCAACCCAAGAATTAAGGCGATAAGAGACGCGGGAAGCATAATAATTTGAGGATGCACCCTACAAGATGCTACGGCGTTGGCCGAAGTCGCCTGAGACTCCTCTCGAAATCCATGTCGCTACCTAGGCTTGAGGCTTCAAGGACTTCACCTATAGTCGGGCTATGCCTCCCTAATTACCGGCTTGCTCGACGTGCACGAATGCATCACACTGATGTTCATGGCGGTCAACACCAAGATACTTATCAACTCAGATCAGTATTGTCACCAGGGGCCATTGGCAACGGGAACGCCATCAGAGAAAGCAAGATGCAGGCGGACTTCGTCAAAAGCGACCAGCGCCAGAGTGCAATCACTGTTCTTCGATCTAGACCGAATTCTCATTCCCAGTGAAACGAGACTTTCGACCGACGGGCCAGCTAGGAGCAGCAGTTGTCATCTTGGCAAATAATCGGGTAACGTTCTGACAGAATGCAACTGGGAACTCCTCGATGCGATTGACATAGCCATTTGGTGATGAGGGAAGATGTCGAGGACAAGAAGCTTCAATTTGTGTTATCCAGCCGGTGTTGAGAAATATAGGTGCTTGATACAGGCGAGGTAGTCTTCGAACTTATCAGCAGCCGAAGACTTTTCATTGTGAATATCGATTGGACCGCCCAGGTCTATAGCATGTCCTGCTGCAATCGCGACTCCGAGCGGAATTTCAGCGCAATGCGCTCAAAACGGCACCGTCGATCAGGCTTCTCTAGCTGCACATCTAGCCACTCTGCATGGTTTGGCAATTGATGTCAGCAGCTTCGTCGTTGACCAAACCGAAGAAAAGGCTGGGCATCAAATCAGAAAGCAAAAGAGGTTTGCACTAGCAGAGAAGAATGCAAACCAGAAATTGGGTGGGCAATACAGAAGGTGGAAAATGTTCGAGAGGTGTTTAGAGTTGTTTTGGAACATGCTAGGGAGTTGCTGTTCAACTATTAGCTGCTGGAATGAAACGAAGCTGGGGTATAGGGATTAATTCATTGCGTTGCAAGTTAATCATCATATTATTGCTTCGGACGCTGTCCGACTCTGCTTGCTGTACAGTTAACAAGCAAAGAACTAGCCACATTAAAGATACAAAGAGACAGAATATCAGACTTTCAACCATAACCTTAAGACTCCAGTAGCATATTCAACGATTTCATCACCCCCTAATTTCGAATCTCCATAAACCCGGTCAACGAAACTAATGGGTACCTCAGCAACCGTGCAGCCCATCGCCTTCGCTCGAACCATCATCTCCATCTGGAAAGTGTATCCCTTGCTCTCCGTGCTCTCGATAACCTTCTGCAGAACTGCCTTCTTGTAAAGTCTGAAGCTGCCCGTCAAATCACTAACACCGGGTCTCAGTACCGTATCCGCGAACAGGTTGGCGCCTCTCGAAACCAATTTCCGCTTCAAGTCCCAACCGAAAACTCCTCCATCCCCAGCATATCTCGTTCCAGTCACAATATCGTATCCACCATTCGTAGGAAGCTCCTTCTGTTTCGCAATCATCTGCTTGATGAATTTGGGGTGATGTGAGAAATCGGCATCCATGATGATGACATAGTTTCCTGTGACGAACTGCAGACCGTGAACGTATGCCGTACCGAGACCAAGCTTTCCTGCGCGTGCTTTCAGAAGGACGTGTGGGGAGTAGGCTTTTGCGAGCTGGTTGGCGACAATCTGTGTGCCGTCTGGAGAGCCGTCGTCTACGATAATAAGTTCCCAATCAAGGTTTCTACGTTCTCTGGTCAGATTTGAAGTATAGCAGATATTGAGACGTCTTTGAAGAAACGCACTGTTCCGTGAAGGTCCTGTTCAACAACCAGGTGATGATTGGCAGGTTGCGTCGCTCTTCATACGTGGGGAGAATGACCGAGTATTTGTCTTTGCTAATGGGCGCCATTGTGATCGAGAGCTGCTGAAGGAGTGAAAGAAGAGGATTGAACGATTAAATAGTTGGAGGATCAATTGCCAAAGGAGTGTGGTGTGGAAATCGAGTGAGGCTGGTCTGCGATGTGGCTTCAAGGGGTTGCTGCCGCTGATCTTGAAGTTGAGTTGATAGGAGTGCTGACTAAGCAGCCTAGACTTATTTCAACCTCACTTTATAAAACTTCAAGGCAGTGGTTTCAGGAAACGTACACAAGTGTATTTGGTTGACCAAGCTATGACAAAAAAAATCCTTTTTGCTACGCTGCTTCTACTCTTCGTGTGATCAGATGTCATCTTCGTTCGTGTTTCTATCTGCGCACTACCTAGCTGATGCGTTTCAAGTGCCTGCGGAATTAAACTCATCAGCTTAGCCCAATTATATTCTCAGAATGCTCACGTTGTCGCTACTTCGCCCCATCGGTATTTGAGGGAAGTTTATATTACTCAAGTGTTGGCGACTGAGTCGCTGTCTAAAAGCTATGGCATCAAAGATCTCCCCAGCATCGGAATAGCCACAAGGCTTGAGAACAAAACCCCCATTCGTGCTCCGGTTGCTCTATTTAATCTTGAATTCACTCATCACCCAACGCAGAAGTTTCTGTTAGTGTGCGATTCACTTAGATTACCACTGTGAACCGATACGCTACCGATATTTCACGCAGTTCTCTTTCCTTCAACTTTCTCATCAACGAATACAACTCCAAACCGTCACCAACGACCCCCATACGAGTATCATGGATGCTCTTTCCAGAATCCGTGCGCTTAAGCAGAAATTTGCTGCTCGTCGAGGCAAATCTATCGTAGACTTCACGTCAGTATTGGTCTTTCTCACTTCATGGAGCTTGCTGACAAAAGAATAGGAAGTCACAGACTTTCGTTACCATCACAGCAGGCCAGGAAAAAGCTGCCCAAGACTTCATCATACAGAGGATGGCGAATCATTGGTATCATGTCTGTCAAGATCCACACCGACGAGTGCTTTGCAAAGGCTCTCGCAGGTCATCCCGCGCATGCACCCCTGCAAGCTTGTTTCGTACACCTCAAAGCAAGTACTCAAGGATCAGGTTAGATGCTTGGATAGTCTCTTCTCCCAAGCTAGTCTTTCACCTCTAAACCGATGCTTGGCACAGCTCCTAGTTTCAGCCGACGAGACCATCGATTACCCTACGCTAGATCTCTTAGCTGAATCTAGAGACGAGAGATATCGAATTACTTCACTCTATTTCCCGGTACACTCACTGCAGATGAACAAGTAGTAGTCGATATGCTTCGAAAGGTCAAAGGCATTATTCTGATCAAGGGATGTTACGGTAGTGGCAAGACCCAGACAGGATTGCGACTCATCGTACGCCTGTTTGCTTGTGATATCTGGCATAGATTATCCACGGCTGCAAGTCAGAAGACTCAGACAGCTGCAAAAGTCGAGGAACAGGCCACAAGTCAAACAACCAAGGAGAACGAAAAGAATGACACCTCCCGAGATCCCAAGATTGAATTCCTTCCACACCAGGATCCCGACGAAGAGCAGCCAGTCCGTGTCCTATGGACTACTGAGTCAAACTTGAACGTCGACAGTTCAGCACATAGACTCTTCGAGTTCTGTAAGCTCACCAAAGTCAACATACGTATCGTACGTGCATACGCTCTCCAAGGTGAAAAGGAGAGCGTTCGTGGGCACTACGTGCAAGAAGAAATTTTCGACCCGCTTCCAGTGTCCGAGCAGTTTGCAAGCGAGTTCCTCTTAGAGGCTCGTATTCGAGATAAGGCCAGAGCTACGCTCGATCTGCACGCGAGTGGCGACAAGAGGCGAAGACTCACAAATCTAAGTCTAAGTCAAGCTATGATCCAGGAACTTGAAGCTGACGAAGACGATGATACCAGATATCAAACCCTTCGAAGCTTATTTCTTCGTGTCGAGAAGAACGCCGAGGATTTATGATAATGAAACAGATGGGGTCTAAGCGTAGAGAGGATAACTTCGCACCTCTCTCCTTTACTCTCTTCCTTCCTACATGCGTTCGCTCTCCTTAGCAAAGCTTCGATTTCGATTTCTTATTCCTTCTATTGATTCTATTAAGTTAATTATTAATCGACTTGTTTAATTAAGCACGCAATCCTACTGATTTCTTAGGTTCAAATTAGGCTATATCGCCTTACCTTTTACTCCTATTCACGAATCTCCCTCGATTTACGTTAGGAAAACAAAAGACTATCTCTCGACGTGGTTTTCTACCTAAAAGGAGGTTTCCTATGTTAGTAACGCGAATATAAGAGTAAAGGGAGGTTGCGGATATATATCGAGAGGCCTTTGTGCCGGGGATATTAAAAGGCCTTCGTACCGTAGATCAGTTGGAGGCTATACACCCTCGGCAAATTCCTTTACTACGTAACACCCTTTGATTAAGCCGCCGCTGTGTTTTTAAGTGTTCCTTTGTGCCTTTAGCTTATTGTTCTGTGTTTTAGGTGGTTTTATAGCCCTCGAGCTTACTCTCTTACTATCGAGAGCTAAAGGCACTAGTTCCTACTAAATATATCTTACTTACCTTTTTAAAGTAAAATAAACACACGATTAGATAAAACAGAAGGGGTTTAAGTGTAGAGAGGATAACTTTGTATCTCTCTCCTTTATTCTCTTCTTTCTTATATGCGTTCGCTCTCTTTAGTAAAGCTTTAATTTCCCTACTTATTATCCCTTTCTAGGTTTTTATATATATTTAAAAGTGATCAAAGAATCTACTCTAGTGTCTTTAGTTCTTTATAATATAAGGATAGAGTGGTTTTATAGCTCTCGAGCTCGCCCCCTTACTATCGAGAGCTGAAGGCACTAGTTCCTGCTAGACATATCTTACTTGCCTTTTTAAAGTGAGACGAACGCACGATTAGACCATAGTAACATTCGGATGTTGTTGGGACATCTTTTACAAAAGATCTTATCACAGACGCAAGTCCTTTTTGCTACCAACTCTGGGGCAATTCGTCATGAGCTAGCTACGTCATTCAACCCAAGTCTGATTATTCAGGACGAAGTGGCTGGAGCTTCCGAACTGTCAACAGTAGCTGTCTGGGGAGCATATACGTCGGCAAAAGGCGTGGTCCAGATCTACGATCCGGCACAGATGGAGCCAACACAAGTACATGCCCCTCGGCCTAATTTTCCAGACCCTTTCTGGAAGCAAAGTAGCTTGTCAGGCCCTGAACGCCTAGAGCGAGCTGGTATTACGCCTGCTGTACTCTATTACCAGTACACATGCTACGGAAGTATCTCGCTGATCATCATAACCGCGTCTCAGTTGTCGTGGGTGACTCTATCCAAGGAGAGAGTGCTCATTTTGTATTCGGTGACTGGGTGACTAGCTCGAGATTCGAGAATCACATCCTTAAACGGCGATAGCAAGAGAATGGCAGTTACTAGTACCCGCGCTGTATATGGAATGGTTGATATCCTCAACCCGTGTATTTTCAACACCGACAATTACGACAAGGTCGGCATGAGAGGACCAGGCTTTGATCCGTCTGTAAAGCATGTGTTCGCCTAGTGAAAATGGGCCCAGGACAAGGCATTCACGTGCACTATCAAAGCACGCGATTCTCGTCAGTGCCTGGCCTGCGATAAAGTTGGGCATAGCAAGAAGGATTGCCCAACACCGGATGCCAAAATCGAGTGTAATAATTGCAGAGAACTGGGTAGGTTTACTATTGAAATAGTCAAAACCTAGGCTAATATTTGAGAGGTCACAAGCGATGAGACTGCACAGAGCCCAAGCGGAACTTCGGGATTCTCAACTGCAGAGGACACAGTACAATTCTTAAAGGAGTTTCCCAGGCTCAATACACTTTGCATCATCCTTGGATCGAATGGGATCCCGTGTACTTACAGCAACGATCATCATACATTAGACTTCATCGAAGTTAGAGAAAGTCTTACGGCATTGAAGGTGGGATATCAACATAACTGGTGGAGGCAAAGAGACCGAAGCCAGTTCGACCAAACTGTTGCTCAGTATATCACGGAAGCCGAGAATTGAAGTAATTCCATCGCAACAAAAAAGCCAGATCAGGAGCGAAACCCTCACTTGAAAGTCGAAGTCTCGTTGTTGATCAATGAATATTCTGCTCGTTCAGACACTGAGATACACTACATCGTACCAAAAGATCCACAGTTTTTGCAAGTCCTCTTTTACACTAGAAGACCAACGGGTCAGGAATATCCGTCCGATACTTGTCCACACTCCTCGGAAGATAAATGCGCCCGATGGATCGAAGTCCTCGATTGCTTCGCATGCTGCTTTCCGAATGGGGATTTACTTTTTGAAAATCCAGTCGTTGAGGACGTACGGTATATGTACGGCAAGTGATAGAGTTTCGTCATACCTCGTCCTTCGTGCCCAAGGCTTTACCCAACATTACTGCTCCCAGCGTGAACCTTCCGGGGGCTGTTGCATGTTTAGATTCTGGTTGGTTTTGAGGCATCTTGAATTCTCGGCTGGTGCTCTTCCAGCTACATGCAAAAATTCGCCCGCTCAGTTGTCCTCATTCGCAAGGCCTACAGTACCCTGTCGGCTCGAATCAGTTTACGATACTCATTCAAGGATGATAATGGTGATGGAAGAGGTACCGTTAAGGGAGATGACTGATGCTAGAGCCGCTCCTTGTCCTCTGCCCTTGGGGAGTCCAATCATTAGTACATAACAAATAAAGTTCTTTGGCTCCAGTATTCAATTGGGGTTTCCGTGATAACTTTCATACATTATGATGGAAGACACTGGACTCTAATCGGCAACCACATTCAGGTATCGGTCCAGCAGTGGTTCTTGTTTTCTTCGCTTGACACCCCTGAGTCAAGGATGCCCAAACGCGTATGCTTCAGCTTGAACAGCCAATGAGCATCATGCCAAACAAATCCTTCACATGCACCGCCTTTAGCCTAACTCCTTCGATGCTGCCTACCGTGAGATATAAAACAGCCATTCTGCCATTCGATGGCATTCTAAGCTCCCTGCAGTTGATCATTAGGATTTTCCTGCTTACGAACCAATGTGATGATTGCGCCACTTTCTATGATTACTCAGGCTTTGCCATTCACGACGTGGACTCAAGAGCCGTTGAGTAGGGAGATCGTGAGTTATGGGGATCAAGGCCTCCCAACCGTGATTCCTGGAGAATCGCCGTTTAGCTTTTGCGACGAATCACGTCCGACAGATCTTCTTAGCATTACATCCATCAGTCTCTGGCCGCAGCCACTGTACATGTAAATAAACCGCTTATTCCGCGACGTCGTAATCTGCTGACTTCAGTGCAGTAATGATGACTTCATCGTCACTATCTACGGTATATCGAGTCATATTCTCCTCATGACCATCGTTTCAATGTTGACATCGAACAGGGGAATTCTCGCAAAACATCACTGCAAATTCAACCATGAACTTATGGGTTGACTGCGGCAGCCACTGCAAAGAATACGGAGCAGAAGAAGGCTCCGGCGAAGGCGACTCAATAGAGTTTTGCGACGTGACAGACGTCCAACAACCGAACAGAAGGCAAGGATGTCCGATGGAGAAAGGTGGTGCCATCCTGTCATACGAGTTTTTCGTCTGGGATATGTTTCTGCATCAGCCGGTATGTCCACTACGATCTTCGCGATATTGAAGTGTAGGTTCTGAAGCAAATATGAAAGTACTAACAAGCCTATCTCTGGTACAATTTCACGTTTGATATGCGAACCAAGGAAAGAGAGAGGATGTTTTGTGTGACTTCTGAAGTTTGCTTGCGGTGGCACGATGAGGATAAGAATAAGCATTATCCGGGAGGGCCATACCCTTATTGTCAATGGCCTCGATGAAGGAATTATGAACCATGTAACGAATAGCTAGATTATATTCAATCTCAGGAGAGGGAACCGTTAAACCGAAGGGGCTGTACTTTCTGGCTGTTGGCATAATGTACAGTGACGTGTTTTTGACGTGTTTAGTAGTTCCACTGATAATATCACTACAAGGTTCATGAAATAGTGACAGATATATGGCATAGCCATGTCAGTTCTAACTGAGCATGTTAGTAGTTTGATTATGCTCTAGCTCGGGGGCAAGGACTTTGATAAATGGAAATGACAACTTTGATATCTGGGCGTGATGCTTGAGAGGATGAAGTGTCGAGGCTTAAACAAGTACAAAAAGAAGTAGGGAGAAACCGTGCGATATCAGGCCAATTATGAATTTACAAATTATTCTACAATTATATTATTTGTGCCTCTTAAATACACTGTTGAAACTACACTTCAGCTTCCCAATCGTGCCCGATTACCCAGTGATGACTTCCACATCCTCCTCGACCGGAATGGGGAGCAGCCACCAACAAGACAAACACAGCAGCATCATTACCATTACTACAGGCAGCAACGTCTGGATACCATACTCATTGGCAATCACCCCAACTAGAAAGGGAAACACGCAGCCACCCGCACTCCCCAACGCGCACGCAAAGCCCACCGCTGCAACATGCAGGCTCTTATCAATCAGTTTGGTTTGCATGATAACGGCCTCGGGAAACAATGGGCCAAGCGAGAATCCAATCAAGGGCACAACTATAGCTGATGTGACGAGGTCGGACCGGATTGTAAAGACAAGATGGGAGAGGATGGTTACGATCAGGCAGGTGGTGATGACACCCTTGCTGTTGCCGACGAGCGGAATCAGGAAGCCGACGATAATGCGACCAGAGGTCAGGCCGCCCCAAAAGGCGAAGGTCAACATACTTCCAGCGTATGGCGTCTGGGCTCGGTGGTCGATTGCAAGGGTCATGATCCAGTCGGCAAGCGAGATCTCAATTCCGGCGTAGAGAAAGATGATGATGCTAATAAGCCAGGTAGAAGAATCGCCCAGTGCTTGTAATATGAGGTTGGTCGGCTTCTTGACGGGTACAATATCCTTGAGAATCACTTGGTCATGTAGTAACTCTGGTTCCGAGGGAGCTCCGTGTTGCAAGCGGTACTTCTCACCTGTCTTCGAGAAGAATGCTGCTGTGGAGGACAACAGTTCTACTACAGAGGCGAGCGCCATTAAGTAGTAGAAGCCGTACCACTTCCAGCCCAGCTTGCTGATAACAGCGTTTGCAACGACAGGAGCAAGAGCTGCGCCCAGGCCATAAAAACTGTGCAGCGAGCCCATGATGCCGCTACTATCGGGCATGGTACCGATCCAGACATTCCATCCCGCGTCCACCAGCCCACTCCCTAGACCTGCCAGGACGAAGACGAGAATGAGGATCTGGTATGGAGGATGCATCGCGACTGCCAGGAAAGCGATGACGTGCAAGCCAGGCCCAAGGATGGCAATTCCACGCTGACCCCAGCGATTATGTATGGAGTCACTGGAAAAAGCGGCAAGGGTGTAGCCCACGACGGGGGATAGCAGGAGGATGGATACGGTGAGGTAGTTGGCGTGGTAGTATTTTTGAAGCTGCATGTATATCTCCAGTCAGCATCTTTATTCTGCTTCATGGTATATACATTGACTTTGCTGCTGGGGTTACTTTACATACATAATGGATCATAACCTAGAGTCGAGACCGAAATAGTCAGCGAGATTCCTCAAATACAGAACATCAGCGCATGGAATTCTCTCACCCCATATGCCCCATCCGTCGCTCCCACAATAAGGAAGCCGTAAAAGGTCGCTGCGACCCGCCATTTGTTGGAGCCTGCAGATTCATCACCCAGAGCATTAAAAGACGTCAACGTCGGCGTACTTCCATCCCTCACCCCCAGCATATCACTCTCCATCGACCGGATACTGGAGCTTCTGCTTCCCCCCTGCAGCAGGGGAGTGACTTCGGTTGCAGGCATTTCGGACGCTTTGAGTGCTTGAGTGCTGGAATCCTTGTAGCTGCAGCGCAGATAAACTGTCGACGGTGAGGATACGCAGCTCTCTGAGGCACACGACAGCGAAAGTGAGTAGGAGTGAACAGTGTCACCTCCTGCTAATTCTACAGACAGAAGAGAAAGAAGATAAACAAACAGTCCTTGAAAGCGATTTCAAAAATATCGAGAAAAAAGACTTGACAAGACAGCGACTCGATCTACGTAATACACTGTCTCACAGCTCTGTTGTTGTTCTCGGGTCAAAAAACTGCCGTGAGCACAATGCTGTGTCTTGGGAGCGATTTCGCAGATGTGGGCATGATTTTCGTTCTCACTGTTCTGTCACGAATCAGGACCAGCCCTAATCGGCCTTCTGGTGGAGGGACTAGGTATCGAGAGCTGATGGCTGAACCAATTAAAGACTAAGAGCCAAGGACTAAGGCTGTCAACCCGATCGCCCGAGACAGACTGCAGATCACGCGTTCCACAAGTTTTAACCTTTCCTCTCTTGACGTATTTCAGAGATCTCAGAGGTTCTTTTATCCTACCATCAGATATTGTAGCCTTCACTTATCTCAGACCTGCATCTTGTCGTTATTGGACTTCTTGCATTAGCGTATTGAGATCCAAGTGTCTAAGACGTGACCGGGGCTTATTATCTTTTATTTTCCGAGCCTCTTTCACCGCCATCTGCAAGCCTCCTCCTAGCAAGATGTCTTAGAACTGATCTCAGGAACATATACATACGTTTACATAGCGGAAAGTATCGATCAGAACAGGATAGAGCAGCACTCGGGATACAGCATACATGTACTGTATGAGGTTAGTAGCAATTTCTCTGCCAAAGCAAATTTCGGTGCAGTTGCTTTCTAAGTGCAACGATTGGTCCACAAAGAAATGTAGTCATCGATCATAGACACATGGACCCTTAAGTTACATGTGATATAAAATTTCTCTCGGGTATTGGCTGTGACTTCTTCAAACAACAACAAAAGCCGAAGGAAGAAAGATCGTAAGCTTCTCTACCTGAAAGGTCTGAAAGGAAGTACTCAAGCGGGCCTGTATTTATACCTATTTTCCATGCTCACCGAGCAGCATGTATCTAATGGAGATCGCCACGCACTTTCACATGCGAGTGACTCAGTAAGAATTCAACCCAATTTAGAAAATACAAACGAATGTGAACAGCACTGCATCATTGACGCAGCGGTGAGACCTGGTCTCGCAGAAGAGACCATGCTTTAACCTGCTGCATAGGATCCCAGTTTCATTGAACGCTAGTAGAGAGATAGCATGCGACACTGTAGACTCTTAGGGATAGGAACATATCATAACTGATATCTGTTTTCGCTAGACCGTGCAGATATAGCTGCAAAGCAAGCAAACAAGTAAACAAACGCTAAACAGATCAAGTTGAGCCATTAGATGCTGGGCACACAAAGTGTTTAAAGAGAGTGATGTTCCGTCTTAGTGTGCAGGTTTTTTGTTGTCGATATCACAGCTCAGAAGATCTCAAGGACATACCTCTTTCTTCATTTCATCCTTTATACTCTGTCAAACGTTTCCACCATGGGGTCCATCGGCATCAGTGAACCGGCTTTGTTCTACCAGAGTGCCTACACGACCAAGCACCCTACCGTGGTGTCTGCTTCAGGTCTGTATCTGACGCTTGAAAATGGCCAGAAAGTCCTCGATGCGACGTCTGGTGCTGCCGTGTCGGGAATTGGGCATGGCAACAAGCGTGTGAAGGACGCCATCATTGCGCAATTAGATAAAGTCGAATACGCGCACCCGGGCTATTTCCAGAATACGCCGTCCAACGATCTTGCGGATTTCCTCATCCAAAGCACAAATGGAGAGATGGCCAGAGCATGTCTCCTTGGTTCAGGTATGATTCCAATCCCTCAATGTCGTGATAGAACAAGCCTTGATGGCTAACAGTCGAACACAGGGTCTGAGGCTATGGAAGCAGCTATGAAGCTTGCACGACAGTATCATATCGAACTCTCCCCTGGCTCACGTCGACTCAACTTTATTGCTAGAAAAGGCTCCTGGCATGGATGTACGCTTGGCACGCTCTCTCTGGGAGACTTCAAAGCTAGGAAAGAACTTTTCAGCTCCATGCTGCACACCAACGTCACACATGTCTCGGCTTGCCATCCGTACCGTGGTCTCCGCGATGGCGAGAGTGTCGAGGAATATGTTACCCGGCTCGCACAGGAATTGGAAGACGAATTTCAAAGGCTAGGCCCCGAGAACGTTTGTGCATTCGTCGTTGAGCCAATGGTTGGCACTGTAAGTATTCTCTTCACTGCACGTGTTTATTGCGACTTGAGACACTGTAACTAATACAATATACCAGGCTCTAGGTTGCGTCGTCGCCCTTCCCGGCTACCTCCAAGCAATGAAAGAGGTCTGCCACCGCCACGGAGCGCTCATCATTTTCGACGAAGTTATGTGCGGTATGGGACGCACGGGCTACCTGTATGCCTGGCAACATGATGGCGTGGTTCCGGATATCCTCGCAGTGGGTAAAGGGTTAGCTGCTGGATATGGTACCATCTCGGCTCTGCTGCTGCATCAGAGGGTGATTGATGGCCTACGTGCTGGCAGCGCTACTTTCGAGCATGGACAGACCTATCAATGCCACCCAATTGACGCCGTGGCCGCTTTGGAGGTACAGCGCATCATACAGGAGCAGGGTCTGGTCCAGAACGCACGCAAGATGGGCAACTTGTTTGGGGAATTACTGAAAAAAAGATTTCAGGACCACCCTCACGTTGGTGATGTCAGAGGTACGCAATGGACCCAACTAAAGATCTTACAACCCCCGGCTATTTCTAGCCTTACCTCTCCTTCCCGCGTCTTGAAACTTTGATCAAAAAATAACCAATCAACTAACTATTTCTTCGCAGGGCGTGGCCTTTTCTGGTCCATCGAGTTTGTCGCTGACAAAGCGACCAAGACCCCCTTCGACCCCAAGCTAAATATAGCACGTCGTTTCCGAACGCGAGGCCTCGAGAAAGGCTACGATGTTTGCCTCTTCTCGGCTCAGGGCTGCGCTGACGGATGGACTGGTGATCACTTCCTCCTCGCGCCACCGTATATAATTACCAGCGCAGATGCCGAAGAAATCGTATTCCGAGCCGGACGTGCAGTGGACAGCGTGTTTGCCGAGCTGTAGGTAATTTTGCTTTGGTAGATGTCGTGCACTAGAACTAGAAAATCGGAATATATCATATATGTTTACTTTTTCTACCTTAACCGAGCTGCACTAGTCACTGCATGATCTATCTGCAGGACGGGAACAGAAGTGGGTCTGTGTTTGTTATTCTTCGGCTACTGAGCTACGACCGATCGGCCGGACAAGACAATACACAGCCCTCCTTGAAAATGCTTGTACAGAGAATCATATGCGCTACATGAGATCTGATCGTAAAAGGAACGGACCGTATGCATGCCAATCCGGTCCGTGCCGTAGGCGGAGAGTCAATTCGGTTGGCGGCTCAATGAGAAGACAACCGAGACACCATTCAGTCTTATCGATGATCTGCGTGCTCCACACCTGCAACTCACAGCCTACAGCTCGTCAAACATAGTTTATGCTAAGCATTTGTCCATACAACGCCATAGAATGTGTTGCCTCGGACAATTATACGGCCCATGTATGACAATTTGAGTTCACCGCTTTTACATTTCAGGTGAGCCAAAACGCCACAGGTCCACATATGGATGTACTTACATGCCGAATGCTTGTTGCGGTACTGATGAGCGACGAAGTGGTGGAGGGATACGGACCTGTCTCCTGTCTCGCTGGTTGCTGTCAGGCTTGAGCAGATGTCCAAAAATTTGCGGTCAGTGACCGAGTCACCGAGTTGAGGAAGCATGGTGAGTTGTCATGTAGCTGTTGTGGTCAGTACTGAGTTGGAAGCCAGTCAGACCTCCATTCATGTTGGATACGGTGTCAGATCAGTGGTTATTATCTCAAGTCGAGTAGGTGATTGATTGTGTTTCGATCTAAAAAGATTCCCATCCATAAAATCTCGTTCCTACTAAGTGAACAAGAGCACTATCCAATTTACCCTGTATGAACCATACTTTCAATCTCCTCTAAACACATTTCAAAGTCCTTCCAATGGTCCATAATTACTGAACACCCAGCCTCCAGGAGTACCCTCTCCATCGCCTCCCTATCCTTGCGCTCCTTGTGGCACCCTGTATACCCAACCACCCGGATTCCCGCCTCCCGCGCCGAAATTACCCCAGATCTGCTATCTTCTATCGCAACACACTCTTGTGGCACCCGCCTCAATGATCGCATCGCATGCAAATATATTGCAGGATCGGGTTTCGATACAGGCCATTCCAACGAACACGACGCGCTGAAGACGTCGTCTGCATCAAAGAACGCTCTCTGGCCTGCCTTTTCCAGAGACAACCGAACGCGGCGCAGTGCAGAGCCTGAAACAACTGCCAGGTGGAATGTTTGGTCTTTCACGAGCTCGCTCAGTACCTCGTTTGCGCCATCACAAGGCATGAGCTTTTGTTCCAGCTTGGCCATCACAAGCTCATCTTCAATGTTGGCATAATGCTGTAGTGCGGCAGATGAGAGTGGGGCTTTGAAATCGTACATTTCTGCCAGTATTTTCATCTGCGTGTGTTAGCCATACTCTATAAAACAATTTGTTCCTGTTTATTTTCATTTGCTTCACGGCGGATCGAAGCACTCCGTAGCTGCTCCTACATCATCGTCCACTTGCTTGCTACGTACCATATCCTCAAAACTCCGACCGACAAACTCGGTCTGGAGTTCAGGGCCGGTGAAGCGCCGGGGAATGTTTTGGCTGGCGAGGATCTCATTTGTGAGGTCGGCGGAGGCTTCGAAGGCGAGCGATTCGGACAACACGAGCGTATTGTCGCAATCGAACAGTATTGTGGTAATCTTCTTCTGATTCTTGTCAGTATGATAATACAAGTATGGAGCAGAAATGGAGAAGCGGAAGGGGTACAAGAGAGGAAACCATACTTGCGTCATGTTTGCAAGCTGGGACTTGTGAACAGAGATTTCTCTTTTCCGTGTTCAAGAGCGAAACTAGCAAAACACTGACGTCTAAGATCAATACTCATACTTAATCCACTGGAACCTGCAGTTATCACTGCTTTTTACTAATGCATGCATGATGAAATTTAGTTGCTATGATTCAAAGCTATCTATGCATGCAGTTCAAGCTACCGGCATGTGCATAATCTAGTATCATATCACATTTCACATGCCGGAGATCTCCACCCCAAGCCTCATGCACATACGGAAATCACAAATCAAAACTGGCGGTCTAAGAAGTCCCATCGTCATCCGGTTTGTCCCGGTTGGGCAGATGTAGGTTTGATGTTCGGAAATGGTGGCGTTTGTCTTGGACTCACCGCTCGGGCTGCCCCGTTCGAGATCCGCGGACAGACTGAAAGCTCCAAAGTAAATGTTCGCTACCTACGACTGGGAGTCTTACAGATTTGTTGGTTTTTGCTGCCGGACTCTAAATGTGAGCCCTCGCAGTTAGTCTGTCGTTTTCCAACGTCGATTGATGCCTTGAATTACTGTTACTTCCGTAAATGTTAACGGAAAACCCATTGTTGTCGGGTTTTGTTTTAATAACAAAGATTGCTTTTTTTGTGACATATATTTCATACGTGTGGTGGGCAGTTTCAGGTATCATGGGCGATATGTAGGCAATAAAACGATTGTTTTGTTGTATCTTAATACGAGATGACATGTCTCGATCCAACATCAAAGGATGTGATGCCAAAATTGACCTTGTCCATTCTCCGCGACACCACATCCCATTTCCATGCTCGTCATAGCTAATCCTTTTTCAGGAGGTCAGGGTAGTCGTGAGGGCCTGTGAGGTAGTTTTGCAGCGCCTCAATGGAAGGCGTGAAGAAGTACTCGCCGCCACGATGGATAACCCAGTTGTCGAGCTCGACTCGCTCCTCACTAGGCTGTTTTCCGTCCGGAAGTCCAATGGAGCGCGGTGGGTGATGGGCGAGGCGTTGTCCGACGATGGCGTCGATACCTGGGCCGTTCTCGCCGACGTGCTTGGTCTTCTTGTCAGGGAAATGATGGTTACTAGCCCAACCTGGAGATCGTTAGAAGCTGTTTTTATAATGAGAGACTGAATACATTCTTACGACTTGTCAAGAAACTGTAGCCCATGCGAATATCACTTTGGTAGCACACAAATATGAGCCCACGCTCATTTTTGTCGTCGGATTTGCTTGCAGCCATTTCTTCGGGCGTCACTTCACCGCCGTACGATATACCACGGCGGATGATGACTGCGTGGTCATGCTCAAGATCCCCACGGGGTCGCATTTTACGAATGTGCGCCCCAAATGGGCACCTATCGTGCTTTTCCATAGGGTGGAAGTCAAAATTGTTTGTTTCATGATACTCGGGTTCACCTTCCTTGTCATCGTGCGGACTCAGATCAACAGGCGTTCCTGGAGGTTTGGTTCATTAACACAGAAATTTAAAATGAGAAATACAGCAGTAAGGGGAGCTTGGTACACACCATTCTTCCACCGGCCCATGAGATATGCGGCCAACTTTTCCTTCGGATCCTTAGAATTTTCCACGAATGGAGCTCTATGCGAATTGACCTCCAGCCATCTGAGAAGGTATTGTTATCTATATGTCTCTCCCATACTACGCGAGATGGAATAACGTACTTGTCAAACTCGGGAACAAGTTGTTGCAAATCGCGGATAACCATGAAGCTGCCATCCGTTGCCCAGTCTGGTTGGCCCATCTCATCGCCCTCATATCCGGACAAGATCATTCTTGAATCAATCCAGTAAGCTAAATGTAAATCAAAGGATTACATGGTTTTTCTTACCCTGGTTTAACAGCTGGTGGTTCCTTATCTTTGGGCGAGAATTCATCCAGACCCTGGATCTTGGGCTGACTTATGCCATCTTTGAAGCCGAAGCTAAGGATTGATTAGTAACAGCTATCAGAAACATGGCAGAGGGCTCACTGTTCTTTACGACCTGGACGGGAAGCACCCACACGAGTCAATGGGAACTCGACGACAGGGTCGTTGCTCAGCACATAAGTGTCCTCGTCAACGTCAGATTCTTTGAGGAAATGTTCCTTCACTCGGTTGACCTTTTCGACCATATCCTGCTCGATACTTGACGACACCATGATGACTCCGTCAATCAAGCGCTCTTTCTTTTCGCCTTGAGGCTTGTATTGCTCACGTAACTCGTCTGGGTTATCCCAGCCTTCGTACACGAGATCAGTGTACATTCCGATGCCAAAGAGCCCTCCACGCAACTGGCGTTTTCTGAAAATTGCCGCCATTTTCTTGTCTTTCTTGACAGCGGCTTCATCAAAGACGAACTTGCCCAACTATCGATTGTGCATTAGCACCTTTTCGGTATATTTGTAAAGGCTACCATAAAGATCACAACTTACGGCTGCCAGTCCGGTCGAAGAGAAGGAGATATTCACTCCAGTCTTGGGCAGCAGTCTGCTGGGCCTTTGATCTTTGGGAAGCTGTTTTTCTTTCTGTTTCGCATCTTTCCATGCCGCAGCGGTTTCCGCCGTCGTGATTTCTGGCACGAAAGCCTTGAGCTGCGCTTTGAACTGCTCGGGCTTTCTGATGCGGAAGAACAGAAAAGTTTGGAACTTTTTGGGCAGGCCAGGCCTGAAAAAACATGTTAGCAAATGAAAGGCGCTGGTCTGGTTCTTTTCAAGCGGGATTACCAGATGTCGCCCTGAATGTTCGCCTTCCTGATTAACGAGGTCATAGCTATGTCTGGTTGTAGAACTCTGGAGTATCACAATGTTTGCTGCAATGAAAGACCCTTCGAGATCCGGCTCAAAAGTGTGAATGTGCTTTGCCTTTTTGAGACCGGGACACTGCAAGACTTTGACAGTATCTAAACTTTCAGTCTATACCTTTTCCAAAATAGGATCCCAAGTGAGAAAGAATGAAAGTAACTCTACGAGACCCGCGAGTCCCAATCAATTGTGACCATGTTACTGATATGTATGAAATCGCTAGAAGCAGAAAAAGTAACCTTTGATAAGCTGTAGATCATCCCGATAAAGTAAATACAAACCAGCTGTCTGCAGCTGCAGCTGGTCGGTAATAGCTTTTCAGAAGGACAATGTTTCATTGTTGATATACACGCCTCTTGGCTGCGAACAAGAATGCTTGAGCAAATAAATACCTCAGACACTTTAACTTCGGTGCGGCCGCACTAGCTGCAGGAACCTACATTGAGAATCTATTCCGGGCCTCCCCATTCGTCTTGAGTCTGGGAGAAACAGCATCAAAGACATATGTGTCACAAAGTGCTTGCATAGAGGCGGTGGGAAAGTCATATCTATGCATGTAGCTTGGAAAACAAAATGCACCAAACCAAAATGAAATGAAACAGCAGTACTCCGCGGAAATGATTTGCAATGATTTGTAGGCCGTTGACGGATCGACAGTCAGCAGCACTGTTGAGAAAGTAAGTCAGATAATGCAGCGCAGTGGAGCAGGCAACAAGTAGAAGCTCTGAGAAGTGATCATCATCCTGTCATTGCTGTGACATAATGATAGGGATCATGGTATGTCCGCCTGTCACTAACAATAAATAACGCAGAGATGTGGGGAGGAATGTCTCTATTTCTACTCAAACGCCCATCGTCGACTTGGTGCTTTACATAGCTTCTGCTTTTGTTCACCTCTCTTACCTCAGAGGAAGAAAGAAATCTGCCAAAATGAGGCCTCACTATACTGGATTGCTCCTTGGAGCTGTTACCGGTGCGGCTCTCGTTAATGCCTCGGGTCACTATCTACAGGAGGCAATGAACGGCGAGCGTGTCTCTGGTTATGCCTATCACGATACTCCTAAATGGGAACCATCTTTCACCAATGAATCCCCGCCCCTGAACGGTTTCCGTGTCTCTCGCGAGAAATGGAGTCTTTCGTGTAGTAGCAGCCAGCGCGAATACGAATGCAACAACGCCATAGATGGTAAAAATACCACAGACTGGCGCAGCGAAGCCGGGCAAGAGGAACAAAGCATCACGGTTGACTTGAAACTCCCTCACTCAATGAACGCCATCGTCATCCTGCCACCCATCAACTCTGGGTTCGACGGAGTAATTACCCACCACGAGGTGCACGTCAGTGAGGATGGGAAGAAATGGAAAGGTCCCATCGCATACGGAAAGTGGCCAAACTCGACTAGACAGCGGATGTCCGTCTTCGATCCCGTGCCGGCCAGGTACCTCAAGCTCACCACCCGCAACACAAACGAGACGAGCAAGTCATGGGTGGGCATCTCCGAGCTCAATATCTATGCAACTACCTACACTATCCCGCAAGATCCTGCACGCGGTATCTGGGGCCCGACAGTCAACTTTCCTGTGATTCCTGTTGCCGGTGCCCAGGAACCGTCTGGACGTGTTGTTGTCTGGTCATCGTGGGCCTCGGATCAGTTCCATTCAACGCCAGGTGGGAAGACGGCCATGTCACAGTGGAATCCCCTCACGAAGGAGATTTCTCAGCGTGTTGTGACCAACACGCACCACGACATGTTTTGCCCGGGGATTGCCATTGATGGCACAGGCACGTTGATTGTCACAGGAGGCAACGATGCCATGGTGACCAGTCTATACGATTCCGAGAAAGATCAATGGTTCCCAGGCCCTGAAATGCATCTTCGACGTGGATACCAGTCGACAACCACTCTCTCTGATGGTCGTGTCTTCGTGATTGGTGGTTCATGGGCTGGGGGCTCGAATGTAGCAAAGGATGGCGAAGTATATGACCCCATTGCCAGAACTTGGACCATGTTGCCAGGTGCTAAAGTGAAACCCATGTTGACCGACGATATGGAGGGTGCCTGGCGAGCTGATAACCATGGCTGGTTGTTTGGATGGAAGAATTTGACCATATTCCAGGCTGGTCCCAGTGTGGCCATGAATTGGTACTCTGCAGCTGGATCAGGCGATGTCAAGAAGGGTGGAAAGAGAATGGAGGATGGAGACTCGATGTCAGGTAACGCGGTCATGTTCGATGCTGTCAAAGGCAAGATCCTCACTGTCGGCGGATCCCCTGACTACGAGATGTCCTGGGCTACGGCGAATGCTCATCTCATCACGCTGGGGGAGCCTGGCGAGATAGCAAAGGTCGAACCAGCAGGAAAAAATGGTACAATGCACTATGAGCGGGTATTCCACACTTCTACAGTGTTACCGGATGGAAAGGTTTTCATCGTGGGTGGTCAGATGTTCGGAATCGCATTCAATGAAGAAAACGTGCAGCACGTCCCTGAGCTCTACGACCCAGAAACCAACTCATTTATAGAGCTGCAGCAGAATAACTTCGCCCGCGTATACCATCATCTCTCTATTCTCCTTCCCGATGCACGTGTGCTGACAGCTGGTGGTGGTCTCTGCGGTAACTGCTCCGCCAACCACTATGACGGTCAGATATTCACCCCACCATACCTCCTAACAGCACTTGGGGAACCCCGTCCGCGTCCCAGCTTCACCATCAAACCATCCAAGCGTGTCGCTGTGGGAGGTATGCTCTCATTCTCGACCGCAGACCGAATCGCCAGTGCCTCACTTGTCCGCCTCTGCAGCACTTCCCACACTGTCAATACTGATCAGCGCCGTGTCCCCCTGTCTTTGTACCGTTTCTGGCTCACCAACGCTTACCGTGCGCACTTGCCCACTGACCCTGGTATCTTGATCCCCGGTCCGTGGATGCTCTTCGTAATGGACCAAGACGGCGTCCCTTCTATCGCTCAGTTTATCATGATCACGGTGGACGGCAAGAAATCCGCTGGCCTTCTTGATGAAGAAGAGAGTGAGGAAGAGTGTAAGTCCTGCTCATCTTTTCTTCGAGATTTTGTTGCCACTGATACTGACTGTACTAGTTTCGAGGATGGATCTGATCAAGTAAGTTTTGGGAAACGGATGCGGAGGAGTAGATTGTGATGATGACGATTTGGGAGTAAACATCCGAGCGTTCTGTTTTCGAGGGCACGTTTTTCGAAGAAGGTTCGTGTCCAGTAGGATCTAATCCTGGTGCAGAATTTCTTCTAGGTTGAAATTTTCTGTAGAGATATGTTCAGATAGTCGAAAAGCAGGCGGGCGAGAATAAAATCACGTGAGATTTTGTATCTTGGAGCCAGATCGCAATACCTTTTTTATTTCCAAATGTGCTTGTTGTGAAATAAGACTCCTAGGTTCCAACTAACAGACAGAAACAGAACTCATGATGATTTGTTTACTCACTGGATTAGCTGTAAAATCAGAATCATATTGCACGATGATATAGCGAACAAAGTCGCTTAATCTCGCTTCGAAGTGTAAATAAAGAAATGCTGCACGCTACGTGCAAACATGCTTGAACACAGTCATAGAACTTCGATAAAAGTTATTTCCATCGGTGAGGATATCAAAGGATATCGTACAATCAGACTTGGTGTCTCGAATTGTTACAACATTCACCATGATCTTCTCCCTCACTTTTGAATCTCCTCATGAACGGTGTTTCCGCCCAGGATAGGATGAATATCATGCTGTTTCTACCAGCCTAGGCAGCTGAGATTATCTCCCAATTTATCTGTAACCCAGTTCTCCTCAATAAATGCAAATTCAAGGACACGGCGAAGGAGTTTGCACAAGCTGGAGGTGATAATGATAATGGATCGGATGTAGAAATCACCCATTACGCTGACATGGATCACAAAGTTGGAGAAACTGATCTTGACAACAATGGCGGCGCTGGAATTGAACCTCTCGATCCCAGCATTACGAACCACGGCATCACAGTTTCCGATGGTCAAGTCAGGGATCGACTCACAAGCACGACTCCAAGCGTCTGTTCAGGTCACAGATCTATTCGCAAGCCTGTTGGCAAGCCCCGCACCAGAAAGCTTTCAGATAATGGCACTACGACCGATCAATCCACCACTACTAGTGGCAAGAAGACTATTTCTCTTGAGGAACGCGATGATTGGGGTGTCGAAAAGTTTAGAATGAACGAGGATGAACTCGGCCAGATCCGTAGGGAATACCACCTGATCCGATTCAAGTTCTTCATCGGCAAGACAGAAGACGGCAAAGACAAGGGACCAGACCACACAGATTATTTAACTGTCACAAATGATGAAGTTCGCCAATTCCTCGAGCTTCGAAGGAAGAACGGCGGCTACGTCTCTACACCGAGATACGAGAAGTCGGAGAAGTCGGCTGCTGCGAATCTGGCTGCGACTATGAGAATGGAAAATAAACTTGAGCGTTGAAGACTAATGGCTAAGGGTTTTTGGCCCCCCGCCCAGGCTAAAAAAAACCCCTGGACTTTCGCTGGCCCAGAAGATTGAGATGGCTCACATTGCTCAGGAGGGTATTGATGCTTCGGAGGACAAGGACTAGAGTGCTGGAAGATGAATTGGGGACCGCATGGGCAGCCGATATTGATGTGTCGATAGCGGGGGGCTAGTTGATCAATGCAGCTCTGCAGCAAAGGTGAAAGGACGGAGGTCTGTTTGGTTGGTGGTCTATTTGCCTGCTGTCGATGGCATGGTTCCGTGACCCTTTTGGATCTTAATTTGGTCTTCACATACATGTGCTCTTGCTCTTGTTTTCATTGAATCTGATATTGGGAGAGTATCATTGAGGCTGTCGTCATTCAAGGCTTGGTACAAAGGAACGAAAAAGTTTAAGACAGGTTTTGTCACAGCAAGACTAATCAGGGGATTCTACTTCTTCGTAGTCCACGTCAATGACAATGCCAACCATCAGCGAATCTTCCGTCCATGATCTGTGACCAATAATACGTAAAATCTCAATTATGCGCTCTACAAACATCTCACAATAATAGTGACTTCTTTAACCTGCGATATGCTAGTAGTTTATAATGGCTGCTATTTATTAGATCTTAACACAATCTTCATCCATCTATTTATCCCGAACCGAAATGCTGTCGCTTAGCTCACTAGCGTGGTACTGATCGATAGGCTCCTGTGACATTTAAGACCCACTCGAATCAAGGTTCTCCTCCAACATCTTCCTCTCGAGATCATCAATCCCCAAACATTTCCATCAACAAACTACCTTCCGGACCGTATATCATCTGCAATTTTCTCTGCGAGCATATACACCGTACCTTGTGGATGACCAGGCACAGAAAACGGTGCGATAGAATTGTCCACCACTCTCAGCCCGCTCACACCAAATACCTTGCCCTTGGAGTCCACAACAGCATTAGCATCACTCCCCTTTCCCATTTTGCACGTACTGGAGGCATGCCATATCTGTTGCGCACTTCCTCGGATATACTCCAGGATCTGAGCATCGGTTTGTACCGCAGGCCCTGGGGCGATCTCAGCGCCAACCCGAATAGCCTTTGCAGGGGTGGTTTCCCAGATCTGTCGTGCACGCTTGAAGGATGCTACTGCCACCTCAGCGTCCCTAGAATCCATCAACCAGCCTAGGTTTATTAATGGCGCGTCGAGCATACTCGGGCTCTTGATGGTGACGTTTCCTTTTGAGAAGGGCACGAGAATGCTTGGACTCACAGCGCCGATGATAAAGCCTGGGCCTCCCGGGAATCCGGAAACGACATGCTCTACCTCTGGCCAGTCTGCTGGGAATGCAGATAAAGCCGACCTTGTCGCTTGAGAAAAGTTCGACCGAACCGAGCTCGGAAGCTTCTCAAACCCAAAGTAACCTCCTGCTGAGCTGTAAGGTCCAGCTGCAGAATCGAGATACTGCGAAAGTGCGAGTGGTGTATCATCGGCGATGACTGATCCAGAAGTTGCTGTTGTAATGCCCCACAAAACGTTGAAGAAAAGAGGATCTTGGAGATTTTGACCAACTCCCGATAGAGCTGAGATAAGGGGAATTCCCTTAGCCGAAAGGACCGCCGCAGGACCAATACCTAACACATGTCAATGAGGTAATTTCAAGTGGTAGCTACCAGTCTTCATACCAGATACCATGAGGAGCTGTGGTGAGTGAAAGACCCCAGCAGAAATGATGACCTCCTTGTTTGCTGACAAAGTGTACTCCAGCCCTTGCGTCGAGACTCTCACACCAACCGCTTTCTTGTTGCCATCAAAGAGAATCTTGGTGGCCTGAGTGTGGGTGTACACGATCAGTTGCGTCCGTTTGATCGCATCGTCCAAGTAACTGCTTTCGGAAGTTGATCTTGTGGCGTCCTTTGGAGCTATCGTTGAAGTAACCCAAGCCCCGCCAAGCAACGAGCCACTGTTGAAGCCAGATCGACTAAGTGCAATACCAGCGGCCCGGAGCGCACCCGAGAGAGCGTTGATCGTAGGATCGACCCAGTTCCCGTAAGACACTTGTAGTGGACCCCCTTTTGAATTGTCAAATGCAGCTGGGTCGTACACTGGAATTGCGTTGGAAGTTGCTCTCTTGGAGAGATCTGGTGGGGTGAAATGTGCGGACTTTTGGAAGAAGGGCAAGAGGTTGGGGAAAGTGTAACTCTGGTCTCCAACGTGATCTGCCCATCGTTGATCTGGATTTGGATTAGCATGTGAAGCGTCAAAAAGATGGTGCAGTCGAAGATTGAGATTCGACGATCACTTATCAAGAGGGTATTGGCAATCAAGCCACAGTCCAGCCACCACAGAAGCGGCGGAAGCTATTGGAGCCGGATCTGGTTCATTTCACAAGTTTCTTGACATGACGGACTCTGTCTATCGCAGACACGTTCACGAGAAGAGTGGTTTGTATGAAGTTTGAAAGACATATATGAAAGTTCGTACATGATCCTTTGGTACCTCTAAGATACGCCATTGTGTTCAAAGCTGACGAACCTCCCAAAGTCTTTCCCTGAGCATAATGAATTTTGCGATTCGCGGCACCAGCTTGGATCTCGGATACCAGTCCCCAATCAACGAGAGGCTGTTGGGGGAACGATTCGGTCGTGGCTAGGACGGGCATCACCAGTCCAAGATAAGGCACGACACTGTTGTTGCCATTCTCGACTTCGTAGAAGCCGCCAGCTTCAACAACTGCCACGGAAGCAAACTCAGCAAGACGGGAAGCAATCGTCAATCCGGCGGTGCCTCCGCCGACGACTGTGAAAATTTTGTGAGCGACAGCTTCCGCACATATTTTTTAACAGGCAGGTTGGGCATGTCTGCGTCAAAGAAGAGGTCGGGGGTGATCATTACCTATATAGTCGAACGAGGCATTTGTGCCTGGAACTCCGAACGCACTAGATGGAAGCCTAAGTTGTCCGGTTTTGCCAGTGGCAAGCGTGCAACACAAAGTCAACAAGACTAACAAATTGGCTGAGAGGAACATAGTCGGCGCGAGTGACGAATGAAACAAACGAGGCGCTGGGTAGCCAAAGATCTTATGGACGGGACCAAATCGAACACACTTGGAATCCTAGTCTTCTACGCCAAGGATCAAGGTTGTCCACTCACCGGGGTCGATTTTGAGATCCTGGAACCTCATTCCTTTTTTGGTATGGACGCTGCGTGACGCAAGCGGGATGAGCGGACATCTCGACTTGCTTGAGACATCATCCCGCCTCTGCCAGGATGTGGGAATATTCCGTGATTATTTGAATTGGCAAAAGCATGCACGTCCAAGGGTTTATGCGGGGTTCCTGTCATGCACATTGGTGCAGGTACAACGCGGGACTTCTTGGGATTCTGCATGACCAAAGTAGAAAGTACCCTGCCTACTACTACTGCAGAAAGACATTGACTCAAATGCCGTCTCAAGGGGTCTTCCGCTCCTGAGCTTCAGCTCCTGAAGCAAAAGAGGGATGACTTTGCGGAGGAATTGCCAGTCCGGATCTTGCAAACTCTATTTCTGAGACATTGAATCCTCCCCAATAACCACGCGACCTTTATTGAGAGCTAGTCCAGACTAAATGAGCTCCTCCCAGCAAGGAGCACCCACCGGTATTGGATCATCCCGCGCCGCCCTTTGACGGGACGATCCTTCCACCCGTCGTCGACTATCAACGAGAGAGGAATCAAGTGTTATTTGATGGCTTCTCTGCGACTCTTGCTTTGGGCATCGAGATCGTAGCTCGATCCGTGAGTGTTCTAGTGTGCGGGTTCTTTAACGACATCAAAATAAAGAAAACTGACGGGAACGGATCGACAACAACACTTCAAAGACCAATAGCCTGCAAAGATTACCGAAACTTTGCAGAAAGGCAAATAATCATCCAATCTCTATCATCGCCGTCTCAGCTTTAGATTCGAAGCTGTGCCAGCCATCACATCCGGGGAAGTCGTTCCGATTGGAGCCCACCGGGGATGTCTGATGTTGGCAGGCTGGGTACGGAAGAGAGGCTCCACTTGCCGAAGTTACAAATAATTTACAAACCCCATTTCCCCAGCTTTCGCTTCTCAGACTTTGTCTGATCAACAATGAGAGCACCGAGCTCGAGCCAGCAATAGTCTCGAGTCCACGATGAATTCGAGTGAGGTCCTTGGTGCGTGGCCACCACCACCCGGTGTTACTCCGAACTTTGATAACCCAGATTCCATTGCGTGGAGGGTCATTACGGCAGCTTTGATATCTCCCGTTGTTTCCATTTTCTTTGTTCTAATGCGGTCATACACGAAGAGATTCATCTTTCATCGGTTCGATTGGGATGACTGTAAGTCTTACCTTCTGTGGATTGGAAGCGGGAGTGACTGACAATGAACTATACAGATGCCGTTATCATAGCCTTTGTAAGTGGAGTCCAGCATGCCGCAGCAAGGCTTCCGAGGTTAACAGTACTCAAAAGGTTTTTGCGTTTGCGTATTCGGTGCTACAAGTTGTTCGTAAGGCTTCCAGGAACTGGAAGTTCTCAGGCGTCTACTAAGCTGTTCTGTAGAGACCCAATATGGCTCTGGCGTACACATTTGGAATGTTCCCCTTGAGAAGTACACGATATATACTAAGGCAAGTCCTCACCTACGTCTGAGACTTCGACCAGCTCTGACAAACACGAAGTTGGGAATACCTGGTGCAGTGACGTATAATATGTCAACGCTCTTCACCAAGGTTGCGATCCTGTTATTCTACCTCCGGTTGTCAACGGATTTCCACTTCCGATGCGTGACCTACGCCGTCATGTTTGTTGCTGTGGGATACAGTCTCGCGGGAGGATTCGCTTTCTTATATCTTTGTCGACCGCTTCCCAAATATTGGGACTTCAGTATTCCAGGAGAGTGTTCGAACTTTGGCGCTGCATTCCTTGCTGGTGCTGCACTGAATGTTGCTACTGACATTTCGCTGCTCCTTCTACCGTTATGGCTGCTTCATCCCCTGAAGTTGCCTCTGAAGCAGAAGATCGGAGTTACTCTGATTCTGATGACAGGTTCCTTGTAAGTCCCTGCTCGTTTATGTCTATAATCGTCAGCGACATTCTAGTTCTTCCCAGTGAAGATGGTAGAGTTGTTACTAACGGGATGTAGTGTCTGTGGTGTGAGCATATACCGATTGGCAATAATTCCCCCAGGCCTGAAAAATATGGACGCAACCTGGCATTACATACGGAATATCATTTGGTGGTAAGCTCATCTTTCTCGCACCTGTCTGCCTCTGCTCCATAATCTAATTCGTGGCAGCATCATCGAAATGAACACCGGGATAATCTGTGCTTGCTTGCCAAATCTCAAAGCCTTTGCCAAACGACATTTCCCCAATCTATTCAAGAGACCAGCGCCAGCTCTTGTCAGGCCGACAGGCTATATGCAAAGACCATCTCCACAGAGCCAGGTAGAAGCTCAAGGTAATCGCACTCGCTGGCTCAAGGGATACTTCTCCATGAACTCATTGAAATCGAGTAATGGCTCGAGTTCGTCTATCAAGAAGTCTGCTGCGACCGTATCCACGATTATATCTGCACCGAAAACGAGGAGCGAGTCGAGAGAAAGTTTACGAGAGCAGCTGACCGTGTAATGGCACGACCTGTGCCAGATTCAACGAGTCTGCCTCTGGAGTGGAAGAGAGACTATCACGTGACAAGTCAACTCGAATTCGTATTGGACCGCAGCGAAATATGTTTGACGAATCCGTTCGACCACTAGAGCTCTTTTATAGCGGCTACTGGAATGTGAACAGTAGCTACGAAGCTGTCGTAGGCTATGGAACACGGTTTGAGGTGTTGCGAGCCGTTCTGGGTACTTTGATGTTGGGTAGAAGACAACAACACCTACCTACCATGGAGTGTTGATATTGTTGTTGGCGAGGCTAAGTTTCCCCGTCGTCACCCACCCAGCAGAGCCTTATACGAGAACTCCTCTGGCGCTACGGATACAACGCGAGATTCACAACAAATACCCTGGTCGTTCTCAAGCAACACTCATCAACACATCCAGCTTTCAGCATTCGTCTTCAACTCCTGGCAAGATGGAGAATATATCCCAAGCGTTTTCAACCGCATTTCCGAGACTGCCTCACAGTATACACAACCAACCCGCTCAACTCCGACCAATACAATCACAATGGCTCGCGTACGAAGCGCTATCGTCAAGGGCAAGCAAGCCGCAAAAAACACCGTGAAGATCGCAAAGCAGGCCGAAGCTAAAACGACCCTCACAAGTACGTATGCTATGTTCGCTTCCCTCATTGCATGATTGCTGAGAATCCAACAGATCGCAAAACCATTGGCCTGCACGGCAAGAAAATCGTCACAGCCGCATACAACATGCGAAAAGCCTTTGGCATCCCTCGTCTGTGTCGCTCCTAGGAGGAATTTCGCGCCATCCGTCCCTTTGACAAGTACCTCCTCAGCACCGCCGTCTTCAACCAGATCCCCGAAGAATCCGCAGAGAAGCCACTCGTCATGATCACCAATGACGAAGTCGAGGCACTCATCGCGTGCCGCGCAAACACACGGCGACCATACAAAGAAGGGCGTGAGCTATGATTGGACTTGGAAGTGCCCGGGAAAGGATGCGAGGCGCTGGGAGGAGGTCACGAAGGAGGCTTGTTGGGAATATGAGACTGAGATGATTGATAAGATGGTGATCAAGATGAAGGAGAAGATTGAGGCTGCTGGTGGGGAGTTGGTGGACCCTCTTGTGTTGTTTTCAAAGAGATACCGGAACTACCAAGGCTGATTAGAGGAAGATGGGAGTGGATTAGTCTCGGTTCGATTGGTTTTCTGCAAGACAAGTCTTCTTCGGGCAGATTCTAATATATTCCCCATATTGTGACTTTGACCATCCAAGTCAGTTGCTATCCCTCGATACTCAAGATCCAACACGGCTTTGACGTGCTCCTACTATCTAGTGATGGATTCTTTGACAACCCCAATGCTGTATCTAGTATCGAGTTGTCCTTTCATGACATTCAATTCCTTGCTTCAAGCTGAGATGAGAGTCCATTCAGAACCGAACAGTATTTTACTCAGGATCAGGAAATGGCTTTCAACGCATCTTAGTCGTGACGTTCGACTTCTGTTCTTCCGCAGTCTGACCAAGCTGCCCTTAATACCAGCACCAGATTGAACTCAAATGGTCATCATGGCGAAGTTCATGTCACCGCTACGAGAAACCCTTGCAGAAATTCCATGACTCAGTGTGCAGAAGCAAAGGAATCCCCATACCTCTTGACTCCCATCGCTTACGTGGTCCTATGTACGACTCGTCAACAGCCCCAGTCTACAGGTTCGGATGTCAGCAGAGGTTGTGAGTCTAGGTCCAGATGCTCATCACACTCATTCGGTATATGAAAACAGAACGTCTGCATCCAAATTATCAGATCCGCAAATGCTGCTTGTCCAAATCCACCATAGTCCTGAAGATTGCCACCAGTCCACGCTAATTCACATCTTCAGAATATTCTTCAATCTGGCAGGTTCGCCTTTGTAAAATAAAATCAACGCAGCGCGAGCAATCTGGAGCGATCTAGTCTCTAGAATCGGAAATCATGGCTATCTCTTCTGCAACGAGTCAAAGATCACTCCTGGTCATTATCAGTCTGTCTAGCAGTTCTTTCGACCGCCAATGTTCGAATTCGTGCTAATTCAATGTGTTCTGTGCAGTCGATCTGCAGGGCAGCCAGTCATCGACGCGGGCTCACCTTTAGGATTTTGGCATCGAGATATACAGTACACTGTCCTCGTTCACGCATCAGTGAAAGAGTATCTTCTGACACTCAAAAGTCTCATATTGCAGAAGTATACTCATCGCAATGGCAAAAAGGGGCAATATAGCCAGAGGTAAGAGGGAGTGGTATTGATGTCACGTGACAGTGCGGCATATCACAAGAAACGATGGGCAGACCCTGGACGTTGTGTTGACAGATTAGGTGATTGGAAATAAGTCGCTGACAGAAGGAGGCAAGTTTAGATAAGAAGAGGATTCGGTCCCAACCGCTGATTGAAGCTCCAGCTTTGCAGTCTCATGGGCCCGTTTCTCAATGCCGAAGGTACAGTCCATGGCGCAGACTTTGCAATCGTGGAAGGTTTGAGTCAAGTGCATGATGAAAATCTAGGATATTTGTAAAAATTTCTCCGAAGGCTCTTCGTCAAGCCTTTCGCTTCGCTTCGACAGGGCATGATCCACATCCGTCGCCTTGCCCGATGTTCAAGCCTTCTTCACATCCTTCTCCGCAAACAGATGCTCCCGCAAAAGCCACACACCCGATACCGTCGCAGCAGGTCCGAATAATACTGTACTAAAAGTCATTTGGATCGCAACCTCCACTGTAGATACCTCAGCCTTTCCAAAATGCTTCAAATCCCATATAACTCCCCACGCAGCAGCAAGTGCTGAGCCCAAAATGATCAATCCGTCAACCTGGAAAATGTAATGGAGGCTTCCCAGCATAGTCAGGCGATCTACAGGTGGTAGTCGGATGAGAGAGTGAACGAAGTTTATTTGTGGAATCTTGGTGGAGATACAGAGAGCCATGGTAATGACATGTACAGCGGCGCAGGCGATGAAATTGACGATGTAAACTCGGTGCAGATGCTTGAGACTTGTTTGAGATTTGTTGACGCTCACCGCTGGTTCATTCTTTCTGATGAGGGTTGATATTCCAACGAGCAGAATATTGACGTAGAGAGGGCAAAGCTGCCAGGAAGCTATCAGAGCTTGGTGGATGTGGAGACCAGGATCAGAGAACGGGATGTACATTGCCACAGTTGGTACGAGATATCCAAGAACCAGAGATGGAAGAAGTGCTTTTGCGTACGCTGTGTCTACCAGTCGCGATGCTGGAGTCCAGGAGCTTTCTTTGGCTGAGGCCATGAAGAATAGTAGGTACCAGAGTGGTATCACAACTGCCCCTCCAACAGTTTGGTAGAACACTGCCCAGATGGAGGTCCTGTAGCCAGTTAGTGACCGTTCCCTTTAAAAACAGAAAGTCAGAGATACCATTTAATGAAAGACGAAGCATTCCCCTTCCTGCCAGCCTCAATAGACGATATCGAGATAATTGAAAAGAACGACACGAGGAAGTAGATCTGCTGAACATAGGCATTCATATCCCATCCAGAAGCGCCAGGCAAGAAGGCGGCGACCAAAAATCCTAAACCGTAGTCGAGTGACGCAATTCCGGTGTACTTTGTTCGTAGTAATTGATCGTTGTTGGGGAACTTGCGCGTCGTCACGACATCCTCCATGGGTTTGGATACGCTCAATGCTACATCGCTGAGTCTCATCTCTTTCAATGCGATCAAGGACATCGCGATGAAGAAGCTGGTGGCTGCATGACCTTTCCAGCCTCGTGAGAAAGATTTCTCGGCCATGCTGATGTTGTGCTGAACGCTCTGATGAAGGAGAGGGTTCGGTTGAACAAGGTCGAAGCCTGAAACGGCGCGTACTCGTGATAGGCCTTCAACTCCTCTATGCAGGATATTCTCCCAGACTTAGTCTTGACTGCTAGATGTTCTTATACTTGACATTGATAATCGATTTGAGTAAGCCGCGGAGTCCACCGGCACATGTTGTCAGCAAAATTGTACTCCTTTTTTCAAATTCTGCGGCGCAGTCCTCATCTCACCTTGCCCCACCATCACTTGGCTGAGGTGGGCTTGGCAGGGTTTTTATCTTTGCATCTCCAACTTTGTTTGGGCGGTCGTCGAGATGTACTTTCAACTAGGCAGCATACAAATGACAAAGGAAAAGTGGTTTTTCTTTTATAAAAAAAAATTACTTCATTTGAAGCTCATGAGGTGGTCTGTCGAGGGCCGGTGCCACAAAATTGATAACAGGACTTCGGAAATACCAGAATGCAGCCAACTCCACTTCTCCAAAGTGAACAGTTTTCTTCTCCGTATTCATCCTCAATCCATTTAAGTAGATCTCTTAAACATAGAATTGACATTCCAAAAATTGGAGATCATGAGACGTCTCTTGTTTGCCAAAGGTTGATTGCTTGAAGAACAGGCAGAGAATGCAGGACGTTCAAAGTCAAGTCAGCCAAAGCAGTGAGTAGCGAGACAGGTCTTCGATGAAGTGGATGGAAGTTGAGATAGCCATTTGCGAGCATTGGATGTGATCTCCCATTGGATCAGAGCTCAGTATAAGCCAAGGGATCCTTTAGAATACTTTCTCACTTGTTGGCTAGCATATCTCAAGATCTTATTTGCAGTCACCCGAGTCCGGATGAGACTGATCGTGAATTTTCTGCTCCAAATACTCACGGATGAATCCCCTTGTAGTCACATCGTAAGCTTTACGAAGTGTTTCTTCCACTAAAGCAATCAGGGCTCCTACTTTCCATCAGATCAGCGGATCTTTAGACTGCACAATGAAAGTCCAGGGAATCAGGGATACGTTTCTTGAATCAAGCAAACTTGATGCCGTTTAGGATTCACTCTATCTCTTGATGCTAGATGACCTGGAAGCGCTGTTCTGAGTGAATGGAAGTCATCGACCCGTCCCAACAAATCTCTTTTAAGTTGCGCCCATCCCACGAGTTTCTACACCTCAGAGACAAACACAGATTCTCCCACAATAGAAAAGTGGTGTGATCTGGCTCTGTCATTCGATTCGGTTCCATAGATATGTCTCGAATGCACGTGTCGAACGTTTCTCATGCGAGACTTTTCAGACTGCGCTCTGCCAAGTACATGCCCGAGAAGCTGCAAGGTTTGCTTATGACTGAAGTTCAGAAAGCTGAACAGCCGGTACATGCTGCCATGTCAATTACTGCTGTCATCTGAATCTTTACTGCCATGCCAGCCTATGACATGGCACTCTGTGCTGTGGGTTGGTGAGGGGTCCTGGGTGACAGAGTGGGCAAGTAGCGAAGCGAAGCCAAGTAAACAAACTTCCGAATTTACAAGCTATCTGACATTACATAGTCCGTTGTTAAGCCTCCAAAAGAAATACTCCAGTATATGCTCTGAATGTTTCTGATTATTTTTCGCACAATCTGTGGAAGTCCCCAATATATGTAGCATTCATACCTCCGGGTTTACCTTGAAATTTCTAGCTGGCGTGAGAGCTGGCGTGAGAGCTGGCTGATACACTTATCATATAACTATTCACTACCGCACACACTACCCTAAATCAATTATATCTTTGATAGTATCATAGTCATTCGTCTCTCGTTCCCCAAGGCTGTCTGATTTGATAATAAGGGTCTATAAATTAAACAGGTTGGACTTAACCTGGGAATCAAGCAACAAAGACGAAAAATTTCAGAGTTGAAATGAGGTGAACCTCTCTCTTCCCACAGGGCTAGTTGCATGAAACGACACTCAGCTGTAGAAGTCCTGTGGTATCTATGGAGATATTCAGGATATCGCTGAAATCTCTGCTCCCCCAGAGCTAGGTAAGATAGCGTGAAGGAGAAGTGTTGTCAAAGATCTTTCTGCTGTCATATTCCCCTGATCCACACAGTTACATCCAATGTGAAACTCTGTACGAAATCTTCAAAGCCATCTGAAGTCTCATCCATTCAATCCAAATCCTTCACATCCACAGAAATAGTTCCTCATTTGAAGTGCGGTCTGAAAGCTAAACTCGCAAAGCCAGACATCCAGCTTTGTTGGTATCTCTTAGATTTTCGCAGCCGCCTTGTATTCTCCAATCTATCAAAAGTTGAGTATTTATATATGTTGTGATTAGACCTTCCTGATTTTGATGTTGTCTATTGAATATATGAAGTCTGCTGAGCAGGTGGTGGTAGTCCGTCCAGTTTGCAAATAGTAAATTCACCATCCTCGATTGAAACTGCCTAGTAGAACTTGGAGCAGTCCCTTTTCTACTACAGAGAGTCTATCTACTTTACAGGCCCAACATGCCTCCTACCGTTGAAACAGCAAACCTTCGCAGAGACACCTCGCTGGTTTTTTTTCAGCCCTTACGGGAAATTGTTAGTCATATATGACGATATTTATTGTTTTTTTGTTTTTCGTATGACGAGAAGAAGGGCTGGCAGGATCGATTTCTATCTATGTACGATTTTTCTAAGTAAAGAAAACCTGGTTAACTTGGTCACTGTTTTGTTGTCCGCAGATTAATTGCTGTCACTCCTACTCCCCCTGCCCCTCTTCCTCCCCCCTCCCCCTAACCCCCTATCTTCTCCATATCATAAACATCTTTTTACCGTCTCTATCTAACTCGTGTGGAACAACACAATGAAATACATTACGCCACATCAGACCTTCCCTCGCAAACCAAATCCTCTTGCAAAATTTTCAAGGCTAGGCATTTCCTCCTCCCCCGAAGAGAAACTACACTTCAAACGTAAGAGCAAATATCGATGATAACGTCTATTACATGGTGGCTTCTTCCCTCTATCTCGCCAGGGGATTGATATATATATACATGAAGAGGGAGAGGTAGGGAGGGAGAGAGAAAGACATAGCCAGCACTGGCCATTCACTCTTCTCTACCCTAGTATTAGTCTTCTAATCAATCACTCACGCATCGGCCAACCCCCCACCCAATCAATCAATCCCGAGTAATTCTCTCGTCGCCTGTGTGAGAGAGTGGATGATCAAGAGAGTCTGACTACTCCCGAGGTATACTGTCCATTGAAGCCTTTAAATATGAAAGAATATCTGCTTTTTGTGGTTGTGCTTATCCCGTCAGCTCCTCCTTCCCTCCTTCCCTCCTTCCCTCCTTCCCTCCTTCCCTCCTTCCCTCCTTCCACCTCCACCTCTACCTTCTTGCATCTTCCATCTCCATTTCCTTTTTCTTCTTTCAAGAGGTTCCGAGCCAGACTCCCAGAGGAGAGGGGAGTGGATGGCGTTTCAGTATATATATATATATACCGGTACTTCGCTGTTGATAAAGTCTCCTCTGAAAACCCAACATATAGGGAGTGTAACCTATTTCGCACTTAGACTCGGTTAGGGAATAAGAAGAGGAAGTATGTAGGAAGGAAGATTGGTGACGGTATGGGTATTTAAAATAAGGGGAGCAGGGAGATGTGAAGAAACTGGTATCGATTTCCTATCCTTTCCTTTCCTATCCTATCGTAGGCTCTCATACCCAAGAAAAACGAGAAGGAGAAGCAGAAGGGGTGTATCGTACACCTAAACCAAGCCAAGACAAGCCAAGCCAAAATGAAAGAGAGCAGTAGCCAGAGAGGTCCAACCAGGCGACAATACTGAACTGCCAACGTATGAATTATTCCTTCCTCCATCCATCCCGTCCTATCCACGCATCCACGCATCCAACATCCAATTCCCATCCAAACCCCCCTACCCTCAAACCCATTACCCCTCCCTGCCTCCCTCCCTCTATCAACCACCACCCACCTACCTCTCCCCAATACAAGCCACCATCAACTTCTCATAATCCCCACTCGTCTCACTCTTAATCTTACTCGCCAGATCCCTATGGAACCTCGCACGATACGCGCCCTTAACCTGACTCATATGATTCCTATCCCAATGCGCGCGGATAACGCGATTGACGAGCAGGTTATCCTTGGTGCCTGCTCCCGCCATGGCTTCTTCAAGGAGGATGGCGTCGCGCATGGCTTTGTCGGTTCCGGTGCGGAGTTGGTGGATCAGTGCGTCTTCCATGTGGCCGGAGAATTCCTGTGGGGGAGGGGGGTTTAGCTTTGTTTTTTGTGTGGAGGTTGGGGAGGAGAGGGAAAGTACCTTTTTAATGACGGTCTCGAGATCACGCTGGTATTTTTGCTTGTATGTATGTGCAATGGCTGCAATCTGCGCATTACTCCTCTGTGTCAAAATCTGGCACACCAACAATTCATCTGTGCCTGTCTTCCCCTCAGTCGCTTTATACAGCTCCAGAACATCCTGATCGATCTGCTGAGGGATCACAGGCGCTGACTCCTCATTCCGGTTTGCAGCTAAAACCATTAGGAAATGCCTCTCGGTTTTCATGCTCAGGTCGGCTTTGATGTCTGCTTCTAGATTGCGGTGGTATGTCTTCTGATAGGCTTCTTTGATGGCTTTCATGTCTGCGTTAGAGCGACCCAGGAGAACATCGTTGAGGACTTTCTCTTTCGTGCCCGGGCCGTCGGTGGCTTGGATGAGGTTCAGGACATCTTGTTGCAGAGGACCGCGTACGATGGCTGTGAGACCGTCTTCGAAGGAGCCGCTAACTTCGCCTTTGATTTCGTTGATGAGGTTTTTGCCGAATCGTTGCTGGTAGACTTTTTGGATGACGGCTACTTGTAGGGGGTCTTTGTCCGCCAGGGTTTGGATGAGGAGTTTTTCGTTGGTGCCAAATCCTTTCATTGCTTTCTTTAGAGCTTCTGCGTCTGAGATTCCGTCATATGCAATGTGTTGCTGTGGACCGTAGCCAAGGGATGGAGGGGTAGGTTGTGTGTATTGCTGCTGGGGAGCTCCATATTGTGGCTGTGGAGGGTATTGTTGTGGAGGAGGTGCACCGTATCCTCCTGCTGCTGGAGCTGGTGAGCCGTAAGGAGGTTGTTGATATCCTTGCGGTTGTTGGCCGTAGGGAGGCTGTTGTGGAGGAGGATATTGACCTTGTTGGCCATATGGTTGTTGTGGAGGGGGAGCTCCATATTGTCCTGGGGGAGGCGCTCCATATTGCGGTTGTTGCTGCTGGGGAGGATATTGACCGGGAGGAGGGGCACCATATTGAGGTTGTTGATAGCCCTGCTGGCCGTAAGGCGGCTGCTGAGGAGGGGGAGCTCCGTATCTGCGGGTTAGAAGTAAGCCATTGTACGGCGCATAAGCTCCCAGACCCCTCCAAATGAAAAACCACTTACTGCTGCTGTGGAGGCGGCGCACCATATTGTTGCTGTGGGGGAGGCGCTCCGTATTGCTGAGGAGGAGGAGCACCATACGGTTGCTGACCATAAGGTGGTTGGGGGGAATCTGTTCATTGTCAGCTCAATGTCACCAACTGCTCGTGCGACTTACGACCTGGTGGCGGGGCACCATATTGCTGCTGTCCTGGAGGAGCACCGTAGGGAGGTTGATATGCCATTGTCTCGAGTCTTGTGTATGAAATCTGTCAATCTGCGAATCTGTCCAAGTGAGGGAGAGAATTGTTAATGAGGAAAGCAAGAGGGGTAGCAAAGTAAACGGGACACGAGCCCTGGACTTTATGTCGTCGTACGTGATGGCGAACAAGCTAGAATCAAGCACCCTGTTGGTTGCCTGCCATCCTCCATCCACTTCAGCCCAACAGCCCAGCTGGTTTCGAGGGGCAGTGCTGAGTGGTCGGGATGATACCCAGGGACGAAAACGGGTATGGGCTGGTCATGAATGGAATGGGGCAGAGCACAGCCCGTCAGCCACTGCAAGTGGTGTCTTGGCTGTCAATTGAGCCTAGGATATAGACAGGGTGCAAGCGGGGGAAATGGGCAGGATTGTTGGATTGGAAGGGAGATTGATTGGATGGGATAAGAGGGGGGGAGGTTGGTGATGAGAGGATATTTTGAGGTTGATGTTGATGTTGGTTTTGTATGCACCGAGACGAGGAGGTCGATTTGACTTCCAGAGGTGCATCGGTTCGCAGCGAGGACAGACCAAGGCGAGCAAGGGCAAGAGGAGAGCGGGGTGGGGAATAGCTGTAGCTGTAGCTCCCGCCCCTGCCCAGCACAAGCAGAACAGGACAAGTGGGACAGGGCAAGGCTGAGTTGATTGCATGACGCACCACGTACAATTGCGCTTTGAGGACTTCGAGATGACAAAAAAGTTGTGGATAATAATGATATGTGAATATATTTTATTCAATGTCCGGAATGGAAAAGGATAGGTATTCAATGGAATTAAGCCATCTATTTTGATTCACACGCCCAAGGTTTGAAATATACGAAATCTTGTTGTTACCAAATTTTACAATATTGCAATTGCAAGGTCTCTACCGATAGGAGTCCAGCTATCTGGATTGGATTCTTCTCTTTTCGTGTGTACCTAGCTAAAACATGATCGGCTGTTTATTAGAGCACATCTATCATGAGAATTCTATCAATTGAAGTAATCACCAATACTGTAGCCAGACCCTCAAGAGGAATGCCTGGAAGTACCTTTAACTGCCTTGACTTCACACGCTCTTCAGGTGTGAGTGTTATCACGTGACTAATACATAGATTCCATTGCTCTGCCTATTCCATATTGGAGTAAATTTGGAAGTCACTCTGAAATTCAGAATATCACCTGGTCCTCTTGCAGTACAAAATCCCCTCGGTTTCTTTTGAGCTTGACCTTTCAGATTGTCCATTTCATGTCACGGGGTTCCGCAAACAACGTGATCAGCCCGGTCAATGCAGCCCGATTGACTCATTAGGAAGTCACAATAAGCTTCTCGCTTGCATCGCTTCCAGCATATGAAGTCGCTTCTTCTATCAACTCAATATAACACCCTCTTCCTCTTCCTCTTCCCTCTCCTAATCCTCGTTTTTCGACAAAATCCCTCGCTCCATACACCACCCTCAAAATGGGTGGATCAGCCTTCACCAACCTCTACACCCCTCGCATGCCACCACAAATCTACAACCTCATCCTCAGCCAAACCCTGTCCACAGTCCAAAAGCACTTCACGAATGTCTCATCGCCCATCTCCGCTCCAGGCAAGCTCGATTACGGAGACGTCGACATCCTGTGTTTCGGACCCCTGACACCATCTTACAACCCTGCCGCAACACCAAATGCAACAGTTACGGAAACTATTGCGAAGGAATTGGGTGCTAAGGCGTGGATTGTGGGCAAGAATGGACAGGCTATGAATTTGGCTATTCCGTGGCCTCAAGATGATGACAGCTCAGAAATCTCGTTTGAGAAAGGTGGTGAGGAGGAACAGGCTACCAAAGACGAGGATGACCAGAAAGAGAAATTCATCCAGCTGGACATCCACATCCTCCCCACCCTCTCCTCCTACAATTGGGAACTCTTCCACTCCGCGCACGGCGACCTCTGGAACATCCTCGGCAGTACGATCCGTCGATTCGGTCTCACAGTCAACAATCTAGGACTCTTCCTCCGCATCCCTGAAATTGAACTCCAAGACCGCAAGAAGAGCATGGTGTTCCTTACTGGTGAGCCTAACACGATCCTAGAGTTCCTAAGACTGGATAGTGCGAGATGGTGGAAGAGTTTTGAGAGTCAAGACGAAATGTTTGGGTATGCGGCGGGATGTAGGATGTTCTGGGTTAAAGAGAAACTGGAAGTTGGTGAAGCGGAGGGAGATGTCGTTGGTGAGATTCCGGCTGAGATCTCCGTCGAGTCTCCTCAAAATGGAGACAGTAATGGGAGTGTGATTGAAGGCCAGGAAGGCGGTAAAGCAGGCAAGAAGAAACTCAAGCACAACGACCGCCAACGCCTGGAGAAGCGTCCTATTTTCCGCTCTTGGATCGAGGATTTCATCCCTAAATGTCGCGATCAAGGTCTTTACCTCGCTGAACAAACTTCTCGCGAGCAGATCCGCGATGAAGCTTTTGAGAAGTTTGGAGTTAAGGATGAGTATGAGTCCAGATTGAAGGAATGGAATCTGGAGAAACACAAGGATGAGCTGTGGAGAGGTGTCATTAAAGCAAGTGTGCCTGTTGAGGGTGTAGATCCACAGTTCCGAGCAGCTAGCGTGAAGTATCTGAAGGGAGTGATCATGGAAGGAGGAATTTGGGAGGGGAAGACGGTGAAGGCCAGTGAGAGGGATGAAGATGGGAGGTGGGATTTTGAGGAGGTGAAGAAGTTTGTGGTGGGGAATTGGGAGGAGGCGGGCAGATTGGGGATGGAGATTCAGCAGAAGAAGGCGGTGGAGAATATGAAGGCTAGGGATGAGAAGAAGGCGAAGCTTGCGGGACTTGAGGGGCAGGAGAAGGAGAAGACAGATTGGCAGGTGGAGGAGCGAGTTATTGCGTAAATGGGCCGTGATTATGAAGGCGTCTGCTGCTGGGAAATTGGAGTTTGCTTGGGATGTCATGGGATGGAGCATTTGATACCCCATTAGTTCATTCTTTCTGGGCTCTTGTAATCAGGCCAAGCTGAACCACAGCTGATTCATCTGTGCAAAATGAATTATGTAGAATATGAGTTATGAAGAGCAAGTTTTCATATACCACCGCGCATGGTAATGAAAGTCGCACCCACGTGTCCATTCACTCACTCAACCACATATCTTCTTCCTCCCCCTTTCCCCTCTCTTCCAGTCGCTCCTCCCCTTACTAACAAAACAACACAATATAAAGCAATACAAAGCAACATAAAAATAAAAAATAAAAATAAATCCCCATTTCTTCATAGCCAAAAGAACCATACAAACACAAACACGAAGATATATACTTCCGGAGATATGTAGAAGGACATTGTACGTACTTACTGTACCCCATCGCAGGGGTTGGTTGGCCCCCGCCGTCATCACCATGTTCATCGTACAGCGAGCGGTTCGTTTACCTATTCCCCTTCTCTTACTTTCTTTCTCCCCGAAAGGCGGGTTAGGTAGGGTAATTTAGGGTTTGGAGGTGGTGTGGTTTAGGGAGAAGGGTTGATTGTTGTTGGGTGGGGGAGTTTTGTTGCTGGGAGTGGGGTTTGTTGTCATTTGTGGAGTTTGGGAAGGGTTTGAGGCTGGTCTGGAAGTTATGTTTTGTGAGAATGGAGGCGTGAGGTTTGATGTTTAGCATCGAGCAGGGTAGAGTAGGTTGGCTTGGGTGGGGCACTGCAGGAGAGAACAGACAGAGAATAGGAGATTTTGTTGGTGAAGTGAAGTTACATTATCGTTGCCTTCGTCATCGTCGGCTGTACTCTGGTCGGGGGGGGAGGGAAAGAGGGAGTTGGGTTTTATAGATAGATGGATGTATGATAATGATTATAGGGTGATTAGGTGGTAAGTGGTGGAGGAGTGGGCTGGTGAATTTTGGTTGGAAGAGAGAAGTCATGCGAGATGATTAGAGGTAGTTGAGTAGAGAGTGGCACTCGCTATTTGTTCATCTCTGGGTTTGGTCCATGGCTAGTCTCGTTGAGAAGTTTGATCGAGATCCTGAGACAGTGAAGCGTTTTGATAGTGAGGATTAGGAGATAGAGATTTAAGATTTTGACTCTTTGAGCATTGAAAATTGATTGATTAGGGATATCTGATTGAATTCGTATTACACTGTACCTCAGCAAGGGCCCAAAAAGTTCTCCTTCCCTCCTACCCATCTAGTCTCATCGAGTGAGATTGTCACAACCAGAACCAAGCACACAATTCATCTACTGCCCGTGGTCCAGAGTTCTTGATAACAGCCATCAATTCAATCTCTGCTTCTTCGCTGCACCCTGGGTGCTATTGCCACTGGGGATGATTCTAGCCAGAGTGCTACCAACAGGAAAGCTTGGCATGTTGTCTGGACTACTGAAAGTAGCTGGCCACAAAGGAGAGTCTGGAGCTGGAATGCCGATCCAATCTAGCTGGACCTGGGGGCCGAATACAAGGCAGTGAGTTGATCCTCCGAAGTGGAACATGCCCATTTGTTCTATATGAGGAGTTAGTCTTGGCCAGGTGTAGAGAATTCTCATGAGCTTCTCAACGCCGAGAATAAAACGAAAATTCAGGAAGAGAATACATACCGCCTTTATTAATATGCTGACCAGGCACCACATCAATCTCACACCCCGAAGTATCACTCATTCCAATCGCAATAAAGCACACCAACCCAATATCCGGATTATCCGCCTGTATATAAATCAGCCCCCTCGCCGCCACACTCGCAATATACGGCTGCGAGAACGTCGGGCCCGCCGGATCCGGTGTATCCTTCCCGATCGGCCAATGCCCAAAGAAAGTCTGATACACATTCTGCGAATAATACATCCCGCCCACCAAATCCGTCTCCACCACCGTCCCCGAAATAGGAGCCTGCCAGCGGTGATAACTCAAACACGACAAGAACGCCTGGTAGACCGTCCCGCCGACGAACTGGCTCGCCAGCGGGTTTTGGTTCATCATGTCGATGAGCGAGTATTTCTGGTTCTTGCCTTGGAAGTTGTCGCTGAGTTGAACTTTGGTGACGGGGTATTGGAGGGGCGCCGACTCGCACGCGTGCACGATGATGGTGTTGTCTTCTGGGCTGGCGATGGGGCGCATGCCGGTGTTGAAGGCGCGCGTGAAGAAGTGGTCCCAGGATTGGAAGCCGTAGGTGTTGGGGTCGGTGGGGTCGGGACAGTCGAAGATTTGGGGGAAGGTGTAGGTTGTTTTTGGTTGGAGGCCGGAGGAGTTGGCCATGTTGAGCATGGGTGTTAGACCGCCGTTTTCACCGAGCCACTGGATGAAAAGCAGTCAGTTTGGTGGTTTGTGGGGTTGGGAGGTAGAGATGGGGATTTGTGGTTAGGTCTGGTGAGTGGGGGATTGTTCGGTTAAGGAGGGAAAAATAAACAAGGATGTCAACATACCCCGTTTGGTGGCAGTAAGACTTCAATCGAGTCTGGGCCAACCAAGTATTGTTCCCATTTATCAAGCATAGCCTTCAAACGAGCATTGACAGAGGGATACAAAAAGAACATATACCCAGATGCAGCTACAGATAGTCAGTATTCTGTTTCATCAAAGATGTTCAAGAATCTTGATTCGATGCAACACTTGGATTCAACTCCTCATAACAAACCAAACTCGAAGGAAAAGCTAGGGCACATACTAGCCATAGGCCAATCAAGAATAGCATTGAAAGGACACCCAATCAATCCCACCTGATTCGCAATATCATTCCACTGCGGCCCCATAGTAAGAAGCACATTGAACGCCTCCAGCATCTCCGAGAACGATCGAAGTTCCTGATTACCTTCCGGATCCTCGTTATAAGGCGGCACATTCGGGACCTCAGTAAACATGTTATCAGAAAGCGGCTTCAGTATGACATCTGTGTCGACGAGAGCTTTTAGAGCGATCAGAGTGGGATCTAGAGCTGCGTTTCTAGGTGTGGACCGGATGCGGTCCATGAGCTGTTTGGTCCATGCGATAATGACTTTTCGGTCGGAGGGAAGCCATGAGCCGAGTCTGTGGTTGTGGAATCGGTCATCGTCGAGTTTGGCGCGGAACTCTGGTGAGATGGGATTGCCGTTGGTTCCGTTGGTTCCGTTGGTGCCGTTTGTTCCGTTTGTTCCGGGCATTTTCAAAATAATTGTTTTGATAGATTAGAGAAGCGTGGTTTGGAGTTGAGAGGAGAGGAGAGGAGGGAGAGGAGAGGACGTATGCTCTTGAGGGATGGGTACAGATCATCGCCACCTTTGATGAGATATTGATTGGTATACTTATAGAAATGTGAGTAAATAGCTAGAGAGTGTCAGACATACGAACAATTGCCAGGAATGAACATGCCCTGCGAGGCATGCTGAAAGTTCGGAGAAGCTAGCAGACTAAGCCCGGCAGTGATCGCCATGAGAAACGCCATGTGTGAGCACGGAATTCGACCCTTTCCCGTTATCAGGGTGCGTGCCGTTCCTCCTGTCTCAACCTTTTGCTTGTATAGGGCTGAGATAGGGGGCTAGTTCTTATGAAGGTGTGTGAATGTGACACCCAGAACTTGAAGTCTGTCGCTAGCCATGTGGCTGAAACCCCGAGACATCAGAATTCTTCAGGTAGCCACAGTGATATATTCCTTCTTTCTCTTGAGATAGCAACTGATCCAGAGGAGGATAACACAGACTTGTGTGGTTCGGTGGTGAACTGAAACTTGTGCTTATGGTCGTCTGGGTCGTGTGCATGGAAGGGCGGCGCTGAGTTTGCCGATTTGGCAGTCGGCATATAAGAATTGTTTGTGGCTTGCGTAACTGAGGTAACACGAGAGAATCTGCATTTCATAGCTTTAGGCAAATACCACATATGTAAAGTTCATGGATGCAGAAGGTGGTCCAGTAGCTAACATGTGAAGAACAATTTGATGATGGCTGCAACCGTCCCAAACTGTGGAATATGTCCGTGTGCAGCGACCAAGATTGGCTGAGGCGCCAGCGAAGGGGGCTTGACAATGTTTTACTGAAGCGAGGCCTGTAAACAATCGCTATGCTGGTCCCAGGGCCACGTATATGGGACCATAATATGGCCCATTTTAGTCCTATCAAAACCGGAAAGGCAAAATCATAGAATAATAACAGTCTTCAAAGGTCCCAACTAAATAGGTTTCCAATTTGTATTCGCTTGATTCCGAAAGTCATGATCGCAAAGCCTGAAGCGATAGAGTCTCTCTCCTGTATTTCAGCGGAAGTCCGCTGGAGTTTAGCGAGAGAAGCCTGACGTGGTGGGAATGCCGTCCACCCTTGCCTAATCTGATGCCTCCACACTGTGAAGCAGCACTTAAGCATTATCAATTGTGCCATTAATGGACAGGTAATATATTTTGGGTTCTCTAGCCACCTCTCTTTCTGGATTGAAGCCGCAGGTGCCGTCAACATATCTTTCGAGCATCAAGGTTGCTCAAGCAATGCAACCGGAGATGATTATAGGAAATATGTGCAAATCTATTTGTTGCCTCTGAGGGGACAAAATAGGACACCATCACGAAACGGGATTCTGAAGGTGTAAGATGTCCTGATAGTTGAGTTCCAAAAAGACTGTGAAATCGTTGCAGGGTTTCTCAAGGCGGAGGAGATCGGCGACAAGTCTGTGATTCAAGATTGTGAGATGGATATCGGAGCTGGGAAAACTTATAAATGAGAATGAAGATATCCGAGGCTTAGCGAGGGTGTATGAACTCTGGTGAACGACTGATTTGGAGAACAGAAATGCACCTTTGGCTTGTGATGAGGCTGAGGCTCGGGACTCGGATCCTGTTGTTGTGCGAAGGATGAGATCTTGGTGATACCATCAGCCAAGACTTGTCATCTTCTAGGCACCGATGCTCTGAGCATGAATTGATACTAACGTTTCTGAGGTCTTGAACTTCCATTTAGCTAGCGACCAGCTACCATGTAAGTCTATGGCCAATCGCGCATATCGTTCTTGTCAAACCTCCCCTCGAGAGGCGGTAAGTGAGAATTCATTCGGACAGCGCTAAGTATATTACATGTGGAGTCCATGCAGATGAGAGGCACTATCATAACGGTTAGCATAGGCGAGTGGGTATATTCATGAGATTAATAAGATAGTTGAGCTGCTTACTCGGAACTTCAGTCCAATAAGTCATGTCGTATAACATCATCCTGTTCGGGATTAGTGGCGCTTGAGACAGGAGATCCATGTTGTATAAAAGATGAAGACTACCTCCACCGTTATTTGCTTCTCATTGATTCAAATCTTTCCAGATTACTTGAACTTCTTGTCTTCTCAAGGGTCACAAACTCCTACCTTATTCTTTGTATCCCGCTTCGCAAGTCTTTTCGACGATTCTATGTTGAAGAGGCAAAATGGAAGGACCGTTTGATCCAGAAATGTACACAAAACCCTTCCAACTCACCAAAACAATGCATCGTGAGCCATACGATGATATCCTCCCATCTATCCCCGAGAACTCCCAACAAGGCAAGATCATAGTCATCACAGGCGCCTATGGAGGCATTGGGTCAGTATGTTCCATTTTACATTTCTCCTAATCCAAGAACTCATTCAAATGCAGGCTGCAGCTTCTGTATGGGCTCAAGCAGGAGCCTCAGTCGTTCTCACAGGTCGCAACGAGGAGAAGCTCGCCGAAGCTGAGCAAAAAGTGAAAGATGTCGCGACTAATTCGAACTCTACGGCAACCATTCTCAGCATCCCAGTAGACGTTACTAAAGAGGCTGACGTTCAGAACCTCTTCAAGAAGATTCAAGAAGTTTTCGGTCGTCCGGCAGATATCCTCATCAACAACGCCGGCCCAACAGGTGCAATCGGTCCTTCAGCACAAGTCCCTTGGGATGGCTTCGCCGAAGTCGTCAACGCGCACTTCCTCGGCGCTGCGCTCATGGCGAGATTTTTCATCAACAGCCAACCCACACCAACGGATCCTGTCGGCACGATCATTTACATCACCTCAACAATGGCAGGTCTTATGGTGCCAAACTTCGCGGCATATGCGATCTCCAAGTTAGCGGGTCAGCGCTTCACGGAGTATCTTGATGCTGAATATCCTCGTCTAAGGGCCTTTACGCTTTCTCCTGGAATCACGGGGACGGGGATGACGAATGAGTTCTTTAGGCCGTTTGCGAAGGATGATGTGAGGATGGTGGGAATGATGGCGTTGTATTTGGTGAATGAGAGGGCGTATTTCTTGAAGGGTGGGTTTGTAAATGTTAACTGGGATAATAGGGAGATGGAGGAGAATAGAGAGGAGATTAAAGAGAAGAAGTTGGTGAAGTTGGGGTGGATTTCGGCTCAGTTGGGAGAAGGCGGACATCCTTTTGGGACTAGTGGAATATGGGAACATTGATTTAGAAAATAGGAGGGGTTGTCTTACGGGTCCTAGTATAGGCGGACATTATAATGTAGCAATTGGAAGCAGCTGTCGGCATATGTTCGTTGATCAGTAATCATGGTAAAAGCTCTCCATTACCCTCTCAACCGAGCCGAGCTCAACAAACACAAGTATTCGGGTTCAGGATTGCCGGGATTTGAACAGATTCACAGAACATTTCATGCTGAAATATGTATGAAAGTTGACTCCTTCTTCAAAATTGGTATTAGTTATGTATGTGAGGCTATGTTGTCGTTCTCTCCTACCCCTTCAACCCCGCAGGGTACCGCTGACAAAGCGCCGAGGCGGACGTCCATCTGCATAGGGGCTTGACCAGGGCGACTAATCACCTCACTGCTGCCGTCCAACCACACCAAGCATCTTATCTCCGCTCATTATTCCTGTTTACATCCTATATATCGGTCTTTGAACAGGACTTTCTAATCGCGTCGTTTCGATGCCGTTCCTATTAACACCTAGCTTTGGGGTATGCGGCTGTGAGACGCTAAGCAAGCACTTCCAGTCGTGGGGTTTTATCATTGGGCTCTCGCCCGTAAAGAGCGATGTGGGATATTCAAGATGTTAGAACGTAGCGCTTTAGTTTTTGCTAGAGATCTACTTAAGAGTGTCCAACTCCCTCGATCTGAATTTTATCATCAACATCCTCAAACTCGTTCCTACCAGACAACACCACTTCGCTCAACCTTGACAAGTCGAAATCCGAAGACAACAAACACTCGAGTGATACAAACAAATTCTCCACAAAACCTCATCACCAAATCTTCAAACTCCAAAATGGGAATAACAGGACCTCTCGCAGAGATGCTGTCTCGCAACAAGTGAGTGAAGCAAAGTGATTGATGATTGAATTGATTCTAATGACAAACAGCAAAAATGCAGAGACTTATCAAGCACCACCACCACTCTTGAAGATGGTGGAGCAGATGAAAGCTACCAAGCAAGGTGTTGTGGTTTTGTCTTGCTCAGATCCTCGCTTGAATCCGTACCAAGTCCTGGGTCTCGATGCAACACTCAGTAAGTCTTCCCGCAACCACTCAGACGAAACGAATTCGGATTTCAGGCTGATGCTCAACAGAAGCAACAATGGTCCGAAATGCCGGAGGAAGAGTACTCGATGCAATTCGAACGTTGGCTGTTCTCCAAACGATCGGAAATCCAGGAACAATCGTGGTCATGCATCACACTGGTACGTCACAAATTCCCCTCTTCTCCAAATCCCTCTTTTCGTCTTCAAATCATCATACTTACATTTCCCAGATTGCGGAATGACCCACTTCCACGACTCCGCCATCAAGCAAGCGCTCACTGAGATCGCACCAGGAGAGAAGCAGAGCATCGAAAGCTCGAAGTTTGGGGAAATCACTGGCTCGTATGTTTCCGTCTCCTTTAAAAGTGGCCAATTCAATATTTTATTGATGAGATGACACAGAATTGAGGAAAGCGTGCTTGAAGATCTCGCACTACTCAGAGCTTCCCCGCTGATCAAGAAGGATACGCAAATTGTGGGCCTAAAGTATGACATCTTTACGGGTATTTTGACGCAGGTGCATGAGAGTAGGGGTGAGTTGTAAGAATAATTGGCAGAGCGAATGAGGAGAGTGTATTTCTAGAGTTGGTTGGAAATAAATATTGAACGGTTATTTGGTCTGCCATCTTTCTCGGGAAAGTCGAATGGGAGATCCGAGAGAACAACCACGGCCTGCTTCCGCATCTGATATTGGGTTCCTCGTCACAACACGGTACAAAATGTACTTCAAATTGCATTGAAACACGAATACACATGTTACTTTTTCTATCTGCAACATCTCAGATTTGACGTCTCCATTTTTGCTTCCTCCTTACTCCCCTTCAATTGCTTGAAGGCGGTCTGCAAGAATCATCATTCCCACTCCCACCATCCTGACAGCGATTCGCACACCAATCCACATAATACAGGTGAGCCTTCGACCAATACCAGTGATCCTCGCACTTGAACAATGTATGTTCAATGTGGTTCTTAGTGTACCATTCTGGAAGCCCCTCCCATTGCAGCTGAGACCAGATCTCGTCTTCCGTCCAGTCTAGATTCGGATCGTGGGTCAGTAGTAGTTCGATGATTGATGGAAGATGGAGGATGGAGGAAGAGACAGAACTCACAATGACCTCCGCTTTTGAGGCTGTAGCTACAGTACTTTACGCCATCTTTACAAGCAAGCCCGTTGATATTGACGCCAAAGATCGCACCGGTGGCAGCGACAATTGTAATGAGTCTCATGATTGCGGTAGAAGAGTTGAATATTGGCGAATAAAGGGATTCTTGTGGAAAGTGTTGCGGTGATGGAAATCAAGGTGGTGGTGGCGTTTCTTGATTGATTGTATCTTGCTTGATTTTTGTGGATGTGGTGATAGTGGTGGGAAGATGAGCTCTTCACCTAGGGGAGGGATTGAGTGTACTTATAAGGAATGTGCTCTGATAAATTTGTTTGTCGAAAAATCACACGCAACGTACCATCGTCGAAACTGTGGATGTTACATGTTTCCTTCGATGTGTGTTGTTTTCTTTGCAGCGGCCTCTCCGTGGCAGTCTCACCGTTCATTAAGGTGCTGCATATTGAATACCACGGGAGAGTACCGCCGAAAGATGTCGGTAAGACCTCCAAGTACGTTATTTTCCAACGGATTCAGCCGAGGAGTTTTGGTATTGTATATGGTGAGAAACTTGCCAAGTAGCTGAATGCTGACATTTTACCGTCAGACATCAGTATCGCACATAGAAAATCACTTGCTGTTACCTAAGATTGACCATATGACATGATTTTCAAAATTTATGGTGGTTTTTGTGCAGGAAAGGCTGGCTGAAGCCATCAATTTGTCTCACGGATGGACCGACTTCGGTCGCTTACATATGGAGCTGACTGCATGAAAAACGAGATTCAATCTCATGTTTTCTCAGCTGGTCCAATCATGTAGCATTCGTCTGACTTTATGCTTAAATTTCTTGCTAAGTTCTCTCTCTGAGAATGACACAGCCCGGTGAAAATCCACGAAGATGCATTCATCGCGGACAAGTCCGCGATGTGACTTCTGGATTTTGAATCTGCTACTCAGAATCTCACCACGGGAAAATGGTAACAGTAGAGGAAACAATGCTTGGAAACAGAAATATATAAGAAGTCCTCGCACACGTAACTGCTGTTTCGAAGACCCATTCCATTCTTCACCTGTGTCGTCTCAATCATCTCAACTACCCAAAATCCCTGCCACCATCTCAGACTCAAAGCCCGCAAAAATGAAGAGCTCCCTACTTTTCCTGTCTACTCTTGCCGCACTGGCAAGTTATGCGAGTGCCACTGCTTGCACGACCGGTATCAATTACTGCGGATACAACCTTATCAAGAAAGGTAAGGGACCCCTCTTCCACAGTGCAAGATACTCTCAAACGTTTCGATCTACTTTGTTGTCAATCAGTTTAAAGTGCTAATTCGAGCTCCCTCCAGGTCACTACAGATTGGAGATAGCTCGCGAACTTCAAAAATATCGCATGGATGTCAACAATCACAATATGTATCACAGCTTGTTCTCTTGTGGAGAAGGTGGTGTTGGCTGGATTGGATATTTGGGAACTTGTGATGGGGACTGTGTTGATGGTGGGTCGGGTAATAGCGACGGGTGTTGGTGAGGAGGTGGTGAGGTGGTGAGATGATGAGGAGGGTGTAGCGTACTTTGGTTGGAAAGATTCTGATTGAGGAGAGCGGATGGTCTCAAGATGAATGGCAGTGGCCTGGGTAGGAACCTGATTCAAAGTTGTGTTGTAGAATGAATGCTTACTGCCATGCTTTCATCCTCAAAATACCACCACGTAGAGCGCTGTTGGATGTTGCACTTTCTTGATACATTTCCATAGGGACTTTGTCGGAGATGATCTGGTGTAGTTTGGTTTGGTTTGATTCCTGTTCCCGAACAGTTGAGGGTTTTCTACGTCAAGGAACTTCGCGCATTACGTGTCGAGGTGGTACTATGGCGCAAGGAAGCTCCGCTTCAGTGGTATCGTATACCATCTGGGAGCTATCGGAAAGCACAAAAATTGGGGGATCGTCTAATGCAACCGAAAGTATATGTAGACAACCAGAGAACCGGGGGAATCTGAGGGCTCTGGCTAGATAAACAGCGCGGCCTTCAATGTCACCATTTATCCATTTATCACCAGAGGGGGGGACAGTCTCACCCTATAAGTCCTGAGACTAATGGTATGTATCGTGTAGACAATTGAAACCTTGATGGGCCGGATTAGATACGAGACAAATACGTGGGTCAAAGGTGGAACCTCGTTCTGCAAATGCTGAAGGTAGAAAATCGGAAATCTCAATACTTGAATTCCACTTCATGAGACTCGTCCATATCAGGATTTGATGCGGAAATGGAAAAAGTTCAAGGTTTAGAGAAAACGTCCATGAACGCTGAACTGCTTAGCACACAGCGAGGAGTGATATTGTAAAGTGGAATGGCGTCTGGATGATTGCTAGAGATCGACACTGTGGAGGTGGAGAGCGTGGATACGATCCACACAAGGTAAAGTGTGTCACTTGAACTCCAAGTACCCTCCAACGGACGAAGCCGTGAAAATTGCAGTAAAGAGAAGGGTAGCAGCGCTCCGCTTGAGTCATAGAAGTCGTATATTGATCAGTCTCCCATAAAGTCGACGCTTCTGCCAGTATCGACCGACCGTGGTCGTTCCCTTGTATTGATCCCATCAACGCCATTTCTCCATGCTTATCATACCATCAGATCCTCATGTGCACATACACAAAGTATCACTTCTTGCCGCTCTTCTTAATGCCCTGGGAGCCGGTATTGAGAGGTCCTTTGCTTCCCTTGGTCTTTGCTGCCAACTCAGCCTTGGCCTTCGCATCTGCCCGTTGTCAGCATGGATCTGCAGATTACTGAACCAGCAAAACTTACCAGCTTTTTGCTTCTCTTGGAATGCCTTATCCTCGTCGTCCAACTCTGCCTTTGGGGCTTTCTTTGGCTGCTTCAAAGGCTTAGCCTTGCCACCTGGTAGATGTCAATACCGCAACCAACCACAACTGAGTCTTACATACCAGCTCTGTCGGTTCCTCCCATTGTGGTTTAGGTGGAATAGTTTTAAAGGGTGTTGTTATTGAGTTTGAAGTGATCGTGGAGACTTGAGATGATGTGTAGTGGGATGTTCGTGAGATTCTTTGGAGGGGCATTTTTGGATAATCCCACCTCGATGTGCTAGTCTCGAAGAGGACTAGTGGGTATCAAAAGGCTGGAGAAGATCGCGACTCCATCATTCGCACTCAAAGCACCACTGTGCAACTCGAGTCACCTCATCACAACACCTCAAAAACAACATCACAACTCAGCGGCACGCTCCAATCTACTTTAATATCACATACAAGAAGATGCGCTGAGACTGAAGAAGCGCGACGATAGATTCCTGGTTGGGCCTTCTTACATTGAGATAACTCTGTCTGAGCCTTGCTAACACTCCTCTTCAATCACAAGGCAGGGATCTATTGTTGATACTGCACCCAAGATGGCTTCAAGAGCCAGTTCAGACGAGGGAGAGATTCGAGATGGCAGTGTAGAGAAGGCAACTAAGTCGCTGCCGCTGTACGATGGCACTTCTGTTGACCGTCAAGACAGAAACCGCTCTAGCAACTCGGCTTCCAGATCTCCAGAGCGCGACTACAGATCCAGAGACCGGAGATCGCTTGACAGGAGCCGTTCGCCATATGCCGACTACCAACCTCGAGGATCCAAGAGAGCTAGAGAGGAGGAATACCCAGATAGATCTCGAGACCCCCGCAGATTCAAGGTCCACTACGAAGACTCCCACCAAGATTACAAACGCAACGCCCGTGGCTCTTACAGAGACTTAGATCGAGGATCTACCGAACCGTCTGATCTACGATACGATGATCGGGAGAGGCACATCGAGAAGCGACCACGCACACGCAGCCGGTCCCCATACCGTGCTGGCCGAGGTGGAGACAGATATGCAAGAGGAGGAGATTCTATGAGGGACGAGAATCGGAATGGTAGATACGGGCATGACTCTCGCAGACCCGACTCATATAGCAATGAAGAAGTGAGAAGTCGAGAGAATAAGGACCAGTCAGTGAGCAACCGGGGACAAAGCCCGCTGCCTGCTGATTATGCAAGACGAGAGGCTAAAACTACACAAGGGTATTCACAGCATAATGGCTATCAGTCTCATAATGGCTTGAAGCAAGAAAAGTACATACTCTTGAACACTTACCTGATCTTGTGCTGACTTTCCAGTAGGGAATCCAAGCCAATTCAAACACCCGCAATCGAGGTACCTGAAGAGGAACCGGTTGATGAAGCAGCTCTCATTGAGCAAAGACGGAAACGTCGACAGGCAATCAAAGATAAGTATAGAGGTTCCGCCACACCCTTACTAGTCCAGGCGTTGCAATTGGGAGACAAGTCAGGAGAATCCACTCCAGGTCGACAGGACGACACTACACCATCAGCGCGATCGAGTAAGCATATCACCCCTGTCTCAAAGGATATTGCTGATCATATTTATAGCTTCCCCCATGGCCTCGGCCCCTATGACTCCGACTGAAACCCAAGACCCAGCGTCCCCATCAGCCTTTGCCTTCACAAATGATCAGGATCTTGCGAATGGGAAGGCCCAGGACAGTGAGAACGATGGACCCTCGGCGGCTGATTATGATCCGACCATGGATATGAGGGAAGACAAGCAGCGAGACGACCAGAGACATGGCGAGGATGTACCATCGTCCGTATATGATGAGACGCTTCCAACGACCGAACAGGATGTTTTACTACCCGTTGAAGCAGCACCAATCGAAGAGAAGCCCAAAAAATCCAAAGACGACTTCGACATGTTCGCGGACGACGATGACGATGATATGTTTGCAGAGGAGGCCACCCTGGGCACAAAACCCAAAGCTCCAGAAGATGTAGCAAAGGCAGTGCCCATCCCACAGGCAAAGGAGCTCGATATTGGCATGCTGGACAACTGGGATGATATCGAGGGCTACTACAAGATTATTCTAGGAGAGCTTCTGAATGGTCGATACCATGTCCAGGCCAATCTTGGGAAAGGTATGTTCTCTGGAGTTGTTCGAGCCATGGATATGACAACGAAGAAGCTGGTTGCCATAAAGCTCATTAGGAACAATGAGACTATGTAGGTGACATGCCCCACAATCTGCATTCGTCACTGACAACTTGCAGGAGAAAGGCTGGCATGAAGGAGATCGAGATTCTGCAGAAAATCAACAACGCCGATCCAGAAGATAAGAAGCATATGATCCGCTTAGAACGATACTTTGAGCACAAGGGTCATCTCTGCATGGTCTTCGAAAATCTCAGCATCAATCTCCGGGAGGTGCTGAAAAAGTTTGGTCGTGATGTTGGAATCAATCTTCGAGCTGTCCGAGCTTATGCACAGCAAATGTTCCTTGGGCTGAGCCTAATGCGCAAATGTAACGTCTTCCATGCAGATCTGAAGCCTGATAACATTTTGGTAAGCTCCGTGCCTCGACCTCACTGCCCAGGACTTACTTTGTATAGGTAAATGAAACCCGGAACATGCTGAAGATTTGTGATTTGGGGTCAGCTTCTGACGCATCTGAGAACGAGATCACTCCATATCTTGTCAGTCGATTTTACCGGGCGCCAGAAATTATCCTTGGTATGCCATACGACTTTGCCATCGATATTTGGTCTGTTGGATGCACACTCTACGAGTTGTACACAGGCAAGATCCTATTTACGGGGCGCACAAACAACCAGATGCTTCGCTCAATCATGGACTGCAGGGGCAAGTTCACGACAAAGATCCTCAAGCGTGCCCAGTTCGCGCACGTCCACTTCGACGAGATGGCCAACTTCATTAGCGTGGAGCAGGATAAGCTTACAGGAAAGGTATGTCTATTTTCATTTCCGACCCGTCGGGTTGAGAGAAGCGCCGTGGCGTTCGTGCCACATGTTAGCATTTGTATTTCCAATCGTCCTATTGTTCCACCGACCCTAAAATCACATGTGCCGACTCCACTCCCAGAATAGAAGGAAACACGCTGACAACTCACCTCTGTAGGATACGATCAAGACCCTCACATTTGCCAAACCAAGCCGTGATCTCCGAACCCGCCTCATGTCCGCATCCAAGGGCCTCACCGATGTGGAAGCCAAAGAGTTGACACTATTCGCCGATCTGCTGGATCGTTGTCTGGCGCTTAACCCAGAGAAACGAATCACCCCTGCTGAGGCATTGAAACATCCTTTCATCCTCAAGATGCTGAGGTAATATGTTGGTGGTGCCCCGGAAGAACAAATATGGTTGTACTGCAGGGCATACACTGGGCTGCATTTTGGGCCACATAGTTCACAATGGAGCAAAATAGAGAAAATAATTAATCTCAAGCTAGAATTTAAATCTGGCTCTCGCTTTTTATATTTATGTTTCCGTATGTGGAAGTATGTGACTAGTGACCGCAGCCGATATGGTTCTTCAAGGATGTCGAATAGCCAACTGGCAACGCCAACAGACAATAATGCTACCCACTAGAGTTTCTCACGGCCTTCAGGGCCTTGTAATCATTTTTCTTTTCCCATGGTCTTCTTCATGTACGTCCTCTTGCATCACAGCGATGGTGTCTGTCCCCTTCGTACTATTCGAGCTCCCCGCGCCTTTCCTCGCATCTTCGTCCTCCCCACGCATTTCAGTCTGTCTTCTTCTACTCAAGAATTCCATGACAGACGATCTGCTCTTGGGTACATCTGGCCTCCAGCTGTCAAGAAGGTAAATGATTTGATGAGAGGGCTAAGCAACCCTCTATCTCGCAGACCCTCGCTTAAGTCCCGTCTTGAAAAGAGGGCAAGCAATGGCTGGTAAATCGAGCTTGTTTACATAGTCCAGCATGAGAAAGTCTCGTAAAAATTAAATGATGGTCAGATCGGGGCAGGGGAGCATTAGGGACATAGCTTTAGGACTCATGGAAATGGGGCTGAAAGCGAGCTGATTTCTATTCATTTACACGGTCAGTAGTACTTAGCTCGAACGAGATCCTCCTAACGAAGACGGCGCATCTTCACAAGAACAAATAGCACCGTTGATCACTTACTTAGTACATCTATCCACACGAATTCCCTGGTCTCAAATCCCTCTTCTTGAAAGAGAACTCAACTTCTCGGTATTCGCTCGCGGCACAGGTTGTCTCGCCGCAACGTCGCCCAATTACCCAGGCTAGAATCTCGGACTCTTTCGAACCAGTTATTGAGGATGCTATGATGTACGTAAAAGCTCAGGTAGTCTCATACGGCCATTCTGACGTGATGGCCCCTTGATGACATGGTTAGGTAGTTTGGCGAAGTCGCCCCTCATATCACTGTCGCTGACACTGCGACTGTGACTCTTTGGTGGTGATGAGGGAAATGGACTTGTGAGGTGGAGTTCCTTCTTCACGGAATTTGAGGGTGATTTTAACTGCCTCGGAACACATCCTATATAGTTCAGTATGGATATTGGATGTCAATGTTGATGTCGATGACCACTTAAAAATTGGAGGAGAAATGGGTAATTGACATGCCAGTACCGGACCTGCTCAGCATCGAGAATATGGAGATCCTGAAATTATATATCTACAAATTGGTATCTAGTCATTACGTCTATACATCTTACACCCACCAGTTCAACCTTTGTCTTCTTCTCTCTTATCAGCGACAAATTCAGTTCCCACCTATTTTCACGTCCATATCAAATACAGCCGTGCCGTTCCGGCAAAACATTACACCACAAGTTGTGCCATCACATTGATCCATGAGCTCCCTCTTCCCGACCGATCCGACTAAAAGATATAATACGAACCCGTCGGTAAAGGCGGTCCAGCCCAGAAGCACCCACAGCAAAAATCACTCTCGTCTTCTCTTCTTTGCCGTTCCCTCAACCTCCTTTGATCGACCTCATACTGCTCACAAGCATCCAGCTCTACACCAGCTTGACCAGCCATGGGGTCTCGTCTCCTACCACCATTTCCTCCAGATGTACACTGGCTCCTCTCGGATGCGGATACAGATGTCCAGTTCCACGGGTTCCACGCCGCCCAGGAGTTTAAATTTGGATTAGATTTTGGTTTCGGATTGGAAGCTGTTGTGGATATTGAGGCTGCCCGTGGTGTGTATTTTGGGAGCTCGTGAAGGGAGGGCTGGGAGTTAAGTGATGGAGATGGTGAGGGTGAACGTTTGTACGAGGGAGGTGGTGCCGGAAGCTCGGGTGGTGGGTGCGACCCCAGAGGTGATTGCTGGATACTGAGAGTGGATGGTTTGTACATCGGTGGTGGTGAAGAATACATTGCTAATTGTGACGCCTCTGAGTAGGGCTGGAAGGCGAAAGCTGACATATCGTCTTGCGATCTAGACTGCTGCTGCGGTTCTGGGCTTGACATCAAGATCTCTGCATTTGGAGTTCCGGATATCCGCGGTTTTTTTGGAGCTGGAGTTGGTACTTGGAATGCGAGAAGGGTAGGAAATGGCGAGGCAAGTGGAAGGAACGTGGAGAATGATAAAGGACTCGACATCGCTGCGACACTGATGCCGAAGTCCCCTTTCGTACGAAAACACAGATCATGGACACAGCAGATATTAAGAGGGACAGGTAGATCACTCGGAAAGTATGGACCACGAACAGATAACTACGTGAGTGTGACACTGTGGCTGGCAAGATAGTCGCGACATGCTCACATAACAGACGCGATGCGTTGGCACAGGGCTCTTGTCTGGCAAATCAGTAATGATCTCTCACGTCAGAATTATCAGCACAATGGAGAGTTCCGTGACGGCAATGGCTAAGCTTTCCGAGAGACGAGGGTTGTTGTGCTCTTAGCGCCATACAGCATTGGTAGATAAAAGGATATTGCCATGAAACCTCTCACTTCTCATCCAAGAGCTTTGGTAAGATGAAGGAGTTTTGGTAAGGTGCAGGAGTGAGATGAGTATTGATGAGAAGGAACGCCGTGCTCTGAGGGCTGAATATGATCCTCTGCTAAGATCGCACTTGCTGACCTCAGCGCTGGGTCTTCTCACTCTTCTGCGCTTGGAAGGCTCATGATGCTGGGTCTTCCCCGGAAGAGGAACCGAACAGACGAAATGGTTATTTTAGGACAAGAAAGGTTGATCATGACAAGAAAGGCAGATGATCAGCCTTTCGCACTCTCGCGCGTTTACATACCCGAATGTGCGAACTGACAAACTCTGTACGGAACTACTTCACTGTCTGTGCCAAACATAAAAATTGGAGACTAGAAAAAAGGTCAGAGTGCTTGAGGTGCGTCTGTTGACTTTTTCTCACTTCGAAGATGACGAGTATAACGGGTCTGGTCCAGAAGGCGATCCTGGCGAGCTTGGATCATGAAAGTGAGTCCAGGCAAGGACCTGCTGTACGGAAAATACAGAAACAAAATTAAAATTTCTCATCGTCGCTCCCGCGCTCACGGTCAGGCCGTGAACTTTATTCAGCCATGAGCCGGAGCCAGCTCCTACCCTCTGCACTGTGAACTTTCTCTCCCGAGAGCACTGTCCTCCATGCGCGATCCGAATAAACTCAATGAAGAGAGTATAATGAAACTTATTTTGGTATCAGGAACGAAATGCGTTCCATTAGAAGGCAAGAAAGAGGGAGGTGCAAACAGACGTAAAATGTGTAGAGATGCCGCGCTTGATTCCATGGGACGGCTGCTTGATGTCAGAAAGTAGCCGCCCAGAGATATGGACACACAATAATTTCTATTTCTGTGCCGTGGGGAAGGCAGTACAAAGGCACCAGCGTTGTGTCGATGATTCCGAAGTGCATGCACCCCGCATTTTACCGACGATGAGCGATGAACCAGCGAGTTCGTTACTCCGAAACGTTGGAAATAACATCATGCCTGCTTCTGTTGGGCTAACGACGCAGTGACGAATATTGAGCACGGTCTTGAGCAAGCGCCCGTCCCAGGCTTGCATCTAGGACCTTGTTAAGCTCTTCCGCACTGCAGAGCCTGTGACACAGGGACTTCTCTGTAAACAACCCTATTTTCCAACAGAACGTTATTTCAGCTTGCCCTGGCTCGAGCCTGGATACTTTCACGGGCAACAGCCCAGCGTTATGCCGTTGGAAGGACAGAGACCAGACGGACGATACAGTACAGAGAGGGCTACGCGATCAGGAAAGCGAAAAGGCTATGGCTATGTTTGAGACATGGTTCATGGATATATTGATGTGTACCAAGACTTGAACCAGAAACGAGTGGCAAAATCTCAGGCGTTTCGCCTGGTGGAGATGTAACTTGTCACTTCTTGGATAACTTTACTTCGGCTCTTGATGCTGTCGGGAGATACCTACTACTGTGATATGATGCCGGTATCCTAGCGAGCGTTGAAGGACCAGGCCTAGGCAGGGCCATGGCGATGTAAGGCTACAGTACTGTTGTGGAAGGAAGGGTTGTGCATCTTGGTAAATGCGTTCGATGCAATGCAGTAAGACGGGAGTTTATGTGCCTGCTGGGAATGTTTTGGCGTGGCGATAGTCTGTGATGCTCTTAAACGAAATATGGCTGGATGTGGTTGAAGTTGAACGCCGCTTAGGTCACATGACTGTGTATATATGGTTAGTGCGAATCGGTTGCTAGTTCCGTAGCAGTTTTTAAAGTGTCACTAGCAAGACAGAACAAGCCTTCGCCACCATCCTTCCTTCGTGCTTCCTCAAATCTCACACAGTTACAGCATACGCCGCAGCTCAAATCCTTCTCTCTCGGGAATGACATCCTACCGAATCCAATACTGCGACTGTACAAGGTACAGTTGTAAGCCCTTCCGTTCAGTGCACAAGCGTGCCCGTGGACGATGACCCACAGACGTCCAATCAATAGTTAACATATCATTTTCCACGATGCAGATCGATAAGGGCCATCAAATTACGATTGATTCGGATGATTTCAGATGCTGGGCAGAAATTGGTTAGCTGGCCCGCTGCCCTGTGGAAGTTGGACTTGCGGTGAGTTTCAGGGGCTGATTTGGCGGAGCTTGATTGGGGACATCTTTGGTTTGTGTTTGGCAACGGCTTTGAACGCTGGGCTACTTGCCGGCCGCCCTATGTTGCATTTTTGTAGGGTTCTGTTCTATTTTCCGCATGCTTGTTCTGGGCCGACCAGGTTACGAGAGATTATCTGAACCGGAAACAGCGCTACGAGGGAAGGCTGGAGGATTCAAGAGAATGATCTTCGGATGAGAAGGATGTCTGCGGATCTTTGGCGTTTACACCACCTGTGAAGTTTTGCTGGTGGTGTTGAATCACGAAGGCTGAGGGCATCACTAGGTAACTAGCAAAGTGTCCAGCCCAGTCTTTCCAGCTGATATTACGAAGTCTTATGCAAGCTTGTTAAGCGTACGAGCGATAGACGCAGCTTGTGCAACGAGGCTGTGGTGCCGAACTGGTGTGGACTTGATAGGTGTGGCCACCCATATTCCACACGCTCTTATTCGCTGTGAGGAAGTCTATTGCATGGGCTGTTTTGATGAGCTGTTCCCAAGCCTCGGAGTCAGAACTTAGCTTTGTGTGGTCAAGTGAGAGGAGACTGTATCTTTGATGACCGCCTCTAGACCACAAATCACCTAGTGTCGATGCCCTACCCCCCACAGATACTACCCTTGTGCGCTAGGCCCACCATTTTATCTTTCCTCGAAAATCTTATTCGCGTCAATATCAGAATCCTTGCATCCTTGGCTCTGCATCTCGTTTTTGCCCGCCACCGATGCACCTCATAGCGCCACTGTCACAAACCGATGCAGGCGTGGCCAATCATACCAACGATCAAGCCTTGAAGACAGCCTCACTTGCGAAAAGACCAGTTATTATTGGGCCACAGCTGGAAAACTGGAGATTCGAGAAATATCACTACGCCAGGGCTGTCGCAGACTTCGGGCGCAGCAACGACAGGGTCACTTGGCCCCTCTAGCCCCTCTTAACTCCAGGGCAAAGTTTCTGCGCCCTGCTGATTCGTTGACTCTGGATGCTTCGGCTTCCATGGCCCTCTCTGGAAGGATGCGATCGGAGATTGGCCACACCGTTTTCTTGACGATCCTCCTTTCGCTGTGGTCCACTCAGGCCATCGTCGTGATGACTGACACATCACGATGCAGCGCGCAATTCCCCATCCATGCACGCCATGCCGTTTCTGTTCTGGCCTCGATCTGCAGAAGATGAGAGAAGCCTTGGATAAGCCGAAGTGGGTAAGGGAATATTATTGGAAGCCTCTGGCGCCGCCGTCGGGTCAGAAAAGGTTTGCAGCCAATAATCAAGGTGCGACACTCTCGACAAACAAGAAGTTGCTCTCGCATTGATCGCTGGGAGCCACGAGGCAGGAAATGCGGCTACAGGGAGGGCGGGCGAGGTCGAAAGAAGACACGAGCGTCACTTGGTCTCGAGGCAGATCAGTGATCGGTGGCCGGTCTCAGATGTCTGGAGTCTGACAGCCAAATTCATGCAGACCACCAGCCCACTGGTACTTTTACAAGGCGAGTGCGTAGGCGACAACAGCGAAGTCCCAGCGCCACAGCAATACGCAAACGACCACGGGCTGGGTCAAAACAGCCACTCATTTGGGTCGTATCGGCTTGCTCCTGTTCGAAGCATCCTTGACTCCAGACCACCCATGACATGGCTCATGCAGCAGGCTGCAGACGTCTGCGCTCATCTCTACGGAGCGTACGGAGCAGGCGTTGCAAGTAGTCTTGGAAACGATTCTGCCGTGGGCCTGACTGTGACTGGTGCCGTAACCAACCCTCTACGCCCGCCTCGCCCAGCTTTGGTTGCAGAGCAAAACTGCACTGCTGCTGCAGCATGGCAGCACAGATGGGTGGCTGGCCCATGCACCAGCCTATTTTATGTTCGAAAAGAGCATGGAGCAGGCGTGTGACTGGGATCAAAAAGAGGGCCTGGCTTTTTCTGACTTTCCCACTATAAACTAAGCAGGGTACAGGGCTACCAGCGGAGTTTGACTTCCCAATCAGTGGTCCCTCTCCTGAGGGTGGTCCGCTAAAACGTTGGACTCAGGTGGTGGAGAAGACTATGTATGGGCCGGTCTTAACGCTAAAACAGTGTGCAGCGTGTGCAGGCCTAGCAGGTGCCCAGATTTTCATTAGTATCCCGCCCCATCAGTTACCCAATCACTAACCAACTCACTCACTCACTTGCCATCGCCCTAGCACGCCCCTGCAACGACTGTGTCGTCAATGAGTTGAGTGCAACTCCCAGGTATCGTCATATTAGTCCGTCCCCGCCTCGACCTCACGTACCTCCTACTACCTACTACCACCACAACCGTCTTCCAAACATCTCTCCTCAACTTCACGACCTACACTCCCTTCACGACTCTCCCTCACCGTCGCCAACCTCGATCTCTTCCACCACTTGTCTTTCCAGACTTCTCACGACGATTCTCTTCTACGTGCCAAACGACGATCAGGCGACAGTCAGGACCCAGACCGTTTCTAAGAGGCCGTTTTCTTTTCTTCTGTTGGACCCAGTCAGAGATAGGATTCCATCTTCCACAAAGGACTTTTTGAGCTTCGGTTTTCATTTTTGCCATGCATAATACCTTCCATGGTCAAATTACACCACCACCATCGCCGCCACCACAGAGTCAACAAGCTGCCCGGTGCCCACCTACACCTGAATCGAGAATAGGTATATTCCTTGGTCCTTCTTTGGAGCTGAAGGGAATCCTGGGGACGGGTGCATATGGAGTTGTGTATTCAGCAATCGACCACCTCACCCAAATCTGGTATGCGGTAAAAGCTTTGAGCAAAACCAATGCCAATGGAGAACCTTTGGACAGAAGGCAGCGCGAGTTCCAGTCCAGGGAGATCCAGCTTCATTACGCAGCCTCAGCACACCCTAACATAGTTTCTATGCTGAAGATTGTGGATGATCCTGAGTGTACCTATGTTGTCCTGGAGTACTGTCCCGAAGGAGATCTTTTCTCAAACATTACCGAGCGGGGTAGGTACGTTAGCAATGATGCTCTTGTCCGTCAGGCATTTCTTCAAATCTTGAATGCCGTGGAACATTGCCATCGTCTGGGAATCTACCACAGAGACCTCAAGCCAGAGAACATTTTGGTATCCCACTCTGGAAACCAAGTTTTGCTTGCAGACTTCGGTTTGGCCACAACAGATTTCGAGTCCGAGGACCACGGATGCGGATCGACCTTCTATATGAGCCCAGGTAGGCCTTCCCGGTTACATCTAAACCCCCTTTCACCCACTAACCGTTCTCTTCCTTCTATAGAATGTCTGGATCAATCATCAAGGAACGCATCATACCGGTGCGCGCCAAACGACATCTGGTCCCTTGGTGTTATTCTTGTCAATCTCACATGTGGCCGTAACCCATGGAAACAAGCTTCCGCTGAGGATTCCACATACAAGGCTTTCACCAGGAACCGTGATTTCTTGAAGACCATTCTGCCCCTGTCCGATGAGTTGAACGAGATTCTTGGCATGATCTTTGAGCGCAACCCAGAAAAGAGGATCACCGTCAGCGAATTGAAACAGCGGATCATTGAATGTGTCCACTTCTCAGCTCCACCTCAACAACTCCCAACACCACCTACGTCTCCCCTTACCTCTCCCGTTGATGAATATGAATCGTTGTCCAACGATGGATCGATCATGTCCGACGACGGATCCCTCACCGGCTCCTGCTCCACGCTCTCTGATTCCGACTCTGAATCCAGATCCGAATCTGGGTCTGATTCTGGCTATGATACCCGCGAGAGCTCTCCTGAGCTAGAGGAACAAGTATGTGTCGATCCTTGCAACATCAACGTCAACAATATCAACAACACGAACAACCGAGATGCACCACAGCACGCTCAACGACCAACCATCCCAGCTCCGTTTGTACATCAACCAGCATACGTTCTTCCTCCACAGGAATTCCAGGGGAACCCATGGGGACAGCCAGCTAAACCAAATCCTTGGATGCAGCACTGGGGCAACCCATATGACCACCAGTTTGAGCAACTCCAGGCTGTGCATGTTCATCCAGCTCCAGCTGTCTACCCCTCCTACCCTAGCCTCTATTCCCCTCATCACAGCCAGTACATGAGAAGTGTCTGGTAAGAGGTGTTCTTTCTTTCTACGGTGTGACTGGTTGCGAACTTGTTAGTGTCTTGCCACTCTAGCTTGTCTGTTCCATCAGCTCCCGCTTAGGACCGCCCCCGGACTTCAGTGGTAAACACAGGACACTGGATCCCCATTCCACCAGGACAATTTGGAGTCATGTCAACTTTCTTCCAAGAACTTGACCATGAGGTACCGCTTCATTGGTAGCCAGACTTCGACCCTCAGGGACACACAATCCCATCACTCTGTGATGATTCACGAACCAAGAATACGACCCAACCATCGAGCCGTGGACGGCCTTTGACAAAAGCGAGAAAAAGACACTGCCCGTCAGGAAAAATCTCTTCACACAGCACTCATGTCGTTATATAATCATGTACACCTTTTATTCACGTTAGCTCTTCTACATTCATGTTTATTCAAGCAAGGCGCACTGGGATGGCAGCTTTTAAAATGGGAGAGAACCAAACAAATATCTTTTTGCAGCGTTGGGAGGAAAGAAGAAATCTTAATTATGTTTTTTTGCTTTGTCTTTTTTGTATGGCGTTTAGGGATGGAACTCGGTCGAGCTGGCATGCTCTGGGGCGGTTTGGTTATGAAAGCATTTGCAGCGAAGAAGATGACGCATGCGACTGGGAGTCACAACTTAGATGTTCATGTTTTCCTTCTCTTCCTCTTCTACTTATAAGGGCTTTTTTTCTGGTTGGACACGGAATTTAGACACGGAGACTGTCTGGTTGTCTTTCTCAGCTCTGCCTTTGAGCTTTGGCAAGCGTTCTTATTTTGACTCACACTCTTCAAGTGGTTCTGTCAACTACAAATACGTTTGTGCGGGCTTTATGTCTACACATGTTGGAATGATGTACAGATATCTATCTACATTATGGAGTGTAAGGGGAATGGACTGGTATCGGACTCGAACCAGCTTCAAATACAATATACTACCGATTCACGTCACATCATATTAGAGAATCTCATGTGAAAATGCAATATATTCGTGATATCACCACTTGCATCATACATGAACACAAACAATGCCTAATTAATTTTCAAGGCGCGATCTTGCTGATACGGCCGACTCGAGGTACTTGCTTACTACAGCACGGTAACATCTCAATATCCCATTTTAATTTCGCAAGTATTTACCCAGACGACCACTCAACAAGCCCATCTCGAACTTTCAATCTCCCCGAGTCCTGGTCACACAGCCGTCACATACAGCTGCATGCATACCTGTCTGTGTGTCTGTCTGTCGTACCACTTCCAAGATCAATACAATTTCGTTCCCCCAGCTGCTTCCTAGGAGAAGCGGCAAACCTAAGATTACCAGCCAAACATCAACTCTCAAGCCGTGCCTCCTGTCATCTCATCAATCCTGCATCGAAGGCCAGCGGGCTAGTTGTCTTGTCTTGTCTAGCTCGATGTCTCCCCACCAAAACCTTCCTTGCCGTTGCCGTACTGTACTGTGCTGTACCCCTCCCTCGTGCGATAACAGGAACCTCCAGCAACAGCTCACACAGTGACACAGCAGATAAGCCGTGCATCGCAGGCTGGCAGCAGCATCACATCGCATCGCGTCGCACTGTAGGCTGGATCCCTCACTGGCAACTGATTCGCTTACAGCCAACGCCACCGTCCGCCTCGTCTCGCCCTACATTTCCTGCCTCTCAGACATGTCAAGTTAGTTCCCAGCCCGTCGAATCCTTCACATCCAATCACCCGCCCCACCCCTCATGTTCCCAGCACTTTGTCCCACGCCCAGGACGATTACAGTACGCCCAGTCGCCCTAGTCTAGCCGTGAAGGTGTCCGCGAATCATCAGCAGCGGCCGCGACTGTCTTCAGCATCTAAGACGTCAAGACGTCAAGTTAAGATACTACGCTGGGCTGGCAGTACTCCTAGGCTACGACGGAAACAGCTTACAAAGGTAGATTTATGGGCGAATCATCTAAATCCCGCAAGCGAGCACCAGCTAATCAGCTTCCGGGGTCAGATATTAGGTGCGTAAATAGAGGAGAGCTAATACGTGGTGTACTCGAGTACTGTGCAGTAGGATTTTGTCCGTTCGTCCAATGATGGGATGGCAAGTGGGGACTCTGAGACCTTGATTCAGCCTTGTGCATGGCCGCATGTGTGTGAGTGCAGGTGAGTATGTGGCAGGTCTCGGCACGACTTGCGTAGGAAGAAAAAAGGTTTATCCGCTTTCTTACCAATACTGTTCTTGCCTGTGTTTGGTTAAGCAAAGTGGTTGGTGGGTAGGATAGTGGAGCAAAAGCCGGTTTTTTGTGTTTACTTTTTTTTTGCGGCTTGCGTGCGGATTTGCTTGCGGCTTGAGAATTTGAGTTTGAGCCTTCTGTATGGCTGGGTCAGCTGGCTAGCTATGGAAGTGGAAGTGGAATGGAACCACTTTTTCTTCAACCGTTGTCCAACACGTTGCGAGCACGAGAGCGAACAGAAAGATGCAGGTGTTCGGGTTCACGCTTGTGTATGTGTATGCGCGTCAGCTGCTGCGCTAGGATTTCTGGAGCTGTCATTCGCTGGGTATCAGACTCCTCCGCACCAATCCAATACAGTATGCGATGAGAGACATGGGAATCTGAAGATGGGAAGGATATCGTGAGGAGGAAGGTTTAGATTGGCCGGAAGACTTCCGAGTTTGGAGGGTCATTGGACAGAGTCATGTCTTTGCATTCCTGCTGCTTAGTGGCAGCGGCCGCAGTCATGGAGGAATGGGTGCGGAGGCGAGCCGGAAGACTTACACTGCATTTTGCAGCTCTGCAAACTATTTCTGATTGCTAGTAAACAACGTTCTCATGCTCACTAGGTCTATCATGGTGGCGAAGATCCAATAAAGTTGTACAAGTTGAGTAAGCGAGACAAGGCAAGATTCCACAAGCGCCAACACCAGCTTCAAAGTCTTCGAGGTAAGGGAGGAATTGCCGGTCGGCTGGGGAGGGAATTCCGGGAATTGAAACGGAAGACAAGCTGGGCTGAGTCGGGGAGTTGATGCTGTGTTCCGCAGTTGCGGCTTTGTGTGACATGACTGAAGTTGAGCTAGACCCTTTTTTGGAACTTTGAGTCGCGAGAATTGCGGCCACTCCGGCATTTGCTGTCTTTGAACTATTGTTGTTGCTTGTTTCTTAGACCGTAAGCATGTGACAAAGTGAGGAGGTCAATCCATGGAAGGATGTGGAGTCTCATTTGACATAATTCCTCCCTTCCTAAGGAATCGTGGATAAATTGTTTGTGTCACATGTTGACGTTGTTGCGACTTCACGATGATGTTTGACGAGCCTCGCTTAAATCTAGCTGGTCTTGAATTCCGACTTGAGGACCACCAAACCATAAATGAGAGCGGGCCAGCCCGCCGTCAAGTGCCCCTCAAAATAGGAACATAGCATTATGTCAAAAAAGCTGACGTTCAGTCAATACTTTGGGAGACTAAATCCTTCGGTCCCGTCAATTTCGTTGGCTGATGGCAAGTTCCAGACGGATTTGCACTAGGTTTGTTGACTATTGATATTTGGCGGGGAGCCAAGCGAGTTCGGTGGAGACGGGCGCCGGATGTTCAGCGTTTTGGCTATGGAGTCAATAGAACAATCTCGAAATAATGTGAAGCCGCGATCTAATGATAGATGAATACACCGTCTTTGGAAGCGTAAGACATGCAATGACAATGGATCGATAACGAGCTTTGGGAATGTAAAATAAACACTAGCAAAGGTTTGGATCGAGACTACAGCCAAGATGAGGCTAGGTGCTTGATGCGATGCTTAAGAAGTTGATATTAATCATATTGACCGAGGTAGATATCATCAGTTTGTACTGTACTGCCGAGGGAAGGCATGTGGTCTGGACATTGAGCTTGTAGTGAGAGTGTTGCAGGCTGCTTCCATCATTCTATTTCTCAACTTCTCAAGCCACAAATATCAAGTGACAATAATAGGCTCGCCTAGCGGGACCACAGTTAGTACAATCATCCACTGGAAATCCTTCACTGAAGTTCAGGGTACATGAAGACATTCAGCTCAACCCCATAATTTAACTACGTTGATACTGCAAATCACAAAACTGCTTCCGCCTGCTGCAAAACACCTGGGAGTAAAAGTCAAGGTCTTCATCCCTTTAGCTGACAAAATCTGAACTTCGACTCTCCCAGAATATCTAATTCCTTGGGGTAGTTCTTCGTCCGGGTACGAATGTCAAAGTCGTTACTGCTCGCCATTTTCGCAAAGCAGTTTTATGAATTCATTTGATCTCATGAGACGAATGCTGTGAAGACTTCATAAGTTCCTGCTCATTCCTCGATTTTGATCAGACGTAGCCTTCACTTTGTCACAGAGAATAAACACTATGGAGCTACTACGATTTCCAGTACGTACTGGTCTTCAGAAGGGAGGCGCTGAAATGTTCAGCTTGTCGAATGCCAAGCAAGCGAGAGGGGAAAACTGTTAAAATTCCTTGGGAAACTTCACAATTATGGCGATGTTTCCGCTTCAATTCTGCCTGTAAGGCAAGACGTTCTCCCCACTGCCTTTCTCATTTATGTTTTAGATAATAACACTATTCATGTTTGTGTTGTATTATCATACGCTCCCATTTTTGACACAACACGTACCAGAACTCGCCTCTTCGACCTCGGGCACACTAATGATGAGGACGTTGTTTACTTACTCCCCAACTACGCGAGTCCAATCGCAAGTGGAACTGTTTAGGTAGGCTGCGAATGGGTCACATGCCTCGTAAGACGTTCAACTTTCTGTAAATCACCTGCACGTCTGATCGCAAAGTCAATAACCGACAGCAGGAAAATCCCCCCTTTCAACCGTCCAGTCCTCGGGAGTCGGCCTTATTGAAGTCAAAATCTGCAAGCCGCCATCACCTTCCTGCACGCACGAAGCCTTTTCCTGCCCCCAAAACCACAGTGGAAACCTCGTGCAGTAGGACACATCAAAGCCGAGTCAAACGACGTCGGCAGCCGCGCGTGGTGCCTCATTCCACCAGTAACATCTACACCGCTCTTCTCCCAAGACTCTCTTGAAGTGGAGCCCCCATGCGCGACTTTCGAGGGAAGGGACGGGAGAAGGCGTTTCCCATCCCAGGATAGGACCCAAAAATAAGGTCCTTGCTTTGATTGATGCCGATGTTGGGCGGGGCTGGAAAAGACGATCGATGGAATCGCAACATCTGTGCGTGCGTCCAACGCATGAATTTTCTCGGGATGCGATGGGATGGAATGGAATCGGCAGGCAGCGTTAGCGAGGGACACTAGTGAAAAAGAAGCCAACAAAACATGTCTGTTTTGCATTAGGCGTTGTGTCAAAGCGCAGACTTGGATCCGGATTGGTGGGTGATGAAAATCCAACGTCTAAAGAAGATGGAAGGGGAACAGAGTTTCGGCAAGTAAGCACGAGGTCGGGATCCCCATCGTGATGAGACCTTGGATGAGCCGTGGCGACTCGCTGTTGGTTCTGTTTTGGTTGTTTTGGTTATCCATTTGCTAAGATCGCTGGTGAGAGTCATGACTGGCAGCTCAAACCAAATGGACTGCAATTCGCAAGGCTGTGGAGGAAAGCCGGATGGACCAGCGTTATGAACTTGCATGCAGCTTTATCGATAGCAGTGATCGTTATCACCCCGCTTCGCAGCGTTTTGATGTCTCTAGTTTGATTCTGAAGTCGGGTGGCTGAAGGCAGGCGACGTTGAATCTGTCTCTTTCTGGCGTCGTACCGCGACTAAGGTAGACAGACGGCTTTCCGGAAGGATGTTGATGTTTTGACGTCTTAGCCTCTTAGGTGAGCGGAACTGACACTCAGGATTGAGATTGACAACCAGCCATCTCTCGTCGGCTAAACTGCCTATTCGGCGATATTTGGAGATGACATGACTGCAGGAGGAAGAGGATCTGGCGTGCATCTGTTTCAGCGTCTCGAATTCCTGCTCGGAGGACTGTCTCCTAATCTAGGCTAATTCTCGTCCAATGTATCACCGTCTACTGAGTACCTCTTCTGCCAGGAGCTCACATATCATATCACCTGTTAACAACCCGCCGTAGGTATGCGTCTCCCGTTGTATCAGACAGGACCTGTTTCGGCAACGTGGGCCGAGCTAGCTGGATGGTAAGCTGGTAGAAGTGAGTGCCGTCTTGTTGCATGAGTGAGACAGAATACGAATCCATACATAACATGACCTATGTGGTGTGATGTATTGCGTTTCGCCCATATGTGATCTATCGACTTCGTTGGCTTTGCATGCCTTGGACTACTATGGGAAGCGAAGCGAGTGGGTGGAGATGTGTTCAGACTGCATTCATTTTGGGACACGTGAGTCTGTGAAAAATTCATGGTTCCACATCCGGATCCGAGTTTCTGTAGACATTGCCCGACCAAGATCCGAAAATGTATTGCTTGATTTCCGAAATGTAGTATGAGAGCAGCAGAGCTGTATCGTGGCGCCGTTGATATTCATTCAATTTACCTCACGTGATATGGAACACTTGGCACACCTGCATGATTATCGTAGCCATGTCGATATCTGGATGCAAATAACATGATGGAAGGAGACAGAATATAGGTGGATTTCTGTGAATATAATCTTGACAATGGACAAAAGAGCCACCGAGTAACCCCGCGATAAAACCTCCGTAATATATGCTCACGTGATACCATTAATTCGTGCCCTTGGTGAAGTATATCCATTCCTCCTTCAGCCTTCCCCCTCACCAAACATCCAAATAAGCTCTCCTCCTCACTTTCATCCACTCCCCAAACCACTCTCCCAAACTTCAGGTCCAAATCATCCTCTCTTCGGTTAAGCTCTCGTCAAAACTTGGGACCGGTTCCAGACTAAGGGTCAAGAACGACGCAATGTATTTTATTCTGGAAGATATGCGGTGATATCATGGCCTTGAAAGGGAAGATGAGTGGACTGGGCGATGAAGAAGGGGAAAGTGCGGTGCGTGAGGAAGAGGTATAAATTGGGTGTCAGTGGTGAGAGGAGCTGTTGAGAATTCTTGTTTCGTTGTGTGCGTGTTCTTTGAGTTGTCGTTGGGTGAGGTGAAGGCTCAGAGAGTGAGGACGGTAGTTTGGATCGCGGTTCGAGGTCCCTGGTAATCGAGAGTGACGACATTCCGATGGTTCGGCGCACACTTCGTTCAATACTGGAGGTATCGTTTCCCACAATCGTTCGCTACAATTAAAATCTTTCAATCCGCCCACTGCCCAAACCAACATCATCAGTAACCATGAAGCTCAAACACCTCTTGTGCGCAGCTCGCACGCAAGAGGCTTCACCCTCACCCTCATCTTCGCTCTCCTATTCCTCATCAACATCCGACTCTGACTCTGACTCCGACGTCCCATCGCCGCGATGCTTCGACAGGCACGGAAATCTCATCTCCGCCGGATCATTCTGGCAGTACAACGACCCCCGCCGATCAATGCAAACACCCACCATCTCGCTCCACCATAAACACCGCCAAAGCAAAAGCCAACACTCATCTCTGCAGTCCTTCATCGAAGCGCAGCTCCGTGCTCACGCTCGTGAAACTGCCATCAGAATACTCAAAGCCAAAGCAAAACAGACATTCTGGCATCTGCAAGATGAAGAAAGAGCAGTCATTGCTCTGAAAGCTGATTTCGTTGAGGCGGTAGGTGTGTTCATGGAGGCTGTGCTCACTCCTCTTGGAGAGGAGTGGCCAGAGGATCCGAGTCCGGTCTCGATGGATTGGGCGATAGAGCAGGTGGAGAGGAAATTGGTGTTGCAGGAGGAGGCTGACGCTGCGTACGTGGTGTGGAAGTCGAGGGAGATGGGTGCGAGGATGACGAGGAGCAAGATGGAGGGTTTGAAGTGCGTATTAATTGAGTTCGGCGAGTGGAAGGGTGTTCAGGCGGATATTAGGAAGGGCGTTGTGGATGAGAGCGAGAGTGAGGTGGAGGGTGCGGAAGGGGTAGAAGAAGAGCGGGAGGATTGCAACGAGGAAGATTGGTCGGAACGTGGGAGTATGGACTTAGAGGATATGCCGCCGTTGGTGAGGATTAAGGGGAATCCATTTTGTTCTTCCATGGTATGTGAGAGTAGACCGGCTCTTGCGAGGAGACATGCCGCCGGTCCGTGGGCTGTATCGTGGGATATGTGAGATGGCTGATGCCTTGGTCCATAGCTCAAAACGACCTTAGACGAAAAGGATGCAGAAGGAGTGGATCGATTTGAGACATGGTTTTGTGTTTCTGTTTTGGACTGTACAAAAAGCTGATTGGGAAGAGGATAGGAGGATGGAGTTGTCGAAACGATATTGCTGCTTTGATTTTTGTGATTTGAAGTTGGATATTTTTTGCGAATACTGGTGTAAAGAAAAGTAGGAAATGGGGCCCAGGGATACAATTTTTCCGCAACTCTCGATTTAGACGAGTGGACTTCGGGATCGCCGGTGGTATGACTGCAAGCTGCTCCACAGGATAAGTCGCAAACCACCAGCTACTCGAGAGAGACATCGAGTGTCTCGAGCCATGGATACCATGAGCGGCGTTGAAATCCACCCAACCACTTACAAGCGCTATTTGGCACGCTTTGGAACACTCGTCAAAGACTCAAGACTGGACATGTGATATTTTGAAGAGAGGCTCGCTAAGCAATGACAACATCAAAAGAAGTACTTTAAACTGAAGCCCAATACAAAAATAGAATGAGAGAAACAGGATAGAAATTTCTTGGTCCAGCCTAGGAGGTAAGCAGAGAGGACAAAAGTAGTGACAGGCCGGGATCGCAAAGGCAAAAGTTTGGTTCATGATTTCTGCGGGTGTATCTGGATATTTCGGTCAGATGTGGTATAACGAAATATTTTAATAATAATCGAATAGAGACGAACTTCCAAGATCGAAGACCGTTCCAAGCGGACCGAGCAAAATGATTTTGAGCATGAAGTGGTCGACAAGATGAGGATAGTGTAAGTAGTAAGAGGACAAGTTCGGCAAAATTCGGATACATTCGAGTCCATTTGGGCTAAGGCGGTGTATCTCCCAGGAAGGTGAAGATGACGATCTCGTGGGGAATGTGGATTAAAATCTGGGGAAGGCTCGAGATAGGGCTAATGGTGGGAGACGGATGGTTACCGGGGAGTAGCGATGCTTGTAATGTCGTGACTGTGATGGAGTGCCGTGGAGTCATTGACGCGTGTACAGCCCACTCATTTAGAACTAGCCTCCGATATCGACAGAGAGACCTGGTGGATTATGACGATGAAACTGGTTGTTCAATTTCGAAGAGCGTCAGCCGATTGCTAGTCGTAACTTGAAGACAGAGTAAGCAGGAAGTCTTTCCCTCAAGAGGAATTTTCAGTCCACATTACTGCCTAGAACCTCGAACAAAGTGATCGAGTGCGTGACGAGTCGGGTCCACAGTCAACCTGGTTTACATGCGGACATGATGCGTGAACTCGAACGCATTGATATGAAGACCGTTGCCCTGGACAACTTGACTCTCCCGTCTTGGAAGAGCTCGAACTGAATACTACCGCGGGATTCACGAACACTCTATTCGAGGAGGTATGATATCATAGTCTATCGCAAGACGACATTGTGTTGGGGAAAATGCTCTGTGACGGAGGAGATTAGGATATGGTAAGACGGATTCTTGTACGTAAATCTGGAAAGCGATTGCTTTCCAGTGCCCGTCGATTTTCCAATCTTTGCGGCATGCAATACAAATTGGAACGTGTAGTTTTATGACCGGAAGGGTGGGTCTATTGTGGGTATCGTGGCACTCGCCTGATATCCTGAAGCTAAACCGGGACGAACAATCCACGACGAAAGTCAATACCACGGAAATGTAACGTCTGCGAAATGCAACAAGATATGAGGACAAGTTGTATGGGGTACGAAGACCACGATTTGCCTGTCTAAAGAAGGCACTAAGTGATCGATAGAGAGAAGGGCCCATATGAATTTGGCCAACTAGACCAAGAACTTAACTGATGATTGAAAACCAATAACTGATAGCCACTATCGGTTCATACTCTAATCTTGCGAGATGCAACAAGAACGGGGAACCTAGGCTGGTCGTGATCGTCTGAGACAAGCTTGTCGGAATCAAAACAACGAAATTTTGCAGCTTAAGCATTAAAGCTAACCAAGCCTGACAAGGCAACCTGACGCAAACAAGAAAACAGGCCGTACCTTTATTGCAGAAATGTGGAGCAATGGCAATGGCCTGGGTCCGCAGGTTCAAGTTAGAAGTGACCTGGAAAGTATCCTTATGGGACGTAACATTCCATTTGGTCGATAAGACGGAATTCAGCTGGTAGCTTTCCGTCAAAGGATTTTACATTGACCTTGCAGGATGTCTCCTCTTCCAATAGACCCACTTCCCCAGCTTACACCGCCCAAGAAGACGGCCCCATCGACCACAAAGCCTGGACTTACATCCGCCCAGAAGGCGTCAAAGCCAGCTTCGGTCCGTCTGTACCGGAGGTGATGGGAAACAGTCATGTATAGACCAGGTAAATCCGTTTCGTTGACTGTTCGTGAACCCAACAAAGCTGAACCGATATATTTCGTCCATGGCTCTGAAGTGTTGATTATAGAAATGGGCATCCCGTGGCTATAGATTTTGATATCGTTGAGACCACATGTATTGAGTTTCGGGAACTTATGGCGGATTTGACCGGCCTGCAGCATATTTAGCACACCGATGATGTTTTACATGGGCTGCGTTCTATATCCCCACAAATGTCCACCGCGGAGTGTGGAGTAAAGTAGTTGTGTCGTTAACAGATGAGAATAATCATTTCGTCTTGGGCTTTCGAATGATGACCTTCGTACCCTCCAGTTGCCACCCAACGCCGAATTCTTTGGTTAGTAATGGCCAAGGTGTGTTCGTTGACTGCTCCACGGCGGGGAGATCAATGCTCAGGTAACTCCTTCCGAGGCATTTCAATGCTTGCTTCTTCATTCCATCTTCCGCAAACTCCATCAACTTTGCTTTATGGCCATCCACGCTTCGTTTCACTCTCCAAAATAGGAAATAATTATCGTGGGTAAGAGCGCGGAGAATGGCATCCACTTTGTTGTCGTGAAGCCGGTACTCGTTCCTCACAAGGTAGGCTTGAGACAGATCATTCTGCCTGCATGCAAGGTCCAGTACCAAATATCCCACGAACTCTTGTAGTTCCGTATTCGTAAGAGGTTGGACCGTATGCATCTTCTTCAGAAGATGGTGTATGGCTGGGTGGTACGATTCCATATGCTTCACCAGGATCGAGAGCCGAATGCAAAAAATGTACGCCTGGATCGAGAAGTCGTCCACCCTCTTCGTAGCAACAATTCCTTCTCGCAGTTTCCGCATAGCCATTATGAGCACCGAGAGATCTTTCTGCCCTGACACATCGGCGTTGGCAGCCATAGCATTCATAGATATATTCGGGGTAGCAGGTGCTGTCTTCGGTCGGTTGTTCTCGGGGATGCTCTGGTTCGAGATGTCCATGCGCGCCATTCGTCGTATAAGTTCATCGCCTCGACCTGCTTCGGAACAAAATGCCATATATCTCTCGACAATCTTCGTGTAATATCGTTCTTGTGCTTTGTGGTCGAGGAGTCTGGTAGGTGGGTTAGTGATATTGGGACCATTTGCTCAAGTACAGAATGCGATGTTTACCTGTGATCGCCCTTCGAAGGGAGGCCAATGACCTCGAGAGGATCGAGATTCATAGGTTTTAATCGACTCCATGGTCCCGAAGGTGCGCGGCCACCGCGCGACGACATTGAAGGGATCCGGGCAGTGGGGAATGGGTGGCGTGGAGTGGTGAAAGTACGAGTAAGCAATGGTGGGCGCGCGACGCCCATCAGCCTCGTCTTCAGGCACTCGATTTTACAGTACAGTAGTGCCTCGCTTGGAAAACATCCCTCGGCGGCAGCCTCGACCCACCCTCAACGTTTTGCACATGTTGATGAAAAATGTCAGAGAAATATTTCCATTTCCCGGCTGACTTTTCTTTTCTTTTCCTTTCCTTCCAAATCGTATCGTCTACTTTCAATCCTCATTCTCGCTCTACGTTCCCTTGAGAAATCCACTGTCTTATCACATACCGTCAATTCTTCATGTCAGCCAGACAGAGACGCCCTCCAACGACGGAAGTCATCAAAGATGCCGCCGTGAATCTGGAGAAGCGTGTTGAGAACGCCTTGACTGTCTTATGGGATGATTTGCCATCATGGCAGCAAGACAATCACTATATCCACTCAGGATATCGACCAGCTTCGGCGTCTTTCAAGAAGTCATTCGCCAGTCTCGGCTATCTTCACAATGAGTCGGTCAATATTTACTCTCACCTGCTCGGTGCAGTTGTCTTTTCTATTGCTGGCGCCATCTTATACACTGCGATCAAGCCGAGATATGAGACAGCTACGCTGTCGGATATACTGGCATTTGGATGCTTCTTCCTGGGTGCTGCTCTGTGCCTCGGCATGTCAGGAACTTATCACACAATCTCCAACCATTCTCCAATCGTTTCCAAATTTGGCAATAAGCTGGATTATGTCGGTATTGTGTTCTTGATCACTGGGAGCTTCATTCCGAGTATCTTCTATGGATTTTACTGCCATCCTCATTTGCAAGAGTTCTACTGGATAATGGTATGTACATCGCTATAGACCATCCGACAACAGGAGCTGATACTCTCAGATATGTTCTCTTGGGATCGGTTGTGCTACAGTCTCTATATTTGAGCGCTTTAGAACTCCTGCATGGCGACCGTATCGCGCTGGAATGTTTGTTCTGATGGGCTTGTCTGCGGTCTTCCCTGTACTTCACGGTCTGGAGTTGTATGGAGTCCACGAAATGCGGAACCGAATCGGATTAACTTGGCTGGTATTACAAGGATTCTTTTATATCCTTGGAGCAGGTCTTTATGCCGTAAGTCCACGCTATGCCAGGCTCCATTGCTTGAAGCTGATCATTTCAGGCTCGATGGCCGGAGCGCTCCTGGCCAGGATCCTTCGATATTTGGGGGAGCTCTCATCAGATCTTCCACATTCTTGTAGTCATGGCTGCTACATCTCATCTATACGGACTTTTGAGAGCGTTTGATTTCCATCATGGGTATCCAGGTGTGACCTGTTAACAGGTTCATGTTTGGGGATACTGCCGCAATAGACGAGTAATTGCACATTACGATCATGAAGGGCCCCAGGTTATTCCTGTCCATTTTTTTTGCTTGTCAGTATCACCAAAGTTGACGCCATCCGCGCATACAGTTCGCGAGGCTGAAAGGTGATCACAGCCTCGGCCTCGGCTCGGCAACAGGTCTTCACGGAAAATCCGGGGAAGCTTCCCCACCTCAAGCTTACAACAGAACGACTCCCCTACCTTCAACAACATGGACGACAACTTCCCCTTCAGCATTCCATGATTCAATCGCTCCATATAGTACACCTTCAAAAATAACACTCCATCCTTGAAAATGGCACAACGCGCAGCTCAAATCGCGAACCATCTGAACTACCCTAGCGGCCTCCTCGCTGGACAAGTAGCTATCATCACTGGCTCAGGACAGGGTATTGGTGCCGAAGCAGCTCGACTCTTCGCCAATGAAGGGGCCAAAGTAATCGTATCTGATATTGACGGAGGTACGACGCTGCAAATCAATTGGTAGTCTAAGTCCAGTAAATACTGACTTCCAAGCAGGAAAAGCAAATGAGGTCGCAGACAAGATTAACAAGTCTGGAGGAAAGGCCCTTGCTGTCCCTGGCGATATGCTAGATGCCCAATACCTCAAGACACTCGTGAAGAAGGCTGCTGAGTTTGGAAATGGGAAGATCCATATCATTGTGAACAATGCGGGGTAAGCATGAAGATAGTTATACAAATGGCACAGCTAACATTTTCCTGCAGATACACTTGGGACGGCGTCATCCACAAGGTAGAACACCTCCAATACCATCTCGGCATCCGCAACATGTCCACAGATTGGAACATGCTAGAGCTCTCCCTCCCAGCGTCACATTACTGACGCCACATGCCATACAGATGACCGACAAGCAATGGGAAAACATCATCGCCCTCCACAACACCGCACCCTTCAAACTTGTTCGCGAAGCAGCCCCTTACTTCCGCGTCACCGACGGCGAGCCCCGCTGCATAATCAACATCTCCTCCACTTCAGGCGTTCACGGTAACGCGGGACAAGCCAATTACGGCCTCGCGAAATCAGGAATCAACGGCCTGACAAAAGTCATTGCTAAGGAATGGGGTCCCAAGTTCGGTGTTCGAGCCAACTCGATTGCGTTCGGACATATCTTGACGAGATTGACGGCTGCCAAGGAGGAGGGTGCATTTGTAACTACACCGGATGGTGAGAAGATTGCGCTCGGTATACCGAAGGGGCAGGGTAGCCAAAGCAAGGATGCGAATTTGGATATCGCGTTGAGGAGACCTGGGACAGCTACAGAGGCTGCGAGCTCGATTTTGGCGGTTGCTAGTCCGTTGTTTAGTTATATTACTGGACAAGTGCTTATGGTTACTGGTGGGAGGAATATGTAGCATAATGAATTATTGAGCAGGTGATGAGATAAATCTTTGATGTTGGCTTCCCTCAAGGAGTCACTGATCTCATGTGACTGTATGATGTTAGAGTTAGCAAAGGTCTTCTTCAAGCTACTAGAAAAGACATGGAGACCAGATGGAGATGCACTTCAACTTCTTGGGAACAGTAGCCATCACAATGGCAAACATACCTTCTCATTAACTAGAAAGCAACGTCAATTTGCTCCTCAATCAACGAGAGGTGCTTTCCAATCCTGGGATATTGAACGAATCTTACATCCGAGCGAGGAAGCCACAATCAGACAGACTTGCGTGCTGGAGAACCCCATCTTCATTTTAGTGCAGTCAACTCTCCCACCTCCTTTCAACCTCAAAAGAACTCCCCATCAACTCACCGATACATATGTACATATGTATCTTCGCATCCTTTTCGACAGTCAGAATGAAGATTGAACACCTCAAAATTCTGTACCTGGTACAGCACAAACGTGCCAGTCACGTGTCTAATTCATCCATTTTTCGGCCGACCCATTTGCTTCCGCCGCCCGGCTTATTCGATTGCGAGACACGAGAACTGCCCCAGCTCAATCGGAGTAGAGTCCCATTTAATCTCCAAACCGATGCTCAGAGCACAGCTGTTTGTATGGGCAACTGCGCAATGAGATTGCAGAATGTCACCATGGCATTAGCGCGGTGCCACGTGAGCGTTCGTATACTTCCTATATATCTCTAGGCAGACCCGGACGTTTCGGACTTCTCGGTGCGCTGTCAGCTTCTTCTTTTCTTCCGTTTTCCTTGAGTTCTGCATCAATTTTATACTTTCTCGCTTTCAAATACTCGCCAATTCCAGTTTCGTTCGTATTTTGGGTTCACGATCACTCCTTCTTTGTCGCTTGCCAGGCGGCCAAGCCTGTGTGAACTTCGTTCAAACACGATGACTTGGACCCGATTACGTTGCGATGACGGGGTTCTTCTGCAACGATAAATGTTTTCATTTTCCTTCTTTCGATCACGAAGTATTGACAGAATCGAAGGCCCACTACTTCGCTCTATTTACAAATGTCTATCGCTCAGCTGGAGTCATACAGCATGTCAAGTTTCCAGGCGCCTTAACCATCTTCGTACAGAGCCAACGCCAGATCTCTTTATGCATCTAAAACATCAAAATGCACCCAAGACTCCAGTACGCCAGATACAAGCACATCCCAATCACCGCATACCTGAAAGCCGCATTACACATCTGCGCTCTGTTTCGGGCTCTGCATCTCTTCACGAAGCTGTCTGCATTGTTCGCATGAGGAAATGCTTCATGCAACGGCACTGGCTCTCCCAGGAACTCGCAAAGAGGTCCCCATCCCTGGGAGACGCTGAATTCCAGTAAGTTGTTCTTTGGAACGAGGCTGCGCACCTCCTTGTAATGCTCGGCGAAGACCTCCTTTCCCTTATTTGGGAAGTCATCCTTGAAGAAAGTTTCGAAGAACTTGGTTAACATGGGATAGTACATTCCTGCGCCCCAATCGAAATAGGACGCGATTCTGAGTTCAGGGTCCTTTGCTCTCCAGTAGCCTGTCTTCATGACCGACTCGTGCCAAGTGTCCACGTTTCTTGTCGTCAGGATGACTTTGGCTTCTGGGTAGGCTTCAATGAGCTCCTTCGCGAAACAGATTGCCGGCCAATCGCAGACAGCCTTCACATGTTAGTTACATGAGAAGTATCGAAGGATGGGAGCCCGTACCTGGCAGTGGCCAAGTAGGCTGTCCCATTCTTCTCTCCCAAATCGTCCGATCCCATCATACTTTGCTTCGAAGGCTCGCTGCCACATGATACAGTCTGGAGGATTCTCTACACTTGCAGACATCATGTGATAAGTATCATCATAGCCTGTTTTGAGATTGAGCAATTGTTCTTCCAGGGAGAGGGAAGAAATTTCATACCTAGACGCTTCAGTGCATCTCTCATTGCTAAATTCTGTCAGCAATTGTCTTTTCGAATTTTACAGCGGCTTCCAACTCACAAACTGTGCCTGTCCTTCCGACACCAAGCACGAGCACTCTCATCGGAACCGTCCGATGACATTTTGATCGATCAATTGCTGTGTCTTTGGATGTGAAAATGTCGGTGATGGGACGAGAAGGGACCTTGAATCTTTGCGTATCGACGATTTCCTCTGATTTCAATCCCATCTTGACGAAATTCTGCACCGTTTCAAGACGCTGCTCCTGAATCAAGAATTCTACAGAATAGTGGCGATCCGAGTCGTGCAGTAGTTCCCACAGTTTCAACTTCAGTCAGCGATTGGTGAATCAATTTGCCCGGAACGATCAATTCTATCTTTCTCGAACGTCTGTTCCTGAAAATCCCTCTGGCAGCTGTCACTCAGCACCAAGATATCTCATCGATGCTTGTCAAAAAAATTCCAGCAAAAGGAGAGCTAACCAGTTCACATCTCTGACTACTCGAGTCTGCCGATCTTGGAGACTCTTGGGTAGTGGAAACAGACCAAGATACTGATCCATGTTCCTTCATCAGGAAGGTTTCCCGCCCACATGGGAGGCCATTCGGTTCCCAAGTGGGTGATAGTGGATGCATTCCCTGGCCCGCCCAGGCTCCATCAAAACTGCCAAGCTCTGCACCCAAGAACCAGTGAAATGGGACGATTCCGCGACAAACCCGCCAGAGAGGATACTCGCACCTCAGATGAGATGAGGTTACGTATGCGCGGTAATTTATCCATCCCAGATCCGTCTCGGGGCCAAGAGATTAATGCAAATGCGACAGGAAACATCCAAGGAAGCATGTCTCCGAATTACGACGTACGACGATATTTACGACTCACGGGGACGCAAGTACGATGTCGGCGCGATAGACGTTGCCGAGCCCGTCTTCTCCTCTATTGCCAAGCAGCAGCGGCAACCATCAGAAATGCCTATCACTTGCCAAATTCTTGGAATCTTGCCCAAGAAGAAAAAAACCGCTCACCAGACCAGATAGGCGATGGTCGTTGGCAACCATCTTTTCTGGCACGCATCACCACTCTTCGCTTCTTTAATGCGATTTTTGGCCGTGGGAAATTGATATTCGAAAATGCGCCCTCTTCCCCTATCAGAAGCGAGCACTGATGTCCCTGCGTCATGGAGTAACCTCCCTCGAAAGGACCAGCTTTTTGTGCTCGCCTTCTGCCGCGTTTTCGACTTCATGCAGGTTGCGTCATTCCAGACCATCTGCTACTATCAATTGAAGTCATTCGATTCTACACTTGCTGAAGAGACTATTTCCTGGCAATCGGGAATCGCTTCAGGGAGTTTTTCAGCAGCTCAGATCTTCACAGCCATTATTTGGGGGAGAGTTGCTGATGCAGAATGGGGTGGTCGAAAGAGGGTTCTGTTGATAGGACTTTGGGGGACGGCGATAGGTTGTCTTGGGCTGGCTTTCTCGAGGAGTTTCTATGCGGTGGTATTATTCCGCCTGTTGGCTGGGGGAGCAAATGGGACGGTCGGGATCATGTAAGTTTGGGTCCTTGATAGTATTTGGAAAGAATAGGCTAATTCTTGTCATAGTCGAACTATGATATCTGAGAATATCAAAGAGAGAAAGTACATTCCCCACTCTTGGATATCATGGGATTGAGACTGACTATCTGCAGACATCAATCACGTGCATTTCTCCTTCTCCCAGCCAGTTTTATGGTTGCGAGTGTGATTGGGCCAGGTGAGATCCCCAGGAACCTTTTTAATGATGATCCGACTTACTGAGAATTATGTAGTCATCGGAAGTTGGCTAGCTGGGCCAGTCACCACGTTCCCAAGCCTATTCAATGCAGATTCATGGCTAGCGAGCTTTCCGTACGCTCTTCCTGCACTCTTTAGCGCAGCAACTATGATGATGATTGGCCTCATCGTGTTTCTCCGTATCGAAGAGGTATGTTAATGTACAGATTCTTCACAGCTCGCTTGACTAATTCCCTTCAGACACACAGCATTCGAAAAGACTACTATGATCTAGGCCTTCATTGTGCAGCGATCATTAAGCGAATCTTCAGACGTGGCTCCTCGCCCTCTCATGATGACTACTTGGCCGTCGGAAACGATGACCAAGATTCGGACGATGAGGACATCGAGTTACCGGAGATCAAAGCTCCAATGACTTTACCTGCTCCATCAGCAAAACCAAAACCATCATTTCGCTCTATTTGGACATACAATGTCATCACGACGCTGCTTGCCCAAGCAATCTTTGACTTTCACATGGGGTAAGTAATCAAGATACGGTGAAATGAAAACAAGGATATAAGCTAATAACAACAGCGCTTTCGGCAACCTCCTTCCTCTCTTCCTCTCCTCTCCTCGCCGCTCAGTCGAGCGCTACCTCTCCTTCATCTTCAACGGCGGCCTAGGCATGGCTCCTCGTTCCGTCGGCCTCGCTCTCGCCATCCTCGGCACCATCGGCATCATCCTTCAATTCCTCATCTACCCATGCATCAACACCCGCCTCGGCAACGTCCAATGTTTCCGCCTTTTCTCCATCCTCTTCCCCATCGCCTACACGCTCGCCCCATTCCTCGCCGTCATACCTACCGACTCCACCTCTCTCACGTGGATATCCATCACGCTTGTCATCGCCGTGCACACCACGGGAAGGATTTTCGTCTTGCCTGCTACGATTGTGCTGTTGAATAACTGTGCGCCGGATCCGAGTGTGCTTGGGATGGTTCATGGTGTGGGACAGACTACTAGTGCGCTGTTTAGGACGCTGGGACCTGTTGTTGGGGGCTGGGTGTTTGGGAAGAGTTGGGAGGGGGGTGTGATTGGGGCTGTTTGGTGGGGGATGGCGGCTGTGGCTGTTGGAGGGTGGGTTAGTAGTTTGTTTGTTTTTGAGAAGCCTGCTCCGGGGGCGTGATGAGTACGGGATAAGAGTGGAGTAAGGATATAGCATGGAGTTGAGGGACGCTGTGGCGGTGTTGGATGACTTTGATGATAATATTATATAGAGGTTGGACGCATAGCTTGCATGTACAGTTTAATGAACACCACTTGCTGGATAATGATACCGTAACATAACATATTTGCTTTAAATCATATACAGCTCAGGGAGCAATTTCCAATGTATGGATTGACACTAGGCCGTACGAACGGAAAGTTTATGTGAGTCCTATGCAATATGCTGGGGGCGGACCGGCCCGTCCAAAGGAGGTCTGAGAGTCATGTCTGACCGCGTACTTGAGTTCTGCAGTAGCTCGAAGTCAAAGCGATTGGTTCGATACTGATGATGATTTGTCAAGTCATTTCTCATTATCTTCTACAAAAGTGTACATCCAAGTTACTCCATGCTATCTCACCCGCCCGCCGGGAAAGCATTATGATGATGTAACATATTCAGATGTTTCATAATTTCAAAGTATCTTGCTAAAGATCTCTGGGTCCCAAGAAGTTTGTTCTGTGTCAATGTTGGGAATAATGACAATTGATCAGCTGCGTTTCTATTGTATTCTTCTATATTAACTGAATGAACTAGCTTCTAGATCACGCTATTGAACGCTAACTAATTGGCTGTTGTTATTTTCTTCAGAGTCAAACGTGGAGCATTATCCTATGACATCGACTTTACATTGCATTTGGAAGAGAGAAGAGATGGTCATCTATTGTCCGCTGCAAGATTGCACCACTGATATCGACTCTCATAATTTGAGAAGCAGTCTACGCTTCCGAAAACTTCTCCCAAGTCCTCTCCTCCCTCGGCAATTTCACCAACGCCTCGAAACGTCTCTTCCAGAGGCTCAAAATAATAAACTCAAAAATATCCACCCTCCCCATCGGTTTACGAATATGATTTATCAACATGAAATTTGTCCCCGGATCACCGAAAGGCTCAAACGTCCTAATCTGTTCATTCTCAATCGCCTTCACCACCCTCCTGACAGACTCGAGTGTCAGATTCAACGTCTCCAGCTGTCCCAGCCTGAGCACAAACGACCAATCGTCGTAACCTTCTTCCATGATGGATCTTTGATGAGGGCTGATGAATCGATCTAGCCACGGGCCGTTTTCACGCAGGAAGAAATTTGGGTGGATCAGACTCGAGATATCGATAGTGAGAGAACGGAGATTAGGAGCCAGGTTGGTGAGGATATAGTTTCGGTTCTCGAGAGTGTCTGCTTCAAGAGGGATTGACAGTGAGTGGACTGATGAGGCGTTCCTCGGGGAAAGGTGCTGGAGCCAGAAGATGGCGTGGAATAATTTAGTGAAGTGGAAGGTATTTTGGGAGTAGAATTTATGCTCTACGGCTTTCATGTCTTGGTAGATCTGAAGACATGATTTTGCTACTGATGCGATGGTCAGTTTTTGAGCTGTGACGATATGTCGACCGCATGCGATGGCGCGTTCGGTTTCGAGATCGAAGGATTCGAAAATGTTGCATTTGCAGGACTTGGGGAGATGGTAATTGATTCTTTCTTGTTGCGGAAAAGTATCAGTGATAATCATCTGGCGAATCTCAGCGGGTAATGCGAGGAGAGTGCTCGCTGGTTGTGGTGCCGGCTCTCTTGTTATTAATGAGGTCGTTGGGTTCTCGCCGTGGTTCATTCCTGCCATTTTGGCTGTGATTGTCGTGATTGCAAGTTTGAGATATTGGCGCAGAGGAAAATTCCGTGCTGTGCGAAGATGGAATAATTAAAAAGGCTTATTTGCTAATGACCGGTCCAAGTGCTGGTACTACTAGCTTCACACTTGAAGCTATTTAGGGGCTTTTTGGCGTGACCACTGTGCCTTACAACGCGTCATGAGCGCACCCTTGCGATTAACTTGACGGTACAGACCTGAAATATATGATGCTTATATGAGAATTTCAATTGATATAATATTTTCAAGTTCCTAAAAGGAATTATAGAAGCGAGATATGACCCTCGTGAGTAGTTGGGTATTGGAGGTAGCCGAATTTTAGCGAGCAAGAGCATTTGAAGTCGCAAGCATAATATTTTGACGGTCTATCCATTTATTAACGAAAGAAGTCTTCGTACTTCTTAGTTAGACACAGTATAGCGTGTTATTACGCTATGGCCACTGAGTATTGTGGGCGGGGATCAATTTACCGTGAAAGATGAGACTGCGTAACGCTAGGTAAATACGCTAGCTGGAAATATACCACATCTAAACTTAAACTCAGTCTCTGGAGCAAGTATGTGTTCGCAGAGGTGCATCCGAACTGATTGCGACAGATAATGGTGAGTTGCAGAATCAGTATTACCGCCGATACGACGATATTTTCCAGGCATCAAGTCTGCGACTACGGAAAGCTTCGTTTAAACTAGTGAGAAATTGTGGCAGGATTACTGGGATTATATGGAACGTACGGCTAACCTTTTTGTCCCGAATAAATGCGCGAACTTAAAAGTCCATGTCCAGTCGTTCGAAAAGCTTATCACACTACTGATTCCGGATATACGAAGCCATTGTCTCTGGCTACGATCCATCAAGAACTCCAATATTGCGTACACGCCCCAGAAATGTCTTGCACTAGCTTGAGAAGCTACTGGTACTTGATGTTTGTCATTGATAGACGAAGAGAGGAGTTTCGAGTGTGACGATACGATTTCTGGCAGACCAAGAAAACTGCGACAGTTTTCTTTCGGACTTTGGGCACAATATAGTTCAAGAGAGAATACAACGAAAGCTAATTAGCCGAAGAATCTATTGTGACACCTATTTTTAGTCTTCCTCAATCAGGAGGAAGCTAAGCCAGAAAGCGCTGCAGAGTAATGGCACCTGGAAACTTGGAGATGGCCCTTCAATATTAAAAACATGAGAATAGTGTTGCATCCGCATGCTCAGGTTTCAATATGGCTTAGTATCGATACTGTCAGGTCCGGTCGGGATGATTACCGCGAAGTCCGGAAGGCCATCGTCCTCAGCGGCTTCTTGTGCAACTTCTTCAGACGTCTTCCCATGCTCATAAGGAACGCGCCAGAATGATACTCTGACACCTTTGGAATGCAATTTGCGTATCTCCACAAGCAAAAGCTGCCACAAGTCATGGTCCTTCACATCCGTGTGATTCTTTTGCTTACGATTATAAGTCCGCCACCCCACAGATTCCCATCTCTTAGCCCGGGTTGTAGCGCCTTCAGCGATGTATTCGGAATCCGTCACGGTCACAATGCTTCTCCACCCTGAATTGCAGTCTACACTCCAGTCACGGAATTGCAGCACCGCGACTGCTGCTCGGAGGTTAGATCGGTTGCGAGTGTGCTTGTACGTACATCCGGTCGGGCCTCTGAGTTCCAATGGAAAGCTGATCATGCCAGCGTGGGTAAGGAATCCGCCAAAAGTGAATGCCGTTGGCCTGTATAAGAAAGCGCAGCCACCTTGTGGATTGCCCTGGCTGTTTCGTATACAGGCTCCATCAACAAAGAATAGAATCTCGCGTGGATCAGTGTCGCGGATGAATCGGTGCTCGAGATCGAAGATGTCTTGAGGTTTAGCGGACGGGTTGGGAGGTTCGAAGACGCAAGGAAATATCGCAGGACCCTCTTCCATCGGAGGAAGCTTGGCTCCAATTGATTCTCCTTCTGCACTCAATGGTCTGTCTAGCCTGTTCCTGAGCATCGTTGCAGCAGTGAACGCCCTCTTCGCAACACTCCGAGCAGAGGTCAAAGCCATGGCACTGAAAATTGAAGTAGTGGTGACTGGAATGAACTTGTTTCTTGCCACGGTCGCAGCGAACTTCCAAATGGAGTTTGCGGTCACAATACCGCTGAAATATACTTGGCGGAGCATATCGAAAGCTTCTCGCCCAATTGGCGCTCTGGATAATAGGATTCCAAGATATGGTATGTTGTGTTGATCGCTCGATGAGGGATTACGAAGTTAAGGGGCTTAATGCTATTGCTTTTGTTGGGACTAACCAAATGTGATTTGCACAATTTCTCATTTGGTGTTGAATAATATCTACACAAAATCCTCTCCGTGATCACAGCGATCTTGGCATTCCTGCAATGCCTCCGCCTGGCATCGTCCCCATAAAGCGAGTTCAGAATTGTTTCGATTCTGTCGGTCTCTGTGCAGACCAGACGCGACAATGATGACCAGGACTGGAACCCCAATATTCACGATTGAATCATTACTTGTCATGATTTGGCTCGCATATTCAAGGGAAGTAAATAATCCCTCAATTATCGCGGAGAATACTCGCTAAAGCGGAAGCAGCTTAGCCGCAACAGCCGCTTATCCGACGCGCTTCCGATCGGAACCTTCAATCATCATTCTCACTCCTCTCCTACACTCGCCAAGCGCTTCGTCCCCCCGCCCGCGTTATCCATTCCGATCCTACATCCGCCAGTACTAGGAACGTGGAATTCGTTGACAGAAACAAGTGCCATGAACAGCCCTGAAGACCATCCGACACACGCGTCAGCGGACGGAGACACCAACAATCGCCGTCAACGAGTCAAGCATGCTTGTGATCCCTGCAAGAAAAGGAAACGACGTTGCAATGGAGAACAGCCATGTGCTACTTGTATCAAGTACGAATATAAATGCTATTTTGAAGCTGTACAAAGGAAACGACGGAGTCGACAACCGGATGGTTTACAAAGCGACGGATCACCTCCGGCGGGGGCCATACTTCCAGTCACAAGTCCAGAAGTCGAAAGAGAGGTAACATCAACAACTGGAACAACACCCAGAGAAGCGAACTCTGGCGCTGCATTTGCTCAACTTCTCCGTAATAGGCTGGAACCACGCCAAGCAGACACGCCAAATGCTCGAACCCCGTCATGGAGCATTCATATGAGTGAGGAACAGCAAGAGCTGCCATCCGAACTTACACGAATCATGTCAAAAGAACAGATGGAAAGACTAGCGGAGTCTTACTTCACAACAATCCATCAACTTTACGGATTCTTAAACCGTGACGTGTTTGATGCCAAGGTTGAGGACCGGTGGAACATGATCTATGTTCCAGATCCATATGATTCCATTCTGTGTGGCGTTGCAGCTCTTGGTTCACAATACCTTGGCGAACCTTCAAAATCACTGGAAATTGCTCTTGTTGACTGTGCCAAGAGGATACTGGAGATCACAAGTGCGTCCAATACTCCTTCCTACGAGAATGCAGCATCCTGGACTCTGCGAACAATCTATCTTCGAAGCACAACTCAGCCTTATGCTGCATGGATAACAAGTTGTACCGCAATGCTCACCATCGACGGCCTCGGACTAAGTGGAGATCTCGATGACGAAACTGAGAGTATAGTCCATAGGAGACGACTTTTCTGGTCTGCCACTGTTTTAAATACTTGGGTCTCAAATGAGTATGGACGATCCAAAGTCGAGATTTCGAAACCGTTGCCCCCTCACTTGACATCTAGATCAGGCGACTACACCGAAGATCTGCTCTACCTCTACAGAATCTCGCAGAGATTAGATCCGAAAAAGCCATCGACTGCAGCGGATTTTGAGTCTGGGATCGCAGAGTTGGTCACCTTTCAACCTCCCGTGGACGCATTATTCCTGTCTCAAAGCAACTTAGCACTGGCACTCTACCGGCGACTTCGTTTTGTAGCATCAACAATTTCAGATGAGACTATCACAACGGTCATCACGCTCGGTAATGCGGGGTTAGACGCAGTGCTACGGCTCATCGCCAAACGACAACCATGGTGGCATGTAGCCAATGTTCCATTCCAGTTCATATGCACGCTACTTGTGATTGATACGGAAGAAGCATTAGAGCACTTGAGGCGGGCTGTTGATACTCTACAGGCTGTGGCTGAGTGCTTTCCTACTCGGTCTCTCACTGACACGGTACACTCTGTGAGGAAGCTGATCCAATTGGCGTGTAAGCAGAAGCGAGGGCAACTCGGCCTCCTGGAGCAGAGCTTAGCACCACGCAAACCGATGGCAACTACGCAGCAAGTTCAATTGGGATTGGAAAATGACCAGGGAGAGCCTGTCACGAATTGGTCTCCTGAATCAATGGACTTCACAGATTTCGACGTAGGTTACCGCATACTCTTTCATATTTGCATCGTGCTTGTAATGTTTCTTTGTAAAATTCAAGTCTTGAAAATGTACTGACAGTTCATTATTTAGTGGGAGAAGTTCTTCAGCACGGATGTATCAGTTTTGGAGTATCCGATACCCACTGTATGAAGAATTTTGAGTCCCAGTTGATGCGAATACGCTCATATTTGATCGTGGATTCTCTCACTGCTTCCTTCCTATAGAGGTGATCCATGGTATGAAGTAACTACACCATAGCCGGTAACGACATAGGGCATGCACATGTAGTCCGTGATAACATTGCGAGGAGTCCTTACCCCACAATTCCGACCATAAGAGAGCGGAGACAGGACGGGAATAGACTGCCGCGCTGCACAAATGGGCGCGAAGGCAATTCCAAAGTGCGAAGTGTTGGCAAGCCTTAATTCAACCTGTGGCTATTAAAGGATCACCTTGGGGATTGCAAGAGTTGCTTGCAAGGTGTGTGATAATGTCCTGTGTCTGGGACTACACGATGGATTTGTAACACCCAGCTTTGCTCCTTGTTGTTCGTGGCTTCGTTCACGAGATACCTTGTGTACTCATCACCAGATAAGAGCATTAACGGGATCAACAACAGTGTTCCTCCCATGGCAGAAGTTGGCGATATGTATGCATGTGGAAGTAGATAAACATTGAATGAACAAGCTGCAAGCCAGCGTGGCTATCGAACTGTGCGATTAAGCCAGGGCGTTACTCGCACAAGGAAACGAGGCGATTGCATCGGGTGTTAGAAACTATAAAGTCTCCGGATTCGCTTGTAGCTTGCTTGTAATTTCAACGTATCTTTTGAGAACGGAAAGAATCACTTTAAAGAACTCAAATAACCTTTCACTGCCGAGATAGATCGGAAACTTGACTCATCTGCTGAGAAGACGAGAAGAAAGGAACCCTGCCAGCCTTACCAGCTGCTTTGTGACTCATCCTGGACTCCCTCTTCATTTCGATATAAATAAGTAAGCCCGAACTGAAAAGCAGAAAATAAAGCAACGTGGACGTGTGAAGAAAGAACTAGAAGCTTTGTAGCTGAGTGGATCTTTTTATGGTCAAGACTAGGAGATAAATGTGGAATAAACGTGCTTGTACAATCATAAAGTCTTAGAAATCTACTTACCCGCAAAGAAATGTTGTTGACATTTGTCCTTAAGTGTCCCATAGCTTGTCAAGGCGGGGAGACATTGGCGACGGAAGGATGAATGACAGCGAGGGAAATATTGGGGAGGATACTAGCTAGACCAAGACAGTTTTCGGCGCTCTCGTGGAGGGTGTTTCACTATGCTTTCATTTCTATTCTCTTAGCCTCTTCTTGAAAATGGTATGTGATCATACTGACAGACCTGGCTTTTCCGTCCATACAGTGTAGACTGAGTAGAATATTCCTGTTACTTGTTTTCCAGGAGGAAGATTACAGAGATTCTATATTAACCAACAGTCAGTAGCGGGGGAATAAAAAAGGAGTAAGTATTGGTTTACATCTATATCGCATTCATGCCGTCTGAGTACCCTTGATGTATACTCCGTGATGTATTCTTCGTGATGTATTCACCTTCTAAAAGATCTTTGCAAGTCAATCTCCGTATTCACCCATGCAAACTCACACCAGGTTGAGTTCATGAAAATATAAGACCCATGACTCATGAGAAAAGACTCCAGTTGGAAGACAGCCATCAGAGATCAATACAAACTGGAAGACATTGGCGCTTTCGAGAATTCTGACCACATCGACAACGGTGGGGCAGCTGAAAGAACAGGTTCCAGGGATCTGAAGATCAACGACATGAGGGTAGCAAGACTCGGTAATCATTGGCTCATGCTCGCCAGTTCTTCTTCAAAATGAGTATCAAGTATTTGGACTTGACAACAGTACCATCACCGACAACAAAAAGTTATCTTCCTTGAGCTCTTGAGGAAAAGTCAGGTTCTTAGAAACAGCAGAAAAAGAGGACTGTAAGAACACTCTATCTGACCACAATCACAAAATGGGCATGGAAGAAAGCCTGATTTGGAAGCCACCAGACCACCAACCAACAACTCCGGTCACTTCAGCACCCCCCGAAATATACTTTTCTCCAATTCATGACGTGCTTTGTTATGAGGGAAAGAAGAATTTATACTCACAATCGCCAAGGCATCAAAGAGAGGTAAGGACTAAACATATGCAGTGAATATTCTATTCACTCAACCACGGACTCTCAGCTTCGCAACGATTTCCCAGATCTCAAGCTGGACTCAGCACAATTCTCATGAAGGTATTGCGAAAATAAAAAAGTATATAAATACTGTCTCCCCCTCACTATATACGACTGGGAATCATCGACACAATATCAGAATCAGCACCGCCAGAGATTATGTTTGTTGTTTTGTTTCAAGAGAACCTCCGAGAAAAGACATGATCAGTGTCGGACTGGGAATCCCAAAAGGTATCGCATACTAGCTACATTCCAATCTTACGTCGTCTGGTTCAAAATACTGCTGGACTCTTCATGACAACTGAGGGTATCCAAGATCGACAGCATACCATCTCTTGACAACAGCCCCACCAAATTTCGAATCAAATAACACCCGATCTCTCGTCACCTCCAAGAATACCAAAGGGCTCAAACAACTTTCAATGGCCGATGATTCTTACCACGATATAAACTCTATATAGAACGACGGCCAGATAGACATTAGACACACGCATAGCTAGCTAACTCCATTCCCCGTGAATTTTGGAGCTCTAGGATCGATTCGTGTGTGAGCGTGTGTTTTTGCTAGAGAGACGATGAGAGGGTTATTTATATATCTCCCGACTCGCAAAATCCGTCGGTTCAGAAAAGGAAATTGTCTCTTGAAGTTTGGTTTGTTTGAGGGGACCAGATAGAGGTGAATGAAATCCCACCCCCCCTGGATTTGCCTCAGGACGAAGGATTGATCTTCAGCCACGTCACGCTGTCCCAAGACCTGTAGAGGAGTAACATGTGAGTATAAATACATACCCTAAAACAGACTTGACCACCAAAGCAGCAGAAATTCTTCGAAAAGGTACTCCATGCTTTTTGCGAGTCAAGCAGCGTACACCGCTTTCTAACCCCTCGTCTCAAGAGGGATGTTGAATTGTCGCTGATACATCTAATTTTCAGGAAAAGTAATCTTCAAAGAACAGGCAAAACATGCATGTTGTGTAGCAATCACACAGATTTTCTAAATCGTTAAATTTAACTTGAAAACAAAGCCTTCATTGACGGTCGTGACAGTACCCTAACCATCGACAACAACACCTAATAGATCCTAATCTTCAAACACCTCGTGCACCCACCTCCCCCAATCTCACACTCAACCCCATCCCCCTAAACATCCCACGACCTACTACCCACTACTCACTATCCCTCACCTCACCTCAAAACACAACCCCAATCCCTTCCTTTCCCACACCCACACCCACACCCACACCCATTTGCACCTCCCAGCCAAACAAATCTCCCTCTCCATTTTCTATCCCCTCCTCTCCTCTATCTCCTTTGCAGAACTTTGGATATGCACGTGTTATTTGTTCATGCCAAATCTTAACCTCTGCATGGATGAACCTTTGTATCTTTACCAGAGGGAGGTACGGAGAGAGGGGGGGGGGGGAGGAAGAGTAAGATCTGAGAAGTAAGACGTGAGAAAGAGAAGGAGATGAGAAATCAGAATCAGAATAGCAACGAATGGGCGAATGAATGACAACGGTATGTATTATAATATAAAATAGAAAGAAACGCACACATTTCATTTCAGAACCAGAACCAAAAGAAAAAAAAAAACATAGATTGCAAACAAATTTCTTCGAAAATCATCCAGTCAGCTCATGCTGAAGTGAAAGGGGTAATCAGACCGATCTACAACACCTCCCAGTAAGAAGCCATTCATTCGTTCCAGCAAGCGAGCAAGGAAGGAAGTGGAAGTGAAGCTCTCTGCTTTCCACCACCATCTTTGAGTGTGTGGGGATTTGGAAAGGGAGGGCGTGAGGGGAGGTAATTTATAGTTTGGAGGGAGAAGGAAGACTATTGGAGAATGTAGCGAATTGGGCGGGGAAGGGGAGATGGGACGGGGGAGGGGACGGGAGGTGAGGTGAGGTAGGTGAATTACCTTGGGCTGGGATGGGATGGGATTGAGGGGTGGATGGAATGGTGAATAAGGTTTAGATTTGGTATGGAGGCGTAAATATTTTCTTGATTTCTTGATTTAGTAGAGAGGACGTTATGGTGAGATGGAATAGTAAGTTTGCGGGGTAAGAAAATAAGTAACACGAGTGCAGACGCAGATTTTGTGGAATCGGAGATTGCATTCTGTCACTCAGTCATGGATTCTTACTATCTTTCTCTTTACACATCAAATGGTATCTAGCGGTTCTATATTTCAAATATCCTTTCTACACCACAAGGAAACAAGAAAGAAGACCTACTTCTCCTCCGGCCAAACATCATACCCAAACGTCCCCTTCATATTAACAAACCTCGTCCACCTCCCCTCCGCAACCTTATTAATATCCCCAAAATTCCCCTCACTCAACACCACCAACTTCGCATTCCCCTTAATCCTCCCCTCATTACTACTCTTCGGCAACACCGCATACCCCCTCTTCAGTCCCCACGCAATCAACACCTGCGCCAGCGTCCAACCATTCCGTTCCGCTACAGCCAACAGCTCTTTATTCGTAGATACCTTCTCGCCTGTGCCGGGGACTTGGTCCTGTGAGCCGAGCGGGGAGTATGCGACGGGGAGGATCGAGTGCGAGAGGCAGAAGGAGATGAGTTTGTCTTGGGGGAGGAAGGGGTGGATCTCGATTTGGTTTATGGAGGGGGGGATGCGTGCGAGGGAGAGGATTTGGGTTATTCCCTCGGCGGTGAAGTTCGAGAGGCCGATGGATTTGGTGAGGCCGAGGGTGTAGACTTTTTCCATGGCGCGCCAGGTTGGTTCTGGGTTCTGGGTGAGGGGGTGGTTGATTATGTACTGGGGGTGGGTTAGTTATGTGCGTGTAGCAGTGTTTCCTGGAAGGTGAGTAGTCCAGGGGGATTGTAGACATACCTTTCCATCCTCTCCAATCTTCACTGTCCTATCCTCATTCTTCTCTGCCGCAATCGGCCAATGTACCAAGAATGCATCGACGTATGGCGTCTGCAGCTTCTCCAAAGAGTCCCGGATACTCCATTCCACGTCCTCCGGCTCATGTAAATGATTCCAAACTTTTGTAGCGATGAAAATATCTTCTCTTTTAACGGATGGATTCGCAGATAGGAATTCTCGCATTCCTGATCCGACTTCTTCTTCGTTTTGGTAGAACCACGCACAGTCAAGATGTCGATAACCGGCGTTCAAGGCGTGGATTACTGCTGCGTGGGTTTCGCCTTTGCTGCCTTCGTTGGCGAAGGTTCCGAAACCTAGAGCTGGCATTTTGACGCCATTGTTGAGGGTCAGGATTGGTCCTGTCACTGCTGGTGATGCCATGTTGTGTATGTATGTGTGTGCGGTGGTAGGACTATTCGTGGTAGATAGGAATGTTTTGGAGGGGTATCGTCGAAGGTGGGGTGGGGTGGGATCTGAAGATTGTGTGATAGTCTAGGTTGGTCAGTTCTGCATGTGAGACTGGTATATCAACCTTCTCCTCTTTACCTGTTCCCAATGGCGCGAATTCTCTTCACAGGCTTTTCATCGGGCTAATCTCGAAACATATCCTTTACCTGACCGTCGCCCAACAAGCCAGCGATGACGTTGATAGGATCCATCGCGGAATGCATATGCAGCCGTAAGTTTCCCAGCCAAACCGAGTAGGATCAAACATGATTGATATGCGGACCCCGAGTCATTCCAGGCCGTAGGATCAAACAATCAACCGAACCGATAGGATCCGGGCGTAGGTAAGTTGATCGAAGCTTGTGGTTCTGGTGGAAGACGTGACGGGGATGTGAGAGGATGAGAGCAACAGAGAGGAGAAGAGAGGATCCGGCGGGATGACGGCAATAGTGGAACCTCCCTCGCTTGTCCTGCAAGGCTGTCCAGGGCTGTTGTCCAGGGCTCTCCAGGGCTGTCCAGGGCTGTCCAGTGAGTGGAAACAGGGGCTGCAAGGCTAGAAAAACCCTAAGCCTCAGATCCTTTTAGCGTGTTGCTTAGCGCCGGCTAAGAATCACTGCCCTGACTTGTGGTGTTCAAGCTTCAGCCTCAACCTTCACAGCCATGATCATTATCCCATCCCGATGTCAGATCCGGCCATTATCCTGATCAGCCCGGCTTCATGCCAAACAGCTGAAATCCATCTTCACCAACTATGCTGCTATAAATAAGAAGAAACAAGAAACATCCTATGGACCATCCTCATGCCACCACAACAGCACAGCCGAGTTCATCCAAACCCAAATACTCCTGGACTCCCGCTCTTCTCTCGGTCTCATCACGGCACTACTGTACACTCCACCAGCCCTGCGCGAAGTGGTTCCGAGAACGTCATGCTGGACCCTCCATGCACAGAATTGGACCCTTCATCACCCACCCTATGATGTCCTGCTTCAGTCACAGCATCTCGTGCTCACACGTTCATCCTCCTGATCCACATACAATATCGCCACGAATAACAGAGACTTCAGCCTCCCGAGATCCGCTCTATGACCTTATCGGCACCCTCTTCTGAACCTTAAACCACCTCTCATTCGGGCTTGGCTCAGCCTCTCAATCCGAATCTTGATCCGCTTTTGATAGAGCTCTTATCCACCGTTGTAAGGAGGGATGGATCGAGGGTTTCAACGCAAGGCTTTGATGATGATGACAGGCTGAAGTGGGGCAGGTAGATGATAATGGCGTTGAAACCACGAGAAGTATACGGGAAGGAAGCCAGTCAACCACTGGGATAACTTCATTTCACATGCAAGTGCTTGTCGTGTTGTTGATAGACCTACCCATGCGGTGAAGTCTCTTTTTTCGTCCTCAATTTCTCTAGTGTCGTTTCATTCTGATCTTGAGCAGATATATACTTGAAAACCCGCAAGTACCTTTCCTCTTTTACTTCATTCATACCATCTCTCTTCTCTCTCTTCAACAGTTAACATCTCATTAAATTCATCTGATTACCCCTCATATCCATCATCATGCCTTCCTTCGAAACATCCGACGTGAACGTCGAGGAAAAGAGACCTCAAACACCAGGGGCTCAAAAAAATCACCTCCAGAAAATCCTTAGCAATTCATCTCCCGCAAAATACGCCCACACCCTCAGTATCCCAGGAGAAGATGGCAATAGCATTGGCCACCCAAATAGCATTGAGGTTCCAGCATCAAGATCCTCCATCGCCGAGAGCGAGGCACTCATGCACTCCCTAAGCATGGCACCATCTCAAGTTGATCGAAGAAATTCCCGAAACAGCTTTGGAGCCTCACTACCAATCCCCCGCTCAAAGCGTCAATCACGTCTATCATCTGTAGCAACACAAGATGGCAAGCCCACTAGACCAGGAATGCCCGCCATCCAACCCACGAGAGATATCCTCTCCTCTCAAGTCCAAGACATGGAAGCTGTCAAAACCGCCGCCGCAAAAAACATGGCTTTCGCCTTCGATATTGACGGTGTCCTCGTCCACGGCGATCGCCTGATCCCAGAAGGTCAACGGGTCCTTGAGATTCTGAACGGTGACAACGAACTCGGTATCAAGATCCCTCACATCTTCCTCACCAACGGTTCTGGCAAGCCCGAAGCAGCCCGTTGTGCTCAACTCTCCAAAATCCTCCACAACCCCGTCTCGACCGAGCAATTCATCCAATCTCACACACCCATGTCCGCATTGGCCGAGTACTACGAGACCGTTCTCGTCGTCGGCGGTGAAAACTACCAATGCCGCGACGTCGCCCAACAATACGGCTTCAAAAACATCATCGTCCCCAACGACATCTACGCCTCCCAATCCACCATCGCCCCCCTCCGCGAACACTTCACAGCCGAACAGCGCGCGACCTCCACCCCGCGCGACTTCAGCAAAGTCTCCATCAACGCCATCCTCGTCTTCTCCGACTCCCGCGACTACGCGACCGACCTCCAAATCATCATGGACCTCCTCCAATCCGACAACGGCGTGCTCGGCACCCGCTCCAAGGACCCCGCCCGCCAATCCATCCCCATCTACTTCTCTCAGGGCGACCTCCTCTGCCCCACCGAGCACCCCATCCCCCGCATGTCGCAGGGCACCTTCCGCATCGCCCTCGAAGCCATCTACCTCTCCATCACAGGCCACGAGCTCGAGCGCGTCGTCTACGGCAAGCCTGAGCTGGCGACTTACAAGTACGCTGATGAGATCCTCACTTCCTGGATGGCGACTATACATTCTGAAGAGAAACTGCCCAAGAATATCTACATGATTGGTGATAATCCCCAGAGTGATATCATTGGGGGGAATATGTATGGCTGGAATACGTGTCTGGTGCGTACGGGTGTCTTCCAGGGCGGAGAGAACGACGAGAAGAACCCGGCGAATTTTGGCGTTTTTGATAATGTGCTTGAGGCGGTTAAGTCGGCGATTAGGAAGGAGTTGGGGGAGGATTTCAGGTTTGAGTGGAGTGATAGGATGAATCCTGTTACGGCTGGGCATTCGATTTCTGCTATTGAGTAGAGAGTGCATTGCCTCCTGCTCTTGTCCTTTCGATTTTGTTTTTGTTGCTATGTTTGGATTTTCTTTTCCTTTTTTTCCCTTTTGTTTTTGCATTGCATTGCATAGCTTGCGGGATAGTGTAGATGGATGGGTAGATAGAGTTTAGAGGTTTAGAAGGATAGAAGGACAGCAGGACGGTGTTTCAAAATAGATGGGATGGGTAGATAGACAGGATGGGATGGGATGGAATGGGATCTGCTTTCTCGATCTCACACGGCGTTTTTGTTTCTCTTTTCCATAAGGTATCGTATTTCCATCAGCCCTCGTGCTCGATGATGAATGCTCAGATTAGATCGAATCAAATCAAATCAAATCAAACGAATCTCAACCAGCACTTCACTTCAACACTCATTGCTTAACTCAAAGAGCATGTAAACATTCTCAGTTTGTCCCGGTGTGGTGATAGTACATACATAATTATCGTCTTCAATGATTGCACCAGACTTTATCGATATAAGATAATCCCCAGGTGTGGTATGTTTCTGTTCACTCACTTCTTTTGCAGGTCAAGCCGGAAACCTAGTTCTATGATTACCTATTCTCACATATCAGCGTAAATCAACTCATCTCCTGGTATAGCGTACTCAATTACATGCACAGACTACCTAGTAACGAGCCAAGACAAGCTGTACAGTAGGGTACGAGTGGTCGGCTATGGCCGGATAGGAGAGGAAAAGGGATCAAAATATCTAGACAAGGTATATATGGGCCGATGGTACGATACGAGTCATGCTTTGAGTTGTGGGTTTGATGCGGATGATGGGTTGTGTGCATGACTCGAGAGTCGAGAGTCGTGATTTTTTTTAGAATTGTGAGCTGAGAAGTTAGAGTTCAGAGGTTTGGAGTTGAGAAGCTTAGAGTTGAGTTTGGACGAACCTGGCTTTGTATGTTGGTTACCTTTGGGACTACTGGATTGGAATTGGTTCGAAATGTTAGCTCACACCTGCCCAAAATATAATATGAAGGGAGTGGAAGGAAGGAAGGACGGAAGGAAGGAAGGAACAAGCAGCTATGCTACCTGGGGATACGCATAGATCAAGTTTGGAAAATGAAAGTCGTGAAGACAGAAATGGCTACCCAAACCCGGATCAGTATCAAGAATGTGATGTACTTCGGGATCAGATTAAATTACAATACATTATCGTATAGAGCTGGATTGAAGTAAAATTTATTTAACTTTCTGTATGGATAACTTGTTACAGTATAGTAAAGTAAACAAACATTTCCTGAGGTAACTCTCTAAGAACTTTGGAATGGAAGTGCGAGGACACCCCATGCACGTGACACTATTTGACTACCTAACTCGACCTGACACTTCCCAGATCAACATCAAATTCTCGATCCTTGGAACTCAACTCTTTCCATTCCAACCCTCAAACTCCAGCACCGGGGAAAACAAAAACAAAAATACTTGCGTCCTTGGCTTGCGAAAACTGCGCTCTCATCCTGGGCTCTGATTGGTTCGTTTATTCCTTGCCTCTTAGCTGGATTTCTGTGCGTGCCAAGACACGACCTCGCTAGGTAACCTCAAATGCCTCTCCTGTCCTCATCAGTCAACCAGGTCCACAGTCAACAGTCAAATATAACACAAACAGCACAGCACGGCACAGCACAACGTAGTTCAGGAAAGCAAGGAAAGGAAGGGAAGGGAAAGGGAAGAAGAGAAGGGAAAGGGAAGAAGAGAAGGGAAAGGGAAGAAGAGAAGGGAAAGGGAAGAAGAGAAGGGAAAGGGAAGAATGGGGATGATGATAAGACGGCTTACTTCCATCTGTTTCGATATCCGATTGTGACGAGGATGATGACCGCAGGAATGGGAAACGGGCCTGGAGAGCTCAGGCCAGGAAAGCCGTTATGCGGATCAAGATCAGAGCCTGGAGCTGGATTAGATATCAAGTACGTTTCTCGCTCTTCATAATCCCCCAATCCAGAATATCCCACTCTTAAAGACGTATCTACAGGGTTGAGCCAAGGCTAACGAGATATCCCTTATGTGTGTGAATAGTCCTATGGAATTATTTGACCTGGCAAAAAGGCGAGGGAGGGTGCTGTATTGTGCGGCGCCAATGGTGAGATATAGTAAGGTGAGTGAGTGAGTGAGCGAGTTAGAGGGTGAGAGGGGCCGTTCCTTTGTGTTTGATGCGATGCACTTGATTTCTGTTGTAGTGTTTTTTTGGGTTCATTGTTTTGTTTTGGGAGGCAATTTAGGGACGGGGAATATGGGGAATGTGAAATAAGGGTTATGCCCGGCGTTCTATTTTGCGGTCGAGATTGAAGAGGTGGGAGGCGAGGACTTCTGACGGGAGTGGAATGAGCACGGTCAGGGACTTTGATGGAGAAGGCGATGCGGGGGTTAACAGGCAGTCTTGAGAGTGGCGTCAAGTGATGCTCAAAGCAGCTACATTGGCAGTTCTGCTGCAGATTGGCGTGGACTGAAGAGTTGCAAGGGGAATGGGAAGTCCTTTCCTGGGATCAATGTCTGAAAGTAGTTTTATGAGATCATTGATTCTCAAGGACATCCCTCAGATATCTTTTCTCTCGCGTTTACCAACTCGTCTTCATTTATATTCTTGAGTATATACTGTAGTGCCTCAGATCTCGCCGTTTTGAGTTTCCCGAGCAAGGCTCCCTAGCTCAGCAGGCAGGTGTACTAAACCAGCTTTGTCGATCCTGTCTTGTGATACCTGATTGCGCAATGATTATTCCATGTCAGAGAAGAACTTTATACTGACTGAACTTGTTTGACAGTTGGCGTTTCGACAAACGGTTGCACAGTATGGAGTTGATTTGACGTGGACGCCTATGGTGAGCTTTCCTCTTCCTGCCAAGAAAGCGGAGCATGCGGGCAGGTCAAAGAGTTCTGTTAAGCATGATCATCTGTCAGTTGAGAATAATGAGAACAATGGTGGAAACGATGGCCACAGGTTCTGTATTACCATGACTGACTGCGGTTTAGATTTTGGCCAAGGAGTTCAATCGTAGTGTATTGGCAAGGGATAGCGGTGAGCATGGTCTTCTTAACTCAATGTCCTCGACCCATCTAAACTCTTTCGGCCTGTCGCTTCAACTCCCTGTGTTTGGTCATTTGAGTTCCGAAGCGTTAAGTTCTCGGAGCCTATACCAAGCGGCATTTTCAAGTGCAGATTTCAATTATGAGTTTCGTCGTCCGCCCTCTTACCCATACCCATACCCATACCGTTCTATGTCTCCAACATTCTCCGCTCCCCACAACGCTACGCCACTCATCCTCGCCCAATTAAACCAAGCTGCCCATCAACAAAGCTAACAACCACCTACTACAGATTTCACCACCTGCCCTAATCCGCCCCCTACAATCGTTCAACTCGGTGTAAATTCACCACTCGAAATCGTCCGCACAACAACCCTTCTCGCTCCCCACGTAAACGGCATCGACATCAACTGCGGCTGTCCCCAATCCTGGGCCTGCGCAGAAACTCTTGGCGCGGCCCTGATGCATCATCCCACTCTCGTGGCATCCATGGTCTCCTCCGCAAAATCAACATTACATGAATTGGGGTATGAGGGAAAGAAGACCATCTCAGTAAAGATCCGTATCCACAAGGATCTCCGACAGACGCTCGATTTCGTCCGACAGGTTGAAGATGCTGGGGTTGATTTCATTACCGTGCATGGCCGCATGAGGAGTACGAGGAGTAGTGAGCCGGTCAATCTTGATGCGATCCGCGTTGTGAAGGAACATGCTAAGGTGCCGGTTGTGGCGAATGGTGATGTTTTCTCACTTGCGGATGTGGAGAGGATTGTGCGTGAGACTGGCGTGGATGGTGTTATGAGTGCGAGGGGACTCTTGGAATGTCCTGGATTGTTTGCTTCGCCCTCATCCTCTCCTTTATCGGAATCGATATTCTCCTTCTCCGTTTCTAAGAATGGTACTGAAGAGGTGCAACGAGACAGGCAGATGCGGAACGACGATGGCGGGGACAATAGGTGGGAGGTATTGGAATTCTTTCTCAATAGTGTCGTCCGTGCACCCATACCGTTCAAGCTGGTGGTACATCATATCAACGAGATGGTTGGGAGTGATAGGAGTCAGTCCGGGAAAGCTACGACGCTGTTTAACAAGGAGGAGAGAGCGGGGTTGATGGAATGTAAGAGTTTGATTGAAGTGATTGATTTTGTTGATGGGGTTAGGGAGGTGCGGAGATTTGACTGAAGGGAGGGGTAGGGAGAGGAGAGGGGAGGGGGGAACAGCTTATTGCAATGCAGACCGAAGGCTTGTGGTAGAATTACGTCGATTTCTGCGTACAGATAAGTGGCTGGCGTATGGAACTTCGTGGCTTGATTGCAAGGGCTTTTAAAAAGTGGGAGAACATCGCGTCAGTAGGGGAATGAAAATTACCACAGTGGAGTCTCTCGAAAAGTCCAACTGTACAACCAAGCTTTATACACTCTAAGAAGTGACAAGACAGGCGGATTGGGGTTCAGGCGAGATGGGAGAACAAGTTGGACCCCCCAAAGCTGTCGTGCAGCAAGGCACATGAGCCGTTTTCAAAGTGAGCGTCTAGATCTATATCCAGCCAATGATTCGTATCGGTGATAACTTCCTCGATGTCTACCAAATCTCCAATAGTAGCCAGTGTAAATGCGAGGGAACTACAAGACATCGAGATAAGCACTGCTTGAGTCAAAGGACTCAAAAGGAAATATTGCGGATGTCGATCACTGATCTGGAAGCGAATAATTGCAGGAGGGGGTCTGTGGCTGCGAGGCTGAATCCAGTGATAGTGATGGTTAACAGATTCGACGACTTCGATGTTGAAGTTCCGTTTGGGGGACGGATATTCTTGCTTTGATGCACGGCTAAGCGGCTAAGCTGAGCGATGGATATGGGTCATGAAAAAAAAAAGGGCCCGGGGGGGGGACAAGGGAAGAGTGCCGGTATGTAACTTGGGATATTGGTTTCGTGAGAATTGGGGATGGTGTTGCAACTTCCCCTTATATCGTTGTGACACTTGACATCTGCTGATAATTCTGCTCCTACTTCGCTTGGGTAGATAAGTTATGGCGAGTACATGGACTTCGGCAGCGTTCTTCGAAGTCCTGTTGTGAGGATTGATGGTTACGGAATTCAGTGTCAACAGTGATACGCGAGAATGGCTGACCTCGTCGAATTGAATGAAACCTTGGGCTTCTAGCTTGAGGTTTATTTCAACAAGGTGATATCTGTTGTCTCGTTCAGGGATTCAAGAAGACTGGCGAGAGACTTGCAGACTGTCAAGTTAGGGATGCAAATATTGAATGAGTCACGCAATACCCTCCGGTTGGTACTGGAGTTTAGTTCTCTCATACTCATTCGTGCAGACTCCCACAACTGAGTTCATACCCACAAGAGACGAGAGATGCTGTCCTTGGATACTCTTCCTCTTGGAGCTTTATTGACTTTATTGAATCTTTTGGTATGATTCCTTACTCCCATCACTCTCTTTGTGTAGCACACTCTAAATAGTCTGCACTAATGGGATTTGGCTCATGCTTCAAACGGGAAGCTCTTCTGTGCATAAACCAGACAAGCTATACTCCTCATGATCACCAGAGCTCGAGCTGTCATGAGAACGATCTTCAGACGGGTCCACTACACGAGGCTTATACCAATGAGTGATCTTGCCCTGTTCCTCCCTCTCTCTCGTCTCTGCCAATATGAGTTTCTCTTTCTCTAGAGCTTTCTCGAGGAGCTCTATCATTTGCTGACTTTTTCCATTACCACGATCCCTCGCCATCTTGAGAGGAGACTTCTGGAATTCCAGATTGCTTTCAACCTTCGCTCCATGCTTGACCAAAATCTTGGCAACTTTCAGTGCATTGATGAAGGGGGGCTTCATCCGGACATGTGCAGGCCGATTGACTTCCTCCCCTTCATTTTGTGTTTGTTGTACTAATCCTCTCAGACTATCGAAAGTTCCATCAGGCATCACAGAAGCTGCATAAGCAAGAGCAGTTCTATGCCAAACATCTGACTCATCCACACTGACCCCTTTGTCAAGCAATGAATGCACCACTTCCAACATTGAACGATCATCGATGGCAGATAAACACGCATACATGAGTACTGTCATCCCATATTTAGCTTTTGCTCCCATACGGCAGTTATTGTGGCTTAGAAGATACAATGCCAAGGGTTTCTGCTTCATATGAATGGCAAAGTGTAAACAGTCCCGACCAAAGTTATCAACAAGGTCAAAATTGATGACCGTATGTTTGGGATATGAGTTCGATAAGACGGCGCGGTCCCCATATCGAACCAAAGCCCAGTGTATCCACGGTATGCCGTCCCTATCAAATTTTACTTCAGGAAGATCTTCTTCCCAGGTGGTGAGTATTCTAAAATCCGCAGAACAGTTTGGAGACTTGATATAGTGAAATGGGGTCCGATTTGCCAGATCGACGAGTTTGTAGTCAATCTCTTTCTGCTCTTTCTTTGTCTGCGAAAAATGCTCAAAATACCTTGCCGCATTATAATGTCGCGGAGTCCAACCGAGGATGTCGCGATGTCCCACCCAAAAACTTTGAGAAAACTCAAGTTGAGAATCGACCATACCGAATAGACGACAATCCTGGCTATTCAGGACAGAAAATTTGCCCAGTCTGTGGAAAGCCTTTTCCAGTCCATAATGGCCCATAGCATCACCTAGAAGAATTGCCACAGCTTTCTGAAAGTCGCTCTTCCGTCCTTGTCCAACATAGAGCTTTCCAACCTTGATCAAGCAGTCTTTTCGAAATTTTCGTGCAGAGTCTTTGTCAGGTGAGCCCCTGTGAAGTCCGAATATCAAGGGACTTGTGTTACGGACATATAGATAATCCTTGAATCCTTGCCGCATGCGTGTTGTTCCTCTCAATGAAGCTAACATAAACCAGTCGCAGGCCCATGCCGAATGTATAAACTCAACACAAACAGCTAAGACCTTGCAGATGATTAATTCTTTTGTCCCGAATCTTAATAGCCAAAACAGTTGCTCGTAAGCAGTAAAGGCTGCCAGGTATTTAGATTCGGCCTGTAATTTGTTGCATCCATGAACCACCAAGTCTATTACAGACTGTCCGGTTATGATGTTTTTCTCAATAAAGGGAGGCAAAAGAAGAACAGCGACTTCCTGTTCCGATCCTAGCCCAGTCTGGAAAATCATTTGGATCATTCTCTTGAAGCTGGGACTTACCACCCTCACCGAGTACCAGGTCGAGGTCTCCGTAGGTAGAAATGAACTTGTGTGAGTGACAGTGACATCTCGACTGAAATACTAATAAGGAACGTGCTCCGCAAACGACCAAAGAAATGATGAAAGCAGCTGCTGAGCAAGGATGAGGTTGGCGCTGGAGCTAGAAGTAACACTTAGGTCATTTGCCATGTCAAGTCTTGCTAATGGTAGCACTTTCTGGTCAGTTAAGATGGTATAACATGAAGAACAAACACAGACTTACATGGTTTACTATAATTGTCTTTCATTCCAAGAAATCCATGAATAGCATCTTTGCTTGATAGTTTGTTATATTTGGTGAAATCCGGAACAATCTCATCATCACCCCACCATCTGATCTCTTGAGCCATTCCGTCGAAGTCAAAACCAAGAAGAAACTTATTCGGTTTTCTCGCGTGATCTGAAGTGTTATTCTCATGTTCATAATCTGTTTTCTGAATGCTATCATTCTTTGCCGTGTCGAGAAGCCACAGCGATAAGATAGAGTCGATTTGGTTCAAGAGGTCCTCCCACCGACGTTTACCAACGATGTCCGATGCCCTGGATTTTACATTCATTCTGACCGCGTACATGTGACCTCCAAGTTCCAGGTCGAAAGTCCACTAATATTTCTCCGCAGTCAAGAATTCGTCCATCATGATCTTTATTGCTGCAGCTGCTGCCACTGATGCTTCCGAGATTGGTGTCTTCCATCGGGTTAGCTCTCGGAGTCTATAGCCCATATCAACAGCTCTCTGGCCGTACTTGTCCTCTGCGTTGCGATAATCTTCAAGAATTTCATCATCCACATATGACAGATGTGCCAAGTGCTTTGGTTCAATCTGAAAAATGGGTTCCGCGTTTTCTTGCGCATTTAAGTGCCCACTGGATGATGACGCCGGGCTTTCATGCGTAGTACTTGCTGGCAGGGTTATGGAAACTGTTGCTGTAGCCCCATGAGTTGGAACATTACCGCTAGTAGTCGTTGCAGTATTTGAGACACCATTATTCCACAACCACCCTTCATCCTTCGCTAATTTCAATGCCAAGGTATCGATCTCATGGTCTTTGTAAACAGACTCCACAATCGGGTCAACCACAAATCCTCCTCGTATCAGTGCTCTTACTAGAGTCATAATAGCAGTAGCTCCAAGCTGAACGATTGCACACAACCAGTGCACACTGCGAAATCCTTGGAACTGGCAGACAAAGCCAATGAGTCCCATCCCTGTTCCCAAGACAGTAAACAATGATTTGCTCGGAATGACGTTGCTACCGTTGCCGTTGATTGTGTTTGCCTTTGCACGCCGTGAGGTAAGCACCTCGGTACACTTTTTTGTCTGCGTAAGCATGTATGATTCGAAGGATTGGTCGCCAACAACACTCTGTCTTTGGAGCCATATTACCCGAATGTTGGGAGCGGCCCGGTCGTTGACCATCCATTTCGTTTCTTCAGTGCTCTGTTCTATGACGAAAGTAACGATGAACAAGCCAACGGCGAGAAAAATGGTTCCGACTAGAAGGAGGTGAAATCCATAGTCTGTGGCACTTTCAGAACTAGGTAATTCCGCGACGAGAAGTGGCCATTGAGATGCCAAGGCTGCAAACACCAGAACTCCTGTCTGAAGGACAACGCCGACGACGGTAGCTGGTATCAGTATTCTAAGACTGGTGCCGCCATGAAGATTAAGCAGAATATTCGGAGCTTCAGTGGAGTAAGTTTTTTCAAACTTCATCTTGTCTGACAATGCCTCACCGGCCACAGAGGGCCTAGAGGGGTCTCGGGTAGCTTGGTCAGCCTTTTTGGTCTGTATTGGACCTTCACCTTTCTTCCCTTGAGATACTATGGGCCGTTTTTCCAAATCTTGCTGTTGCTTGTCTGAACGTTTGAACAAGCAGTGCGACGGGGTTAGTATATGCTTCCAGATGGATATTCTCTCAGCCGCAGCATGTATCTTTTCTTTCCAAGCTGAATTGTAAGCTAAGCACCGTCAGCAAAAGACCAGCAAAGATACAACAATGGCATGATCGGACCGACCTGTCATTTTCATGACTTCTCCAACGTCGTCTAAAATATACAGCCCAAATGTCTCAGGATTGTCCTTCTGCGATTCAACAGCAATAATCTGCGCGACGAGTGGCCTACCCATTGTTCTTACAATGGACGTCCCATTCCAGAGCTCGCAGACTTCATGTGAAGTCGAGGACATGAACTCAATTTCGGCAGAAGCTCGATTTTCTCTTGCTCTGCCGATTATAGACCGCATCCAGGGATATCCAGCCACACGAATAGCCCCAACGATCGCGGTGATGATCCCTAGAGGTGCACAGGCAAATATGAGACAGTCGAGCCAACTGTAGGCTTCACTCAAGAATTGCTGTGCAAATCTCTCACCAAAAAGTGCGAGAACACTGGAGTTTTCGTCAGCTATTGCAATGTTCTGTTCTGGGACGCACATGAAGAATGCAATACAAATGGGACTTACGGAGCTAGGTCCGAGAACAGGTTGTTGGAGAAATCAGACCCTCCATCTGCGTTGGCACTTCTCACAAGGCTGCCAAGCACAACTCCCAAGTGGAGGCAATGGAGATTACCCCAAGCCTTTAATATTTTTGACTTCTCCCAATTCGCGACTAGTGGTTCAAGATTGATTTTGCGATGTTATGTGAAGTGGATTTCGAAAACGCAGACCGGTTTCTGGAAAGTAAAGCAATAAGGCTGTCCAAGATGAAGACAGTCGCCGCAGGAAGGTCTTATCTACCATCCTCCAGAAACTGGGTTGCTTCAGCAGAGGACCGTCGCGATTACACAACATGATTGTTGACCACTCAGGAGCTCAACCGAACCAACAATGCACCTCCGCATGGTTTATGCAGCATATCCACGGAGTGGACAGCGTACAATTAGATTAATGGTTCAATGGAGCCCAATGATTAAACTGCTTTCCAGCACTCAATTTATCCGGACACAGGTCGTACGCCATATGTGTCCCGAGAAAGTCTCAAGATCAACATCGAATATTGACTCAGGCGCCTAATTCCCATTCTCAAGTCCATGTTCTCATCTCAACTCATACTGCTATATCATACGACATTGATCAGGCATAATCCACTAAAAGCCTCTCCTAACTTCTTATATTTATTCTAAATTCAATCCCGTACTTGAGTCAAAATGTCGTCCAAGCAAAATCTTAGAAAAACTGAATCCATTAGCCACCATGGACAAACCCCTTGCCTCCAACCAATAAACGTAGCCCCAAGAGATAAGAAACTGCATCTTAAGACTCCCTAGGTACCCACCCTAGCTCACACGTCATACCAGCATCTGGGCCTGCCCCTACGACATCAGCCGCTTTCTTTCCCTCTACTACTCACTGAGACCCTCATTTTCAAACCTGTAAATTCGCAGCATCCATATGCTAGAACTCATCTGGACTGGAACTGTCCTTGTAAAGTGAACATTTCTGCGACTTCATAAAAATGAGCATACAAAAGAGGGAAAGTATATGCTGTATGATAATGTTGAGCAGAAGAGGAGAGATGGGATCTAGAGATCAATGAGTAGCTGCATAACGCCAGTAGGTTTGCTGAGGAATAATTGGATTTGGCTTGCAGAGAAGACTCGACGGGCATACGGGACAACTACGTGGGTGTATCTGAAGTGCTGGAGGGATGGCCCAGGAAGGCAGAAGGAAGTCCAACTTGAAAGAAATAGCTTTATCCTGCAAAAAGAAAGCTTTCTGGAAAGAAGGCAAAGTTCGGCCCCGGTGGAATGAAAATATTACATCCTTTCACCTATGCTTCATATTTTGTGTGCCAAGATAGCACTTTATTAGCATTGTACCGTGGAATGTGAAAGTCAGATCAGAGGGTCTAGAGATACAAGCAATGTTTCTAGCCATCACGAGTTGGTAAGGCTTTGCTCTGATCTGAGCTTCTGTGACGGAAAACATCTTGATACTTGAAGCTTTTACCACGTGACGAGAATTTTGCCCCACTTCTAAAAATAACCGAGGCGAACCAAACAACAACAAAAACAAAACAACAAAAAAAAAAAACAGAGAAAGAAACGGCGGCGAGCCAATGCTTTCTTCCGGGATAAAAACAGACGCGCTCTCTCACTCAAACGAGATGCCATCAAAAAGTCGAAAAAAAGAAGAAAAAGGAGAAAAGAAGATCAAATACTACAAAGTCCTCATACGGTGTTCGCGATCCAGCTACCATGGAGTGCGACCTGACCATCCAGGGCTATCATTGAAGAGGCCGCTTCTTCTCGACTGCCGTCTCATATGGTTGACAGTTATCCGGTTAGATATAGCTTACAAGATTTAGCGAGGTGGGTAACTTGCCGAGGATTTTATTCTCGAACTTCCCAGTTTGTAGCCAACCGCGGCAGGAATACATTGTGGACCGAGTTCAGATCCGATTCAAGGCATTATGGCAATAATTGAATTTATGTTTCCCTAGATTTCGTTGTAAAGTTAAAGACCTGAGCTGCTTTCGGGTCTTTCCAACTTGTCCTTCGGTAGTAGCATGGCGTTTCATTCCCACCGATTGAATAGCAGGAATGGGAAGTGGGCACATTTGAACAGGAGAGAATACATTTCCACGTTCAAGCTTGATAGGTTTAGTTTTGTTCCAAGTAGGAACAGGAGAGTAAGCCTCGATTCTTCTCGTGCTAGTCTAGGCTCAAGGTAATGCAGGCTGGCAGGACAAAGCAGGAACTCTACACTACAGGGAACGATAGAGTACAGTTCCCACAGGGAACAAAAGGGTTTAGTCATACTTCATAGCCGCCGGATCTCCATTCTTATCAATTTACAGTATCGATGAAGAAGAAGAATACAAGATGAAAATCCCGCGTCATTCTCACTCCCCTCGCTAACCACTAGCGCCTTTCAATACGCCGAGTCAATAATGTCACTATCAGCATCCTCGCACATATCTCTCCACTCTGCTCCAGAAGTTATCACAGCAGCCTCAAAGCTTTCCTTCTCCTCAACTCTCCTTACAACCAAACCAAAGCTACCATCACAAAACCCCACACCCAACCAAATATGTCCTCTCCATCCACATCCTCCCCATCTACATCCTCCCCATCATCCCAAAACCAATCACTCTGGCACACCCCCTCCCACTTCCACAGAATCTCCCACGCAAACGTGATAACCCTCCTCATAGCAGCAGGCCACTGCATTGACTCCTACCAGAACAAAGCGTCATCCTCAAACTAAAAGCCCAGATCCAATCCTTGAAGCAAGAGAATCTGAGCCGTGAAAAGGACTGCGAGGAGTTGAAGGGGATTTTTATGCAGCAGGCGGTGGAGCAGTAGCAGGGGAATGAAGTTGTTCACGTTGAAGCTAAGGTTAAGGTGGAAGGCGAGGAGAAGGAGGGTGGAGACATGGGAGAGATGAGTAGTGAGGTACATCGCTTGTTGAACCATGTACATCTCCCAACGTAAGTACCTCATCCTCATTCTCATTCTCATCCTCATACTCATTCTCAACGTCATTCTCAATCTCACATCTCACATTTACTCCCCAACTCCCCAACTCCCAACTATTTCCTCCTACCTCCTCCTATCATAACATACACAACACAACACAATGCAATTCAATACACTACGGTGGTAACAGCTCTCTATTCCAATGGAAATATTCTCCATAAATATAGAGATATTTTATAGAAAATCTTTCCATAGGAATAGAGACTCGTCACCTATAATTATAGAGAATATTTCCATAATCATAGATTTCATGCTACACAAAATGAAACATAGAAATATCTATAAATCTATAATCTATAATTATGGATTTTCCTCTATTTTAATATATTTAGTTCTATAGATAACATTTACAGTTTCCTACTACCTACATACTTCCCTACCTTCAGACCTTCCTACCTTCAGACCTTCCCACCTTTAGACCTTCCTACTTTCGGACCTTCGGACCTTTTCCCCTCCTTACCTACTGTGAGAGACCTACTGTAGAGAGAGACCTACTGTAGAGAGAGACCTACTGTAGAGAGTGACCTACCGTAGAGAGAGACCTACCGTGGAGAGAGACCCCCTCCCCCCTCTCCCGGAACAGCGCTATCAAAGCCAGCCTTACATGCATATATAGCCCGCGGTGTGGTCGGGATGGAAATTTTCTATGTCTATGTCTATACCTAGCCTGGATTGACGAAGGAGTTGGTTGGGTGTTAGCGGCCTGGTGTGGGGTTGGGGTTGGGTTTGAATTGTGGTGCTGGCAGTCGGGATGAGGGAGGGACTTGTGGTAGTGGTGGTGAGGATAGTGGTGGAGAGACATCGAGGGCGAGAAGGGTGAGAAGGGCGGCCAGGGAGGGAGTTGTGAGGATGGTGGGTGCGTTTTAATGGGTTGATGGCCTGGTTCATGGTTGAGAGGCAGGGAGGAAGGGGAGGAGTTGTGTATGTATAGAGCTCGGAAGTACACGACGATACATCATCACCGTGGATATTCTTTTTCTGGGTGGGTTATAGATCTTCTCTTTTTTTTCCAGTAATATTAAGTAGTACTCCACTCCACTCCAACATTTTTTCAATATATATATATATATATATAAAAGGAAGGTAGGGAACGAGGGTACAAAGGCGGCGCCAAGTTGCCAACTCTGCTTTTTTCTGTCTCTTTTACAGATGATCATCATCATCATCATCAACCTCAACTTCAAAATCAAATCAAAATGAGGAAACTTCAAAACAAAAAAGCTAAGCTACAATAGTGATGATGATGATTTTGTAAAAAAAAAAAAAAAAAAAAAAAAAAAAAAAAAAAAAAAAAAAGTGATACTTAAAAGGTTCAGAATACGGAGTTGTAGGTACGGCTGGACTTGTAGTAGCTCTGTTATTCTGTAAATGTTTGAGATGTTTGTAATACTGGGGATATGGAACTTTTCATTTCATGACTCATTTCCATCACGCGCATTCCCCTTCCTGCATGCTCACTTCTATGGACCATATCTGAGTTTCTCTTATGCGAAGGTGGAGGCGTCGTCGGTTTCTGGAATACGCTAGCTAATCAAGGGTAGGGCCGAGGATGTAGATTGATGATTGAATTATCTATGAATTCCAAAGTCTAATATCTACTACGGCATATCTACAATCGAAACATCTACACCACTCTCTCCACCCCCTCCCCTCATTTCCTCATCCTCAACCATCACCTCTGCTTCACAAATTCTAACCCCCCTCCCTAACCATCTCCCCCTCCATCCTCGCCCTCTCAATCTCCGCACTCAGCATATTCATGCCCCTATCCGCGACCGTAATGATATTCTGCAGTTCTTTCAGCGCCTGCTCGTTGTGGTTGATGAAGTAGCCGTCGATGGACCGCTTGAGTTCGGAGGTGGAGTTGTGGTGGGTTCTTTGGAAGGTTTCGGCGTCGTAGGAGGCGCGGGGGTGTGGTGTTGAGGTGGGTGTCGGTGAGTGTGTAATGGAGGGCGGAAGCTGAGGTTGAGTATGAGATTGAGTTTGGAGTGTGGGCGAGGTGGTGTGGAGAGTAAGAGGTGTGGCTGTGGGTTCGGGTGTAGTGGTGGCATCGGTCTGCGCTTGAGGCTGAACTTGGTTCTCTGGTGAAGGGTCAGGTCCCGAAAGGACAGCCGATACGAAGCGTTGGTCGAAAGAGCGAGAATGCCCTGTTGGATCTACCAAATCGTATGTTGGGTAATCCTCGTCTGGAACTGGCAGAAAATCATCATATCCAATACCCGTTGCACGGAGGATATCCAATTTCAATTCTGGGATGGCTCGTAGGTCCTCAGCAACCCAACACGTCTCCTCTTTCTTCCGGCCGACACCTCCGACCCAGAGGTCCAGACCACGTGAGTCCTGCTGCGGAGCCCGGATCTTGAGGTAGACTTGGTTGAGGTAGAGTTCTTTGAGTGAAGGTGCGACCTGGGTGATGAGATCTACAAAGATATGCGGATCGATGTCGATGCGTTTTAGTTCTAGATTCCGGAGATGTGTAAGTTTGTCCGAAACGTCACGAGAGAAGGGGAGGGAGCGCATCGTCCAGTGGTTGTAAGATACGTTGTGGCAGTGGCGACGAGTTTTGATGTCTCGACGGATATTCCAGCCGATTAGACACAAGCTTTCAAGAGGAGTAGCTTTCTCGATCAGGAACCAGAGGTTGTTGCTGAATGAGGATTGGGTGGAGGGGAGGGATTCTTGACGTTTGATGGAGAGGACGAGGTGTTTTAGGTGACTGAAGGTGGTTATTGCGTTATTGAGGTCCATGGGGTTGTGACAGATGTCAATGAGTGTTGTGTCACTGACGTGGTCTAAGACCATTGTTTGGAGGAGGGTATGTTCTTCTGGGCGTTGGGCTAGACATGCTAGAGTTGTGGCGAGGAGGACTGTTGCTGTTCGGCTTGTTTGACCAACCACTTGGAAAGGGAGGTTCAATTTCAGCCTCTTTAAGTTTGGTGTATGTTCCAAAACATTCTGGTAGATTGTAAGTATGATTCGAGATAGAATAAGAGTGACGTACCTCTGTGACCCGACGAAAGTCCGTCTCATCAAAAGTGGAATCGTTCAAACAGTATCTTCGGAGGGAGTCCAGCAGGGGTATCATCTCAGGGACCTTCCTGAGGAGGCCGTGGAAGACACTAGATAGACGACTAATCTCCTCTGTATACCAATTAGCATATGTCCTTGTAAAATATTCTCAGCCTCGTCTTGATGGGGTAGCTCTTCCCCGCGTGTACCTAGCAGCACTTCTGCAGTACCAGCACGATGCCCTAAATCCATGCCCATCAAATATGCGAAAGATCACACATACCCTCATCTCTCACGACCATCATATCCAAGTACAACGCCTCACAAATTCCCCCCACTCCCACCAGGCTCTTCACATCCGGCGTCGGCGCATGCCTCAGAAACCGCGAGAATTCCAATTGTATAGTCCTGAACGCACACGTCCGTAACGCCATATCGAACGCCTTGCAAACCAATCGCAGATTGAGAATGGTGTTCTTCTGGCGCTCGCACATCCGCACTTCCCATTCTAGGATGAGGCCCAGGATTTCGGTGGGCAGGGAATCCATTGCGGATGTTGGGAGGCTGAATGGCGGGGAGATGCTGTTGATTGGGAGGGCGCGCGACGAGGGAGGAGAGGTAAGGTAAGCAATTGGAGGTTGTGGAAGGGTCGGGATGCTTATCGTGGGGAGGGAGAGGTGATGAGGTTGCGTGGTGAGTTATTTATGAAGCTGGCTTGTGGTTCTGGCTTTGGGTGTTGAAACGTGGTTGTCGTTCGTGGTGTTCGGAACTACGAGGCTGATCTGACGCTAACACCCGAGACCCCTGAGTAAAGCGTACCTAAGGATGAAGCGCCCAGATGCTTATCCGCACCAGTAGGGGTTTGACGTGTATATCAAAGCCTTCTTGTTTGTTCTTTAGAACTGGTTTCCCTTCGACGCTTATTCTCAGAGAATAGTTTATTTTCGATTACAATATCCAAGGATTATCAGGAGATGCGGTTGCATGCTTGGCGTATGGCTATTGTTTCCTAAGAGGTGAGCCTGCAGCGATAAAACGGTGTCTCGTCTGTGCGGACCTCTTTCTCCAGAGTCAGCCGAATTCTTGCATCCAAGTCACGATATCCGCGATGAAATCCCATCACCACTTAGACAACCGCATGCTCCGAGCTTGAAGTCTGTCGTCACGAGGTATAAAAGGTCGTAATACGGCCCGATGTCCGCTATAACAAAGGTACTATCGCCGCATTTCTCCTGTGACGTTATCTTTCTGCCCCCCCGGGTTTCCTATCTGCCGGTAAAGCAGGCCATTCAGGGGCTGCACTGCATATCAGGAGATTAAATCTCAGGGGTTTGATCTCGGTAGGCTACGGCACGGTATTAGTGATGGCGCGGAGACGGAGCTTGATTTTTGATAGAGCTTCTATTCTGCCCTTTCTGTCATCGTAGTGTATGACCCAGCCGAGGAGCTGAAATCCGGACACAGCTCTTGGATGATTGTGGGAACAGTGCAGACGTGCTTTCGGGGAGGAAGAATGTTTACAGCGAAGGGAAGTGAAACTGTGATGTGATTGCCACGCATTTCCGCATGAGAGAGAAAGGACCTGGAGCAGAACTCAAACCCCACACTCACAGCCTGACGAGCTGAGACCTGCAGTGAAAAGTGAAAGCATCGCCAATCCGCACCCAGGATGGGTTCCGATGCACCAACGCATACATGTCCGCCTGGAAGAGGCCTGGCCTGATCTGAGCTGCACCGGGTGACGATTGAAGTTGGTCGAGGAGAGAAGGGGAGCAATTGTCGGGACGCAGAGAAAGCCAGAGCGTAGATAGGTAAGTTTGATCTGAAGGGTTTATCGAAACGAGATTGAGGGGTGAAGAGTGTCTTGGACCGCTTGGACACAATAGACGCCTCAATACTTTAGACTTTTGAGGGAAAGAGTCCGAGATAAGAACGAGGAGGGAAGGAGGAAGACCTGAGAGCTGCTTTGAAACGGATGAAGACAGCTAAAGCAAGAGTACAGAAGTAATTGCCCGCTAGGAATATATTCAGGACTGCAGTATCACAACAACAACAACAACAACAACAACAACCGACTCATGAAAGTGATACAACAAAGCGCGGAATACCCAAGCAATGCCAAGTACATATCTCCCGGCATCATAATTTCCCGATGCACAACTTCAAGTGATTTCTGCGCTGGCGATCATGAAAAGAGTCGATAATCCGGTAAATATGGAAGTAAACTGCAATTGCAGGGGATGTAGCAAGTAATTTATTCAAGCAAAGTACGGCGGAATTGTCACCGCATGTGGACAAGAGGATACATTTTCTATGCGAGATCAGGGGCCGAGTCCGGGTCCGGTGAACTGGCCTCGGCTGGACTTCCTTTGATGCACCGCACCGCACCTGGTACACTGCACTGCACTGCACTGCACTGGACGCGGCACTTGCAGGGTTAATAATAGCCAGGACCAGGACCAGGACCAGGACCAGGACCCAGGAACACCCAGTGCCGCCTTCAGTGCACTGCGCGCTATCATTGTCCCTGCCCAGTACTAAGTGCCCACCAAGAAGGAAGGAAGGATTGGGATTGGACTACTGGATTGGATTGTTTGTTTCCGACACCACCAGGCACTCACTACCTACCTTAACCACTGGCGCTCTCGTAATTTGCCCCAAAATCCAATTCCGATGTTCCTTTGTGTTTGTGCCTCCTCATCATCGTATTGTCCCTCCGTCCATCCATCCATCCATCCTCAACAGTCACATAGCATCACACTCGTTTATCGTCCGCACAATAATAGAATCATCCACCTATTCACACATTTATCTGGGTTCCCAGCATCCTCCCTGGTCAGCTGTGCGCCTATCTATCTAATCGCCCACCTATCCACTCTTCCACTCAAGCCACTCCACTTCCAACTTTCAAGCCACCACCACACCACCCTCACTGTGAAACAAACGCGGCTCCCGTTCCACATCCTCACTCCATCCCCAAGAGCCTCTAAATCTTTCGGGAATTGCTTCGGAAATTCTCATTTGACTTCGACTCCGGTATCTCGACATACTCTCACTCCATCTACAGCATCCGTCTCTGCCAGCCAGAGATCCTCTCGTTTGTTCCAATCTGTTCTGATGTTCTGAGCTTCTCGACCACTATCTTCTAGCTCCGTCATGTGTACCTAGGTAGCTACAGCCTTCCCCAGCAGCCAAAATAGCTGCCATGAGCGGCCCAACTTTGACCATGTCGACGGCCTTCTCCAACGATGCCTTTCACCGTTCGCATTCGTCACCAACCCTCCCAGACCTGGTCAATTTCGACTTCCCAATCGCCACGACGCAGCCAAATGACGAGCTCCCCAGGTCGGCGAGTTTCCACAGCCTCCCAACCCTCGATGCTCAGTATAAGTCAGAGAAGGATAGAATAGTAGCCGCAGAGGTCCCAGCAGAATCTACAGTCTCGCAGACACTGAATATGCGAGATGGCAAGCCAGGAGGGAACAAGCTGATAAAGGAAGAGCGCCCCAAACTGGAACGGGTAGGCAGGACGAAGTCTCTGGTTGCGCGGCCCAAATCCTGGATTCAAAAGTATAAAGGGAGTTCACCAGAGCGGAAGAACTCCTCCGAATCAGCTGCTACAACACCAAGCGATGCTCCGCCAGTCCCTGCAATTTCCAAATCGATCCGGGACAAGGACAACAAAACGAAGACTGTGTCAGAGTCGTTTGCAACCTTTGCCCGGAAGTCGTGGATCTCTAGTTCGAGATCGCCATCTCCAAGCAACCGGAAGCCTCCTCGAGATGTTGAGAATGGTGGGAAATCTGCTGCGGAATCCAAGATGTCAGGCAGTCCATTGACGTCCAGCCGGGCTGTGAATCCTCCTCCGAAATTCGAAAAAGCTCCTCGTACTGTCTCGACTGACAGTCCACCGAAACCTCGACCTACCACATACCAGAAGATCAAGCAGAGGCCTGCCAGTGTCCTAATGACTTTTACAAATTTCAATTCTACAAACTCGTCGACGAGTAGCTTACCCAGGAGCTCTTTGGATAATAGGTCGACTCCCAGAACTTCGACAGACAGAGTTCCGGCTCTTCCGAAGAATTTTTCGACCGACAAGTTTCATATAAATGGCGAGCCGACCCGTCGACGGGATGAACTTTGGTCCTCCTTCCGTTCTCTGGAGAACGACTTTTCGAAATTTCAATCCAAGAGCTGGTCCTTGAAAACGAATGTTGTTCGATCATCACTTCTACCTTTCCTCAAAAACCACGTATCACACCCTTCAAACAAGAATCTACGGCCCGAAGATCTGGATCGCCGTGTAACAATCCTGAATAAATGGTGGGTGGGACTTTTGGAGGTTCTGGATGGGAGACAGAATCAGACTGTTAGTGGGGTTGATCGTCCAATATTGCTAGATGCTTGCTACATGATTATGACCAGACCGGAGTGGCGGCTATCCCCACCTCATTTTGCTCCTCTAGCAGAGAGGTCTGCAAATCAATCACCTGAACGACGACCGCTTCCAAGAAAGAGATCCTCATCCGCATCTTTGAACTCTTCAGCCTCTCATTTTTTGACTGAATCCGTCTACCACAATACGCGCAACCTGTTTATCCAAAATCTCCTCTCCCAGATGGCGTTTGTCGTTGATAAGATGTCGTTGAGACATGCACCTGCAAGTCTGGTCACTTTCTGTGGAAAGGCCGCGGCGTATGCTTTCATTTTCGTTCCAGGCGTTGCGGAGATTCTGGTCAGGATATGGAAACTTCAACCTGATGATCTGAAGCGTGTCTCAGATATACTGGGAATGCCTAGGCGAGTCAACAAAATGGAGCTGGGTGATGCGAATTGTGCTTTTCCGAATCACGTTCAGTGCTTGGGGTGGACCTCAGTGAAGACCATGGCGAATCTCCTGAGACAGAATCCGATCTTGCCAGTTCTGGTTGGAAAAATACCGTGGTATGGACCTTGGGCTGCGAGATGGTGTGGGCGAGATAGCGATCTGTTCTATGTTTTTGTCAAGCATTATCATGTGTTGGTGGAGGGATTCTTGCCAGAAGGTCTCTCGCTTGCTGAGAAAGCTCGTGCTCCAGGTATTTCCACTCGCTAGTTTTGTGGCTGACATGGCTGACATTTAATAGGGTTCATGCTCGTTCAAGCCCAAGTCGTGATAACACTAGATGCCACCATTCATCGACAGCCAGCTGCAGATCCTCTTCCGATCACTTTCGATGATGTACTCGCAGGCGCCGATGCGAATGCTGCCGCTCTCCCTTTACCATCCAACAACTCAGCAAGATTGATGGCTGAAAATCGTCTGGTCATGCTACTCCGAGACTTCATTTCTGAACGGTCCTCAGAATACGATGCTGCCCGAAAAACTTTTGCCGAGGCATTTGGAAAAATGATGCAAGCTTCAGCAAAGAGGACGTCATTATTCGACCACAATGCTTGCTTTGTATTACTCGACTTCCTGGAAGAAGCCCTGATTATCTACATCCGATTTCACTATACTCACAGCCTGGATTGCGATTACATTGATTGGCCTTTCTGGTTAGGTGTTTGCAAAAAGATGTTGGAGAGCGAGAATACCATGTCTGAAATTCGACTCTTTTCCTTTCTTTATGGGTCTTGGCATCTGATCACTCTTGATGAGAGACGGAAAGAAATCATGTGTCTGGATTGGTTGTTGACTGAGGAAACCTTTGATAGATTCTTCAATCACTGGTGTCCTATGGTTAGAGCATATTATATGCGTCTGATCTGTTGGCGGCTCTGTCGGGATGATGGAGACGCCAGTGATCTTGATACGTAAGTAGAGCCGAAAATTTCGAGATTTTCGTACTAACAGAAGTAGGAAAATCTTCTCAACAGTCTCAGTACGCATCAAGTCTAACTGGGCTCACTACATATTCCTGAAACAATCTGCGGAAAAGGCTCGTGTCCTTCCTCCTTCCACCGCACCCTGTCATCCAGCTCCTGGTAGACGCCTACTTATCATCCGAAACGACACTCAAATTCCACCAGTCAGCATGTTTCTCGGCTTCGACGGCATCGTCAATTCTTCGTCACAAGGATTATCAGGTCTGCTCCCGAAATCGTCAAAACGACAATCACTCCCACCTCCTACACTCACCAAACCGGAAACAGCAGAAAACAACTCAAAGCTGAGTGCCGACTCGCCCAGCGCACCCAACAAGAAACGCTGGACATTCATGGGCAAAATGCTCCCAACAACCTTCACATCTACACCCGATCCCTCTCCAGCCGCCGAGTCTCGAACAGGCAGTCCAACAAAAACCCTCGAAGAAGCCCGTCTCCAAACAGCCATGGCCCGCTCCAGACCACCCCTCCACACCAAATCCTCCAGCACAGACAGCGAGACCCCACCCGCCACATCCGCCCACCGAGTCTTCTCCTTCAAATTCTCCCTCGAATGGACACAACACTTCGAAAGACCAACTCCCGCCGCCCCATCATCCTCCCTCTCAAGCTCAAACGGCTCCACCCGGCTGAACACCAACGAACGCCGCATCATACCTCCTCGCCTCCCTGCCCCGGCTCAAGCATGGATCGGCGCCAGAGTTCCAGGCATGAGCCAGGAGATTGCGCCGAGGGATCCGAGGCTTGATGGTGGTGCCGTGAGGGAGAAGAGGGCGAAGTATGCGGGACGGGCGCTGGCGGAGTGGGGTCTTGTGGTGGGGGAGTGTAATAGTTTTGTAGATAGGAGGAGGAGTGAGGGCGTGCCGGGGTTGAAGTGGGTTGAGGTTCCTACGTTGGGGGTTGAGGGGTTTAGGAGGTTTGGGTGAGGTGGGATGAGGTGAGATGGAGGGTTTACGTTGACGTAGAAAGAAGTGCCATCTTGTGTCAAATTCTGATCTCTTTTTGTTGTTAGGTGTGGTGCGGGGATACCGTTCGCGGCCTGGAATATAGGTGCTGGGCATGCTGGTCTGGTCCTCCTGCGGTGTTTTGATATCTTTCTTTCCTTTCCTACTTTCTTTCTTGGAGAATGAGAGTGTTATTGCATAGCATTGGTGTTTTGGATGGATGGACCATTGATGGATGGATGGATGGATGGCTGATTTTGATAATTTGTCTTGTCTTGGGTTCTTTTTTTGGGGGGGGGTTTCTGCCTCGGTTTTCAATTTCTAGTGTATTTCGACCTGACTTGGGTTGGCTCCGTTCTGGGATTTTCGAGATTCCCCGACTGGTGCGGTTAATGGGATTGGCATTGAAATGGAATGGAATTGAATGGAATTGCTGGGTGGTAAGCAAATATACATACATCGATTGAGTCGGGGTTGAGTTTGAGGTTTTAGTCTGAATTTGAGTTTGGGCTGGGGGGTTTGTTGGATAGTTGGTATATACATTCTGGAGTGATTGATGCTGACTGCGTCGATTTCCATTGAGAAGTGGGAGGGAGATTGGCGAGGTTGGTGAGGTTGGTGGGGAGAGGGAGTTCTGAAAGGATAGAAGCCGACACCGAATACCGAGAAGGAAGGAAGGAAGGAAACATGAGGATGAGGAGATATAGCTATACATATATATATATATATATATATATATATATATGTAGGTGTAGATATATATGTAGATGTAGATGTAAATGTATATCCATATTTGAATATGGAGAGAGAGAGACAAGAGAATCCCTCATCTTCCCACCCACCCCCAAACCACCTCGTTACTTTATACACACACTCACCTTGTCGTTCGTTGACACTGTCGTTGACTTTCCTGATACTATAGGAACTTCAGAATTTTCCTAAGTGATGGATGGGTAGATAGATAGATAGATAGTAGATACCTATTCCTATACGCGTTGCGTTGCGTTGCAGTACGAGGATTCCTTTTTTTTTTTTTTTTTTTCCTTTTTCCTTTTTTCTTATTCCTTTTTCCTTATTTTCTCTCTTAAGTCTTGGATTTTAAGTATTTAGGTGTTTAAATACAGAATTATGAAATATGAAATATGAAATATGAACTAAGTTAATTATATCTTAAGATATGTATACCAAGAACCACGTTTATATTGAGGTCTAGATCGAGATCTAGCGGAGTCGGAAATTGTCTAGCGAAGAATAGAGTACTTTAGTATGCTTACCTAGGTATTTTATAGTACAGAGTAGGTAGGTAAGTGGGTAGGCAGGTAGGTGGGTAGGTATGTAGATTGAATGGTACGTGAGGTAGAGAGAGATAATACTGTGCTATGTTATGTTGTGTTGTGTTGTGTAGGTAGGTACGTGAAAGGGCAATGAAATGAAGGAATGGACTGGGTGATAAGTGATGGAGTGATAAGATAAAGAGATAGACTAGGTAGAGGAAAAGAATAAATAAACGAAATGAAGGAGACTGAAATAGATTGAGTTTGTGGTCTCGTACGCAGTGAAGTGACGGTATTAATCAAATCTTCCTTGTTGTCTTACTGTATTACACTATGCTGAGCCTGTGTGACATGGTATACTTGTATACTTATGTACTATCCCTTCATCCCTTCCAACAATCCACGATATACTCTTGAACAATAGATACCCCTCGCCCCTCGTCCTTCTACTGTTTTTTATCTTTTCTTTTTCTTTTTCTGTATAAACACAAATACACACCCGCACTATTCCCCGCCACCGCCACCCACCTACTCATCTACGCTATCTCTAAACAGAGTTCTGTTAGCGTATCTAGGTAATTTCTCTCTGTCCGCAATCTCTACCCAGGTAAGTTTTAGCAATTCTTTTTTTTATACTTTTCCTTGAGCTAGGTAAGTATATTTTCTGATTTTTGTAAAGATTGGAAGAGTAAGAGACCTAGAAGTATATATTTATAAAACTTGTGATTTGAAGAAAGGCAATATAGATACTATCTTATTTGTTAGGGTTGTGGGGACAGGGTTGAAATTAGAAAAGAATTGGGGTTAGTTCCTCTTTAGAAAGTAAAGAAAGACCCCTGCTTTTAAGTGTCTCTCACTCTCTTTGCTCTTTTTTAAGGTATGGTTTCCTTTCGAATCTCTTTTCAGGTTCTCTCCCTAACCCTCTTCTTCCACCCCCCCCCCCCCCCCCCCCCCCCCCCCAACCTATCTCCTATGTTTCCTCCTTTTAAGTAATCTAACTGTAAGTTAGCGTTTAATGCGAGACGCAATGTAAGAAAGTTAAATAGAGGTCTAAACTGCTGATCCTTTAAAATGTTTGCTTTTCTGTTTTATCCTTTTAAGGCAAATATACAACAGCTACAATTATTGTCTATAGCTCTATAGACATGGGGTTACAGATAGTTCATCAAGAATTGTAAACAGTGACTGTAGGAGAGACCCTGTATGGTGCCTGAACGGGAGTGGAGTGGAGTGTAGAACAGAAAGATTAGTTCAGACTCAGGGACTTGTTTGCTTTCCTGTGGTACATGTTGTGTTTTGAGGAGAGGGGAGTTGCGGAGGGGAAGGATAGTTGAGACAGGGGATTTGTGGCTTGCTTGTGGGATGGGGTTGGGCACAGGTGGAGGGAGGAGAAGATCAGGGAAGGCCCTAGGGATTTTAGTTCTAAAAAGACACAGACTACACCCGCTACAGTTACAGTCTATAAGCAGGTATCTTTTAACTGTTTCCGTCTACAATTCAGTTCATTGTGTGTATTTTCTGAGCTGGATTCCCTGATTTCATATTCGATCTTCCTAATAATTAAGCTTTTCCCTGAATCGAGCCGGACTTTTAAACATTATCTGTAATTCCTAGTGTTTTGTTACAAGTAAGCTCTCCCTCTACCTCTCCCTCTTTCTCCTCTTCTGACCTCTTTCCCTCTCTTTCCCTTTTTACCCTTCCTCCCTGTTTTATCTCTCCAGCTCTTTTCCGAATGTTCCGAATGTACATACAGTGTTGTCATTAGGAAAAGCTCTATCTATATTTTTGATTTCGTGTTATACTCACATACAAAGTCTAAGCTATCCAACCCTCGATCTACCCCTAGTACGTTGATCTATCTGTATTCATAAACCTTTGCAAGAATGGAAGAAGAAGGGGATAGGGATAGATGTGGAAGAGAAGAGCGAGGCGTTGAAGAATGAAGGAATTGATTTTGGGTTCAGTTATTGTGGTAGGCTTGTAAAGTAGATGAGTGACTCATAGGCTAGGTGTAACTATTGTGTCCAAGTATCGGGATGAATCTACAAAGTTGTTTTATTAATGAAGATCTTTAGCACATAGAAAACTGCAGTTCATGTAACTCGATTGTTTAAGACGTATAACTTTCTCGTAGACTAGAATAGTATGTTCTGGCGAGCTGTGCTCTCTTACAGTAGTGTGACGAGGTGGTACATTGTGGTACACGAAAAGTAGTTCATCACAAGTTGGTACATTTCGAGCTGAGAGATCTGCAGATATCAGATTTGGGGAAATGAATTGAGCTACGATGAGTTTGATGAGGAGCACAGCATGTGCTTTCCTGAGGGTCGGGTCGGGGGTTTGGTGTCACAAGTGGTGTATACAGCTGAAGGTACGACGACAATCACAACTTGAAAATGTTACCAGCTTCCTTCCTGGGCGGTCCTGTTCTGATGGTACGACAAGTAATCTCACACGTGTATATGTACAGACATTCTCTCCTCAAACTATGAGGATTTCCGGCTCACTGGTCCTATTACCACCCATTTCGTCAAGCCTCAGTACCTAAGCTCTTCTAATTAACATTTCACTCAACTCAACTCATAACTTTCGGTTTCGCTTCCGCTTTCAAAATGCGTGTCTCTCACCAAACAGTCGCTGCCATCTTGGCCACCACGGTCGCTTCCTCTGCTATCAACATCCAGATCCAGATCCCAGGTCCTGAAGTAGAGGCTATTTCCACCCGGCCGGTTTTCGCTCTCATGGCTCTTCGCTGTATGTTTTTGTTACTTCACCATACTAGTCAACCCCTACATCTGTAAATCTTACACCTCACCTTCACCTCTTACACCCGCCTCTATCAAGCAGATTTGGCTAACACTCCCTCCTCACACAGCCGCAACCCCCATTCACTTATCTCCCATCTCAGCCTTCAAATCCGCACTCTCTCTCCTCGTCCCCAATCAACACGCAATCTGTATACCCTCACCTCCTCCCTCACCCAACCACGCAGTCTTTGTCTTGGAAGACAGAGAGTTGTTCTTGTATACTGAGGAGGGGAATTTCCCGAGGCAGCAGGTTTATGTGGATCTCGAGGGGAGAGGTGAGCCCCTCTTTCTTCACTTGTTTTTTCCTCGATGCTTACTCACCCTTTTGCATCGCGTCATTTCTCTCGTCAAAACACCTTAAAAAAAGAAAGCCCAAGTTAACACTCGGCCTATCAGAAAGCACCGGCCTCGTCTCCTTCACACCAGCCATCCACGGCCCACCATCTCGCCCCATCATTCCCGACGGGGGAGTCCTCGAAGGCTGGGAAATTGTGGACCAGTATCTCATTTTTAGAGGTCAATATCTTGTAGCTTGTCCAACTTTCCCAATTGATTACGAGAATGAGAACGAGGATAGGACTGGGAATGAGAATGCTGGGTGGAAGATCTTTGTTGCGGAGGGTGGAGATGGGAGGGGAAGGAAGGAGGGAGAGGGTGGTTGTTTGGCGTTTTCGGCGAGGATTTTGCCTGTTCCGGAGGGGGACGCCGTGGCGTGTACGTATAATTAGGTGGACTGGGGATAATACGTATGGAGGTGAGTGAGTGAGATGGGAGGATATGAGAGGTGGAATAGGAGTGGGGATGTTGGATGAGCTTTGTGTTATGTTTTGCGTTTTAATTGGGTTTCCTTGTGCCATGGCTGAGATTATGAAGGTTTGGAAAGCTGGAGGGGAGGAAATGAAGTGGAGATAGTGAAGATCACGTCCGAGTTGCTTCCAGTCTATGAAAATTTCATTGTGTTCGTAATGATCATGAATTACAAGCATTAAATTGCTGCTGCTTAATCCCAAGCTATGCATTTTGCATATCAGCCCCAGCGACATAGCTCTATCTTTCTGCTTCACTGACGACGGTCCATCGCTCTTCAAAGCATATCCAGTGTATTATCCTCGGACGACATGTCTCGTGATCTCCAACACCTTACTCAAGATCAGAATCGCCATCAAACACCTTATATTCATACATATCCTCCTCATCATCAGCAATGTCCACTTCAAGCTCCTCCAGCTCACACAGCACCTCTCCCGCAACATTCACAACCCTAATATCCACAACTGGATAAGCATTCCCAAACTTGTCCTTGAACTCGGGCTCATTAAGCCTCATCTCAACCTCATCTGGAGATAGCCCTGCTGCCATCCAATCAAGGACCACGTCATTCCACCTCTCATGTCTCGCGTGCTCCATCCACTCGTTAATATTCTTCTTTCTAATCCTCATTTCCTGGAGTGTCTTATTAACCCTTGTGACGAGATCCACTCTCTTGATTTTAGGGAACGGGACTGTCCAGAAGAATTCGGGGCTTTTGGCCGGGATACCGAAAAACTTGTTATAGTAGGAAATTTCTTGTTCGTAAAGAGGTATATCGTCGGAAGGATCGACGTCTATGCTGTGTGATGGGTACCAAGGGATGAAGCCGTTGAGAGAAAGACTTTCGAAGGGCACAGCGAGATGAGTGAGCGTATTGATGTAGGATCTGATGGAGGGTGAAACAGCTAGGTTCTCGGAAAGGCTGTCGCTACGGAGTTTGTCAACTACTTCTTTGAAGTTCACTGAATTATGGTTGGTTAGCAGTTATTAGATACAGGTGAATTTCTTTGATTCGAGACTTCATCGTGTCAAGCAAGAAATAATGGAGCCGTTTGTAGGAAGTGAGAAGAAATCAAAGCATACCAAAATAAAGAACATCTTCTTCCTTCATCCGGAGCACACCTGAGCCGTTCTTTGTTTCGTCCATTGCAGCAGGCAATTCAGTAGTATGACGCTTCAACCACACTCTTCTACTCTCAAAACAGGCTCTCGACAGCCCGATATCTCGAACAGAAGCATCATGCTCAGCATCTCCACTCTTTGAGACTGTGAACGACGTGTTGAAGGTCTTCTTGCCGGCGAAGGAGCTCCTTAAGAAAGAGTGAGTTGTGCCTCCAGAGGCGGCAGTCTGTGGGGCAGCAATTGAGTTGAACTGCGCTTTGATGTGAATGAGGTTTGATTTCAAGGAATTGGTTGCGTGACGGAAGATTTTCAGACGAAGCTCAAGGGGAAGTTTGGGGAAGAGTGGGAACGTCGTTGCAGCTGTGGTGGGAGGAGGAATGTTTGTTGGGATGGCGTCAGCGCTTGATATCATAATATTATTTTTCTCAATAGTCACGTTCGTCTTCGTCGCGTACGCTGGAGACCGAGACAAGGCTGAAATCGCAGTCCCGCCTGGCCGAGGAGTGAGCACAGCGGTTTGCTCCTGGGAGAGGATTAGTGTTTGATTTTGTGTATGAGACGCTCAACTCACCGGCGTGTGATGTTCTGTCATTGTGGATATTTGGTCGAAATTTGGGGTTTTCTTCGCGTCAGGAAATCTCGAGGTTGTTTGTTTGAAGGAGAGGAGGACGTTAGAGGCGCTAATCACTAGTGCTTTCCAAGCGAGGATAAGTCTTGGCAGAAAACAAACAACGGCAGCTGCTACCATTGCGTGAATGGAAGACATAATCAGTAGCTAAATTGCTACTAACTCATTGTATGTTTTTTTGTATCATAGAATATTTCGAGTGTCAACATGGTCTTCGGAAGTCAATAGAACGACTGGAGCCGCGATGGACTAGCGCACTTGCAGCAAAAGGACAGATTCAGTAGGAAAAAGATGTGGATACATTATGTACAAACTCGCCACGAAGTTATTTTGTGTCCATGAAAGTTGTATTCTGCAATATGTGTAATGCGGACAAATCTGAAGTCAGTACAAACAAAGCCCCCTTGGTGTTGGAGGTGGAATAGCTAACATCCTGCATTTTTCCTTTGGAGGAACATTGAAATCAGATCCTGGCATTAGTATCAAGTTCTGGCGGGTGGTATTTACATCAACACTATGATAATACAGACATGTTGATGTTGGCATCTTAATCGGCATCTCAGGTTTTCACCTATCGCAGGGAATATGTTTTTAGATGAAGCATTTCATTTCGTTGGACACCCCTAGCAAAAGTCCAAGCAATCCATGGAGAGGTATGCCACTCATGGAGCAGCAGCATTTTGTTCAGCACAGAAAAAAAAAGAGAATAAAACCCCCGCAAGCGAGTTCGTCATACCATGCCGAAAACAATGAAAGATATAAAGGAAAACAATCAATAAAGCTCCATCCACAGCCACCCCCTTCCTTCATCTAGAAACTATTCCCTCGTCAGTCATAACCTCACCCGGTAGAGCAGGTGGAAGTCTGATCTTGCCTCTCCAATTCCGAATCTGAACCCTCCTCTCCGGATACGTCTTTGCAGTGAAAGCAGCCCAGTCCTCAGATGCAAGCTCTTCGTCAATCTCCCCATGACTGCAACTATCACCAAGCCTCTGTTTCCGATAATCTGTAGCATATTTTCCCCGATAACCTTCCATCCACTCCAGAACCCTGTACTTCTTGCCAATCTGACTATGGATGCTGTGACCTGCTTCATTGATCAAGTCCAATTGCTTGAGATTTGGGAAGCAAGCAAAAGATGACTTGATGTTGCTCCAAGCTGGATTTTTGGTTCTTGGATCGCTTGGACAGAGATAATCGTAGGGGATTGCGAGGTGCTGGAGATTGTCGAAGTATGCCCGAACGGAAGCCTGCAAGAATGGGTAGTCGGGGTAACTGCGACTGTTGTAAATTTTGCTGATGAAATCGCTCAAGTTCGCTAAATGCCGAGTATATTAGAGAAGTGAATTGTAAACATTCTCCAGACGTAGAGTTACTTACAGGTATAAAGGACATCTAAACTCGAGAGCCGAAGAAGAGATGTCGAATTGTCTCCATTATCAGCTACAACTGCATATTTGAAGACCTTGAGATATACCACGAACGCGAGCCTCGTGACTAGCCTTAGAAAGGGCGAGATTACAAACAGCGTTATCTAATTTCTTGTCCCAGGAGTTTAGAACCTTGAAGATGAGGTGACAACGCTGCTTTGACTTCCGGTATCTGACTTCGACTTCAACATAAATCATCAGACGGGCGAATGCTACGCTATTTGCCGCGATTTCGAAGATCATGTAGCGAAGCTCGGCTGGCAGTTTAGGAAACATAAGGAATACTGGATCTCGAAGTCGACAGAGCCGAGCTGTGGTGATCTTTCTGGTCGCGTCCATCTTTGGAGTTGAGGGTCTGGTCGCGTTGTATGTTGCCAGTATGCGACAGATTGCACTCTTTTGGCGTTAGCGAGGTCTCCAAATACAATCCGGAAAGAAGGTAGCTTACCATATGGGACTCTGGCCTTCCCATCGCGTTCTTGATGTCATTTCTTCCTCGTTGAATCATTCAAGGTTGATGCCTCCCAATGTTTTCGCGAGTTTCAATTTCTGGAAGTTGAGCTAGCATGGAAAGAGTAGACACGCGACAGTGACCTTGAGTTGCGGGCAAGGATTCAAAGCTGAGCTCGAGACGAGGAAGCTCCCAGTGACGGTGACATGATTAGGGAGCTAACTCTGGAGTCGAAAACAGAATACCGCAGGACAACTTCATCTTCGAAACATAGATGCTGTTGAGTCTGGTGAACCATCCGCATGCCCAACCCGTCCCCTCAATTATTATCCAACGACAGCTTTCTTGGATACTGGCATAGCTGAAAAGTTGAAAAACAAAAAGTAATACACCAACAATGAACGTGGTGTTTCAATATCTTCCTACAATGAATCTTACAGCAATCCTCACCCATCCCCCCACACTGTCTGTTCTTAGTTGTCGATCTTCTCAAGAGATGCTTCAGATGGCATGTCTTGTGATAACACCCAGTGCTCATCAGTTTCCGAAATCCAGACTTTGATCTCTGGAATCTGCACCTATCCGCTCTTGACACAAGGATCTGCTCGCAGGGTCTTTATGACTTCTTTCATCACCTCATATTGGAAATGCAATGATGTCACATCAATATCCTCTTCTTCTTCATCATCCTCACTCTCTTCACTTTCTTCCTGGTCACTCTCGTCCTCGTCACTCTGTTCACTTTTTTCCTCGTCAAGCTCTTCGTTTCCATCAACACCTGTTTCCTCATCAGGGTCTTCAGTTTATGCCCCATCTCCTTCCTGGACTTCCTGCTCATCTTCAGAGCCACTGAAGCGATTTTCGTACTCATTTTCCTCAGAGTCGCTATCAAAACCATAATTGCCACTCATGCAACGAACTTCATAGCTACCATCGGGGGTCCACTGTCCATGATCGAGATGCCAGGATGAGAGGATCAGACCGGAGGCAGTTCGAACTTCTCTCAGAGAAGAAAATGCCTTGAATACAGCTAAGAGACCTTCGGAGAGGGTTTTGATTGTGTAACCATCGTATTTCATGAAGCAAGACCATGGAAGGTGAAGAACTTCAATCGACTTCGTCCATTCGTTGGATTTTAGGACCTCTGTAAATCCAGGCATTCGAGAAAAGGTTCCAATGTTGCTGAGATGAAGCACATCGTACTTGTTGAAGTACAACCGTACCCAACTGCTGCACAATGGCTCCTTGGGATTTGGAAGCAGAAAATGTCCCGAGGTTTTAGCCAGAAATTTGGACGGAAAATAGAATTGGTACTCATGGTAGAACTCCCAACAGACGAAGAGGAGAGCAAGACTTCGTTGGGGATCGATAGTGTTCTTTGTGGAACTATCGACAGTATGATCCTTTTCGTCGATAGGGTTCGCGTTGCTCATCAAGCGGGAAGAGCTGATAGTCCACAGGAACTTCGTCTCCTCAGGGTTTTTTCGCAGTGTATCCCAGAGATTGCCTTTGAGATTCTCAAGTACACGCTGCTGGTTGGGTAGATCCCGTACGTTCCAGAGCTTACCTTCGAGGTGGAACAGTGTTGGTTCTGGTGTGCTGTTTCTGAACACTTTTCGGCGAAGCTCCAACGAGAGTTTTGAAACTTGAGAAACTCGACGGCAGGCTCTTGTTGGGAGAGGAGAGGATCCTCTATCTCAGCCATTAAAGTTGGACTTCTATCTGGCAGGCGAGAAGTCATCTTAGCTCGCTGGTAGGATGGTGAGGCTGAGGATATTGATGAGGAAAAATCCGATGTAAGTTAGGGTTCATTGATTCGTGACTCTTGCAGAAGGTATTTTGCGTTCTTCGAGTATTCCCAGATAGTGTTGATCGATCTGAAAATTGCTTTGTAGTGTTATGAGCTGCAGGAACAGTTGTTTTTATTCGAATGTATAGAATCGAAGAATGAGAGTGAGTGCGACCTCGAGACAGGAATAGGTGCGGCTCCTGACGCGACAAATACTAGCGTGTCGCGAAATAGGTGCCTAGGCCATTTGAATGGGTAAAGAGGCAAATTAAACAGACAGAACTTGTGCAAAGAAGCTACAAGAACCATCAGACAGTGCTCACATATTGAAAGCTTTTGTCTATATAGTTGATCTTTATGAATCCCGAAATACTCCATGATTGGTCTTATCTTTAAAGGCCTACCTACCGAGCCATTTTTTCCTGGTTGTACTTCCACGTAACAATGTAGAACGATATTGCTTCGACTCGTTTAAAAATATTAGCGCGATTTTGCGATATGTAAACAGCACCACTCGAGAAAATCTAGCACATAACAAAAACAACCTTGATCATCGAACAACTTTGCAATTCCTTGCTGTAGCAGTCTGCACTCAACAAAGATGGCCACTCTGGCATCAGGATTACTTCACGTACAGCCAAGATCTCAATATCCTCCACCACCACCTCTGCCACCGGGCTACTTCGACTACCTTCCTAGATTCGTCGTGTTCCCGAAACTCCCTCTAGAAGTCCATGAGATTATTTGGAAGCTATGTCTACCATTTCCGCATGTATTTCATGCCTCCGGTAACATATTCTGCGATCCTTTCGAAGAACGTCACATCGTGACCTTCAGTGTTCTACCCGTCGACTCGAGTCCAGAGCCAACGCCAGATGGCTGTGAAACATACAAATCTCGTGTACTATCAATGTCCAGAGCATGCAAGGAGTCAAGAGCAGTTTACCTGAAGGCATTTCCTATCTCTTCACCCGTCGAAATGTTCTGGGACGCCGACAAACTCTTCAACGCCAAGAATAGGGGTCTCATCAAGTCTCGACTCTATTTGTCACAGGAAGACAGATTATTCATGGTCAACATGGAGGAACTTGTCGCCAATCCATGGTTTGGAGAAGCTCTGGGCTTGGAGGAATGGACGGCAGCCATTACTACTCGGTACCGGCTTGCCACCTCAATGATGTTCGCGCCAATTATGTCGGTAGAGGAGGCTTTCCATGCTCTAATGTGGAGCTTGTTCAAAGCATTCCCAAACTTGAAGGAGTTTAAAGGGGTTGTACTAGATGGCCCATGGTACTCGGCATTGGAGGACGCGCTGCTTGAAGAAGACCGAAGTAACCTGAAATCGCTCAGATGTGAATTGAAGGGCGTCAAGTCGATACATGGTTGAGAGAAGGACCTACCGATACTTGGATTCATCAATTCAAGCGATGTGGAGGCTATAGATCATAATATCACGAGAAAGAGTCAGGTGTATGGGGCAAGAAAAGAACAAATAGAGTGAGTGAGGGAGCTCTGCTGTGCCAATGATCTCGAGCAAGCTGGGCGTACACACCAAAACTGTAACACATGTACTGAAAGATTCCTAGCAGCTGTTAAGTACAATCGATAGTGTATTTGAGGAACTCTCGATAGGTCTTTTTGTATGTTGACGTATTGGCTAAGACCTAAGTAAAGATGCCTTCCATGATGTAAGCTACCAAATTAGCTGTTGGTTTATCTCTATATTCAAAAACAAAATTGGTTCATCAGGTAAATAAAATTGGTTTATCAGGTCAAGAGCCTTTATATTCAGAAGATGCAAAAGCTCTGAGATACACGCTGGAGGTAATGAGAATTATCGCTCTTGGTGTAGCCACGATTCTGGACAGACCTTATAGAGTGGTCGTCATTTCTCGGTTCTTGGATCTTTCAAACTATTGAAGGGTCATACAGAGCGATCAATATATGAAACAGGTGATGAAACATAAAGAACCGCGAAATGAAAGTATCATTTTCATGTATTTCTCCGCTGGTATCTGATTCTAGATCCTTGGCATACAAATCCAATCTGCTTCATAGCCACTTCGTAAATATCTCCCGTAGTCCTCTCGGCTTAGAAGGCCATGGTCCGCCCTTGGCAACATCAAAGTGTACTATCAGATCAACCCCTTCCGGAGGCCGTCGAACCACATACGCAACATACGCAACATCCCTAAAATCCCCACTCGTCTCCAATCCCCTAGGCCAAGGAAGTATCACTTTCACTTTTGGCTGCCTAATACCCTTGAGGGGCGCCATCAAAGCCTGTTCTGGTACTCTGACACCGTAATCGAGTATCTCCACAACTAGGTGGGCGACCTGCACTCGCGCAAAAGCTCGCCATAGCCCTTCCCACTGTGCTTCATCTGCTTTATGACTGCTTTCATCGCGAGTAAAGTCATGTCCAGTCTTGGGCTTTCACGTACATGGGACTATGGACTCCATACTGTAAATGGAGATGTGCAAGGGCTAGAGAGGTCTGGGGAACGATGGTGCTGAATCGTTCGGCGGCATTGTTGGGTAGCTGAAAGGTGATAGAGCTGTAGACCATCTCTACGAACTCAAGATATCTGCGAGAGAGGTAAGTCAAGTCAGCGGTGATCTTACTAGAGGTCCGCATCAAAGTTACTGCAATAGTCACAACCCACATTTGTCTACAGCAGAACAAGAGAGGAAGTATTTCCCAACCATTCCTCACACTTTCTCGGTATGCCGTGTCGTAGGACTGGCAGATGCTATCCCTAGATTTCCAGTCTTGAAAGAAGTCATGTAAATCTGGCGCTTTACATCGCTTATGTGTTAGTTTTCCGTCGCGCATAGTGATGTGCTGGAGTGTTCCGAAGGAGTCCAGGACATAGGTATATACTTGACGCCGCACTTCTAGTGGTAAGGCACATAGAAATAGAGATCAGTGTAGTTAATAGTTTTCCCGTTCTTGGTAAACTACCAACCGACGCGCGTGCGTTGAAGCTAGCCTAAAACGGACGCTAGTCCGTTTTAGCAACTTAGAACAGCCGTTCGTTTTAAAGGTTATAAAGAAACGAGGTAGTTACTAAGAACGGACTAATAAACTAAGTATAATTTTACTATATTTTTTAACTACTATTATTATAATACTTATTTCTAAAAAAGCTAAAATTATTATATAATAATAGTTTTAAGTTATATATAAAGAATATTAAGTAAAAGTAATATAATTACTTATTACGGACCGCCTAGAAGCCTAGCGCTCCTAGAGAGATTCCCCTAGGTACCTAAGAGCTCCTAGGCAGAAGGGGCTAAGAGATTATAAGCTTAAGGAGGCACTTACTCTTAAAAGAAGTCTTCTAAGAAATAAGAGCTCTTAAGAGAACTTCTTTCTTATAATTTTATAATACTATAGTAGCTATATATATTATATAATCTAAGTACTATAGTTAAAAGCGCTAGTTCTAGTAACTTAATATTATATAATAAATCTCTAGATCCTTAGATCTTATAGTAAAAGAAGGAATCTAAAGATCCGCGGATCTTATATCTAAAAGATCTATAAGAATAAAAGTTCTATATAAGACTAGTATATCTGCTATTAGATAGGAGCTTTATACTTAACTTTAAATAATATTTCAATACTTAATAACTATCTTCTTATTTATATAATACACTTACTTCTTAATTATTAGAGATTAACTATAGCCTTCTGTATTTATAATAAGTAAATACCGGACTATTATATTACTTTATAATTTTAAGTTATAATTAAAGTAAAAATAAAGTAAAAGAGAAATAAAAGTCTTATATATTTTAGTAAAGCTACCTGGTTTTAGTACTTAATATAGTAGAGGGATATTATACTACTAGTGCAGTTAGGTAGTAGTACTTAGATATTTTTAACCTGTTATTTCCTTAATAATATTATTATTAATAATATTACTTAAGATTATTATAATAGCTATACTTTTTTAAAAAGATTCTATTTAATCTATTCTCTTCTTCGCTTTTTAGTTAATAAGTCCTATACTTTAGATATTATAGTGGGGTAGTGTGGTTCTAGGTCGGAAGATAATTAGCCTGTTTTGTAAAGTTATATAAATAGGCGCGATAGCGCGTAACGAATATATTATTTTCTCTCTCCTACTCTTACTACTTATTTAATTAGTAGTCCTCTACGTCCCTGCTTACTATACACTTTAATAGCACTACCCTACCTCTTTATATTAGTAATAAACACAGGGAACTAGAAGTAAAGTAAAAGAATAATTAGAATATAGCTAAGCTAGTAGTAAAAGTAAGAGTTAGAATTTTATCGCTTAGTAACTTAGTTATAGTAACAGATAGATATATAGGAAATAGCTAGAAAAAAGAAGCTTAGGGAGCCCTTATTTAGCGGATAAGATATTAGGAAATAGCGGAATATAAGTAAAAAGGGCTAAGAAGGTATAGAAGGGAAAGTTATTATAATAAGCTTAGAAGATAAGGTTACTATAATAATAGAGAAAGTTTATATAAGGAAAATAAGTAAGAAATAGATAAATATAAAAAGAAAGTAGGTCTAATATAAAAAAGGGACCTGAAGTAAGGCGAAAAAGGGATATAAGGAAAAGAGGTTAAGAAAGTTAAAGTAGTTAAAGGAACTAAGTCTAGAGGTTATAAGGAGTATAATCGCTACACTCTTACTAGTAACTCTAGTACTTTTAACTCTAGTAATATCAGGTATACTATACCTTATAAATAAGTACTAAAGGTTTAAATTATTTACTAAATTCCTTAATATAACTATATTTCTAAGAGATCCTAAGAACTAGAGAATACTAAGTATAAAGGAAAGTAATATAATAGAATATATTTAAGTTTAAGAAGAAAGCTATTAAGAATTAAGAACTACGAATTCTAAGATAATAGAAGTTAAGTATATTTTAGTTATACTAGCCTTAGGTATATTAAGCGCACTGTACTTTAAGGGAGCTAATATTACAGAGTTCTTAGAATAGTATACTAATTAGTATAATAACGCTTAATTAAAGGATATAAACTAAATTAAATAGCTTCTCTAATATTATAATCTTACTATTAGTTAGTATATTAAGACGCTACTAGAGTAGATAAGTAAGAATTAGGAAGAGCTAATAGTCTCTCTTTTAGAGAAGTATAAGGATTAAGATACTTTTTAATAGATAAACTCCTAATTATTCCTTAAGGCTTTAAAGTTAAAACCGTGAACTATAGAAAGCGATATAAAGTAGTTTATTTGATAATTCACTATAATATTAGCTACTTTAGTAAAAAGGAGCTAGTTAGAAAATTATACTTAGGGAGTATAGTTCTTAAATAAGCTACTAGGGGATATTCGTAAGAAAGTAATACATAAGAATAAGGTTAATATTAATAAGCTAAGTATAATTAAGTTTAATAACTTAGTTAAGATAGCTACTAAGATTTATATATCTAATAAGATAATCCGAGAGTTTTCTAATAATCGCGTGAAATAGAAGAGCTTTAGTAAATTAGTAAATTCACTTAGCTAAGTACTTATCGCTCCTAAAGTAGAGGGTTAGCTAGTTCCCCTTATTATTAGCTTAAAGACTATATCTATAGAAGTAGTAAAGGAGATAACCTAAGTATTTAATACGCTAGTACTAATTATAAGAGTGTTATAAGCTTTATAAGTACCCGGGGGAAGATCGGGATTTAACTTACTTAGTAAGGGAAATTAGTTAGGAGCTTACTTAGTAAGACCCGGTAATTAAGTTAATTTATCTAGACTACCGCAGGGGGCTTACTTAAGCTAACCCCGGCATCTAAATAACTTACTAATTAGAGTATATATAGTAAGTACTTATAAAGATCACTAGAACTAATATTTCTACTATTTAGAAAATAGGTATTTCCGTAAGGACTACTTAGACTTCCTAATAGATATAGAAAAGGGGCTTATATATAACTATTAGAGTTAGATATATTATAGATATATAGGTAGTAGAAGGTAGTTAGTTAGGTAGCGTAAGAGAGTCCTAGTAATAAAGGGTATATGAGCTAGTTAAAAGGGAACCTTAATATAGGGAACTAGTAAAGGATAAGCTAGAGGGAGTAGTTCGATAATATAGCTAATATAAGTACTATAGTACCTTATAAATAAGACTGAACCTATAAAAGTAATAGTAGTAAGGGTAGTAACTTAGGATAAGTCGGATATTAAAGAAGATAAGGGGGACTAAGAAGCTATAGGAATATTAAGAGCTAGAAGTAAAAAACTAAAAAGCGGAAAAGATAATAAATAAGTAAACCCTAGGAAAGTATTAAAAGGGCGAGTTAAGAAGGAAAAGGACTTAATAGCTCTAAAAGTTTTATAACTTAGAAAATAGAAGTAGAAGGATCTAATTAAAAGAGTATTAAGAGAGGGAGTATAGTAAGAAGAGGTTATTAAAGAAATAAAGATAAATAAGAAGTAGACTAAGAAGTTAAAGAAAGTTAGTCTAAGAGTTACTAAGAAAGTAAAGTAATACTTAGATATCCTAAAGTAAGGGGTATAGCTTCTAAAGCTATTAAATAAGGTCTTAGATAATAAACTAAAGAGTATTACTAGTAAGGAAGTACTTATATACTCTAAGCTCTTATAGAAACTACTTTTTAAAAATATAACTATAATAAAGTTACTTTAGACCTTTAAAGGGGGAGTTAAAGGTAATTAAACTGACTTAGTATTAATAAAGTTAGCAGGAGTAGAGAAGATATCAGAGGACTCTTAAGTCTTAGTAATTAGGAGCCTAAAAGTTAGAGTCCGACTAAGCTCTCTAACTATAATAGCGCTTATTAATTACGGATTAGAAGCTAATTTAATAACTTCTATAATTACTTTAAAGGCTAGGCTCTTTATTCGACTTAACTCTAATCTTAGAATAATAAGCTACTTAGAGAAGTAGGAGAAGTTTAAGGGGTTATATAAGAGAGTTACTATAGAGATCAGAAGTATCTTAATAGTAGGGAGTTTTTTTACTTTAGTATAAGCGGAGAATAATATAGTCTTAGGATAACCCTTTATTATAGTAAGTCTCTTATTATTTTCTTATAGTAGAGGTTATTAGTTTACTATAGTTATAAATAATAACTGAACTAAGTAAGTTATAGTAAAGGTCATAGATTTAATAAGGTCTTATACTAAATCGGATATTTTCCTAGAAAATACTTAGCTAAGGCTATAGTAGTAAGTAGTTCTAGTGATAGATCTACTAAAGGGAGGAGTGAGTTAACTAGTGTATTTAACCTGCTTAATAAGGGAAAAATAAAAGTATTTTTAGTTATAGTATTTACTAAGCTTAATAGGGAAAAGGATAAGGATATAATTCTTTTAAAGAGTATAGATTTAGTTATACTTTTATAAGTAAAAAGGGTTTTTCTTATTATTAGAGTTTAGGGTACTTATAAGAAGAAAGCTAATAAAGTTATTCTAATTTAGAAGGGAATTTTAGATAAGTTAAAGCTAAGGGGAAAGCTAGACTAAAAGTAGAGGCGATTAGAATAGAAGAGAGTTAAGGGGCTTATTAAACTACCTTACGAATTTAATAAGTAGATAACCTTAAAGTTCTTAGAGTTACTATATAAGACGAGGTTAATACTAGAAAGAATAAAGGAGATAATAATTAGAGGAGGATTATAGTTATAAGAATATAAGCTTTTAGAGGAAATACTATATAAGCGCGAGGCTATAATAGTATTTAACTTCTCTAAATACGGAAAGATATATAAAGATATCTACTTACTATAGGAAATTTATATAGTTCTATATAAAGCTTAGTAAGCACTTAGATTCTTAGTACTAAAATATCTATATAAATATATTAAGGATATACTTATAGAGAGGCTTAAGACTAGTACCTTAGAATATAGCTATAGATTATATAGGAATCAGTAGTTTTTAGTTAAAAAAAA